CCTAGAAACCACCAAATTTCAGAAAACGTACTCCATTTAATATCCTTTTTAGTGGTGTAATTGCTTCTTTAGTTACTTTTTTCAAAGATGAAGAAATTGATGAAGGAAATGAAAAACCGTGGTTGACGGATTGGTAAGATGGAAAGATTAATAATAAAAAATTAAAAACTGAAATGAAAAAAATGAATGACCTAACAACGTTTAATAAATTCATTCAAAATTTCTTTCATTTTTTCATTTTTTTCCATCTTTCCACCTTACGAATACGTTACCTTTCCTTTTTTTTACATTTCCTTCGACAATTTCTTCATCTTTGAAAAAAAATTACAAAAGCAATTACACCACTAAAAGCCATATTAAATGGAGTACGCTTTCTAAAATTGGCTGGTCTCTAGCGTTTGGAAATAGAAGTTTAGAATCGCCATAGTAAGTTGATCAACATTGAAAAAAAAAACTTCTTTTTTTTCAAAGTTCTCTCTACTAAACCTCTTATTTTATCAACGTTCACGATTTTAGTGTTGATCACATATAATTGAAATTTAATGTAGTTTTCAATGGTATCAACAGATTTGCCCAAAACCTTTCAGTTTGGAGGGATCCTTGTTTATTTGAAGCAAGGTCGTGAAATCTTACAAAATCAGAAAAAGGGGAATAACTCCGAAACTGTTGAGATTGAACCATAGTTAATTATGACTTTTTGGTTCCATTTTGAATGTAGAATCTAGTGTCAAAATTTGTAACACGGTAGCCGAACACCCAGTGTAGGGTCGAATCTACTTGAGTACATATGTGAGCAAAGCGACTGCTCGTGGCAAACCGCGAGAAACACCTTCTTCGGTGTTTTAGTGGTCTGGGAACAGACTTTGGTTTTAACCGTACCAACGTCCAAGTTAGGCTGAGGAGGCTATCGACAACAAGGTCATTTCAGCAACTTGTGCAATTTTAACCTAAACTTCCGCCATCGACGCTCTTGTACTGCACACATTCACTCATAAAAATAAATACTAAACAGTTTGTAGTGCATGAGAGACACTTAGTTTTAGTTTAATTTAAAGTTGTAGAAAAAGTGTATAGACTGGGAGGGAAGAAATGTGAGACAGACGGATCCCATTTCGCGCGACGGACGTTGAGTCAGTCTTGTTCTAACGCTGGGAAGAAGATGATCGCGGCCGTCTTGCTGATACTGGGTGAGTGTATTGTGTTTTGTCCCTCTCAGGCTGAGTAGTTTAGGCAATCCTGTCTTCGTAGAATAGTTTGGGGAATTGTAACACCTGTAGTTAGGGACCCAAGCCTTTGCTGTAAGGTCATGTGTAATTCTGGAACCTGCACTTGATAGGAAGCCCCCGTATACCATTATTGTATAATCGACAAGAAACAAAATTCATTTATGTAATTTCTTTAAGGATAATAAAATGTTAGTATAGTAAGTAGTAGTTAATTGTTTTCCAAGGGCCAACCTAACACAGTTAAAAAATCTAATACCAAACTTAGTATGTATACAGTATAAGGATTACCTGCAATAAATGAATTGAAAATTCTATATAGAAAGAATTGCCCCAGTTTACTCCAGAAAAAAGAAAGGCCCTAAAGACTTGATTCTCATATCGGGCTATGGCGCAAAAGTATATGTCGTGGGTCAACCGCGTATGGCCAATTCGAAGTCGGGTTAGGATGAACCTTTTTCTTTTTTCTAAAGGATAGTTCTTCTCGCTAAATTGTTGTTAGCAACTACCCGGATTTCGAGAATCAAACGCTCATCATCAGGATGAAGAATTACACACTACGTCTCTCGACGTGAATTGTAGGTGAGACTTGTAAATCCCCAGCCAACGCGACTTTCCAATGAAAAACTGGTTTTTAATGCCATTCAATTTTGAACGTGCGAAAAACGCGAATTACAACACAACGAAATATTATCTAAATACATAAGAAAATTAAGTTTAAATACGCGTCAAAAACCACGGAGTAAAAACACGCTGTGGACCGGCAATGACCTCAGCTATTTTTCGACCACTAAACTTCCCATATTATGTATATTAGAAAATAGTTCAACCTTTAAGAGTTTACACTGATTGGTCTGCGAGTCTGTGAATTCATGCTGAACTGACACTGAGTCAATTGGGCCCGTCTTCACCCGCGGGTTTCTTGAACTACCCGGTTCTTCACTGAAGATGACGGTTCAGCATGAATTACTTTAAGTTTAAAACTATTCAAGCACAAGTGATGGTCATATTTTGTTAATGGTTATTTCAATAAAATAATTGGAGTCAAATGAGACAGTGAAGAAAAAATTTGCGCCATTTTTTTCTTCACTGTCTCATTTGACTGTAATAAATCATCGAGGTCGTCTTTTGTTTTAACACCGCCGACTTAATCAGACGGGGACGTGAAACGTGTTTGGGACTCTTGTTTGTTTATAATGGAGTCAATAAAAAGGAAAAGAACAACATCGGCGTGTGACAAGTATATAAACAAACGGGAAAAGAACCGGGCCCGAGGCTGTTACGCCAGCCTAGTCCGACGCCCAAACACGGCCACTGCAGTAGAAAATGACAAACGTACGAATCACCCACGATGACACAAAAGTAACAATTTTCCTAGAGAGAGACGAAAAGAACTTGTAAATCTTTTAAGGGCTGTAAAAAAAAGGTGTTCTCCGTTTCTATAAAATCCCAATTTCATTCTTCACGGTAAAACGGCGTAAAAATTACTTCTGCATCTCCTGGCAGCTTCGAGTCAACAAAATGATTTTTTTCTTTCCTCTTCCCCCTTTAAACTACAATTACAAAATGCGGATAGCGAAGCAGGTATAGGGATTACTCTGGGATAACTTTATACGTTCGAGGTGGTTTGCAAAGGAACAATAGGGACCACCAACAACCAAAAAGAAACTAAAACTGTCAGCCTTACTTTCACTGCGAAACCTGAACCCCTCTTTAATCTGGTTCACGCATTTCACGGCTACCCGGCATTATCGATGTTGAAACGGGGTGGTCTCTGAGAAGGACGCGTTCTATGCTCGTACACGCGGCCAAAATATTTTTTCAGTGAATTTCGACTAAAAATCAATACTGATTTCGAGTGATATGCATTTAGTAGAAGTACAACCAGGAACTCTGATTGCTGTACCAATAGTCTGGGCCGATAAAATAAGCAGATAACAAAACAGAAAAATTCACGGAAATACAGACTCGCATAACTCGAGCGATGAGAACATGCCCCACAGCTGGTATGGAGAAAATATTGGAATTAATCCTCCTCCACCATATGATAATGGTGACTGCACGGAAAACTATTATTAACATTATCAAAGAGAAACCTCCAACAGGGCTAAAACTAAAATGGAGACATAGCAAATCCTTAATGAATGCGGTATGGGGTGAAATTAATGTCCAACGCCCGTACCAAACTGATTGTCCTACTGAGAGATCTTTGAGTGGACTAAGGTACATTAAAGGAGTTCTTCTGTCGCCACATTTGCTCCATTTATTGGGGACAGCTTCGTGTTAATACATACTAATGCATCGATCGCATGTAGCTCGATCACGCAGAGGTTGTAAGGGTTTACCGTAGGACATGAATGGATCACGATAAAGAGACGGGTAAGACTCACGGGTTTTTTGAAATACTCAAACGCGTTTCGGTATTGCGCCATCTTCAGTGAGGAACTGTCTGTAACGTTGTCTGTTAGGTTCGACTTGTCGTTGGGGCCGTCGGTTGTCGCTAGGGGCGTTAACCGGTCAAATCACCACCGCAACGCCATGACAACGCCTCTTAGCAATTCTTCACTGAAGATGGCAATACCGAAACGCTTTTAACCGCGAGGTACGACAACTAGAGACAATCGTTTTATTGCTCTTATCGCAGTACGGGCTGTTATGTTACGGCTTCCTGGCTTCCTTAATAGGTATCATGTTTTCTACTACTGGAGAAGCATCGAGTAGAAAGGCATTCCCAAATCCTCATCTCGCTTGGACAGTTGAGCAATGGGGCAGTTATTTTCACTGAAGATACCCCGTTTGGTTTGTGACAATCAGATGATTGGGACCGTATATGAGGAGAACTTTGCTTCACGTGCCATGCGAGAGTCACAAGCCTTTTCAAAGACGGTTATGGTATGGGGTGGAATCAACGCCCGTGCCCGAATGGATCTTTGCACTAATTAAGGGGGTTCTTCTGGAAGATTTCGGTCCAATTCGCTCTCCATTTATAGGACAAAACTTCGTGTTTGTCGAACGTATGTACCTCCAGTCGTCATTACCCATTACTTGGGGTTCTTACTCCCATTACATAGAGATCATACCAAACACTTATGGTAGATGATAAAGAGAAGGGTTAAACAGCGTTCGCCGTCTCCAACCAGCGAGAACAGCTTCAAACCTCAGAAAAAGATTTTGTTTTACAAGACAACTTCTAGTCCAATTAATTATTCTTTTCATCTAAAGTTTTTGTTGACATGAAAAATTAGTGTCACGAGCGGGATTCGAACCCACGACCTTTGTCTTAATATGCCGCTGCTCTTCTAACCACTTGAGCTATCGTGACTTCGATCCCCTCGGACACCAACTTTCCATCTCAACCTACAACCGTTCGAATTTTCCCTCTTTAAAGGAAAAAATATCTCGCCGAAAATCAAATCCTGATTAGACGTTTGAAAAATGGCAAAAAGAAGGGAAAATTCGAAAGGTTGTATAGGTTAAGATGGGGAGTTGGTGTCCGAGGGGATCGAAGTCACGATAGCTCAAGTGGTTAGAAGAGCAGCGGCGTATTGAGACGCAAGTTCGAATCCCGCTCGTAACAGTACTTTTTCATCTCAACAAAAACCTTAGATGAAAAGAATAATTAATATGGTCAATTATGGTCACTAAACAGATAGACAAACTTCTAGTTTGAAGTTGTTTGTTTTTTGACTTAACTACATAATATAATGTAAAAATATTAGTTTTATATATGCTTAGAAGTATCAATGTGTATAGGAATTGATTATTGTCAGTACAATAAATTAAACTAGAAAACGCTGACGTGGTAAGATGTGTGTTTAATGTTTTCCGACATCTAAGACCAATCTTTTGTAATTTCCTTTGACATATATTAACAGAAACAAAGCTATGAGTCCAAAGACGACCATACAATAATTCATCCAGCCGACATCTGAAACAAGAAAGGTATTTTAATTTTAAAAAAGTATTCCAAGATGGAAGACAAAATTTAAATAGTTTTATGTGGTGATTAGTGACCGTTAGTCGATTATTCGGAAATCGTGAGATGCGGTCTGGTGTGACGTAGGTTTCAGAAAAACATTTTCTTTATCGTCCCAACGTTTCGATCTTTATTGAGATCATCTTCAGGGCTCAAAATGTTTGTTTTCTGCGTAATTGTGCCATCCTTGTGTATCGTGTTGAGAGTGCCAGTGAGGTACCAACTCTCAATAAAGATCGAAACGTTGGTACGATAAAGAAAATGTTTTTCTAAAACCTACGTCACACCAGACCGCATCTCACGATCTCCGAATAATCATCTTTAAATAGTTTATTTATCTATTTTCTAATTTTAAGCCCTTCAACCACTTAATTTTTTATTCAGTTCAAAGTTAGGCCAAAAATTAATATTCATTCCAATGTTATTGTCATTACTTATGGGAAAAGGAAGATTTTTTGATACCAAAAATACTATTCGACGGAATCATTGGTCTATTGGGTATTTTAATTGTGGCTTATGACAGGAAAAACAAACGGGATAACAGACATCTAGTAAAATAGTTTCAAACAAATTATAAATATTTTCACATAACATGTTACCATAAAAAAACCAAGACATTTAATTACTCCGTACAAAAAATGTGGAATAATGTGTTGAAGATTGTTAAGCATAATTTGTAATGAGATTCTACGCTTGATCGGGTCTGCCAGATAAAACCAGAGATTAAGCAAGCTAAGATGATCGAAGACATCCAAAACTGAAATGGTAAAAAAATCACTATAAACACATAAGCTTCAAGCGTTTAGCTATATCGGTTCTAAATCAATCAAAAACTAGCGGAACTCGCCTAAAACGATCGCCGCTATATTCTTTACACTGCACCGTCAAATCAAATGGGTTATAATTAAAGCAATGTGGAACAATAAAGACTGGAAGAATGATCGTGAGTTCAAAGGAAAATCTAATCCATGTAGTGTAGTATAGTTAGTGCACTAGCTTAATGTTAGCCCTTCTTCAATATATCTGGGAAAAACTTTTCATTCGCAAACATTTCGATTTGGACTGGAAAGAATGTTGACTCTGCGGGATGAACCTGACGCAGCGCAAAGCAACGCCTTATCACATATGTGGGATGCACGCCAAGCGACAGTTGCACGGTATCTCTCAGTAGTCATTTGCCGAAGTATTCGCGAAATGGATAGCTCTGAGGAAGGCATGGTTCAAAAGAGAACAGAAAAACTTGGGGGAACTGAACCTTACTAGAGATGTATCTGGCGAATATTGATGCGTTGACTGGAAAAGGCAAAAAATACTGATTCCACCTGGATTTTCGGATGACAAACAACAATTTGGAGATGCCTGCATGGATCAAGCAGAAGTATTTTTACCATGCTCAAAAAAAACCAATACTCAATCTTTCAATTTTGTACATTCATGTTGACGGATTTTGCGCATACAATTTCTTGAAAAGAGGTGATGATGAATTTCGTAATGGATTGGGTTGAACCACCCGATGCTATTCGGCGAAAATCTGGCCAGTGGAGATCTTCGCTGTAAAACGTGTAGAATCGAGCGGTGCTGAATCACGTCAGACAAAATGTGTACTGTAAAGGTGGCCATTCACGATCGCTCCAAATGGAACCGCCCAAGCCGTTTAGCTCCATTTGGAGTGCCTGAAACTTGACGGGGTATTCACGACCGCTCCATCGCCAGTCGCTCCGAACGTCATCTAGTGAATTACCTTCTCAAAATGGACGACGATCTCTTGTACTACGCTGCTGTTTGTTTATATATTAAAAGCATAAAACCGAAGAGGAAATGGTGTTAGAAGTGGCTCCTGAAGCCGTAATACACACATCAATTTGATGAAAGATCTTTCCCTTGAACCCGCTGATTGGAGGATTCATTATCTTTAGTGTTCTATTGACCAAATTACGTCTTTCAATTAATCTTTTCTTGTAAGGTTTTGGTTGAAATGAAAAGCTAGTGCCACGAGAGGGATTTGAATCCATAACCTTCGGATAAATACGGCGCTGCTCTACCACTTCAGCTATCGTGACTTCGATCCTCTCGGACACCAAAAAATGGCAAAAAGAGGGAAAATTCGAAAGATAGATTGAGATGAGAAGTTGGTGTCCGAGTGGATCGAACTATCGAAGTCACGATAGTTCAAGTGGTTAACGCAACGGCGTATTTAGCCGAATGTCTTGGATTCGAATCCCGCTCGTGACACTATTTTTTCATTTCGATCAAAACCTTACAAAAAAAAGATTAACGTCTTATTTATATTTACTCCAGCTTGTTACCCCCTTGATTAGAAAACAAAAGACAGTCATGAGAGAAATCATCACTCTGCATGAAAGGTTGGCAGCCACATTACGTTCTCTAAGTTCACTTAAGTTCTCTACGACGATTTCTGCTCAGCGCTTAGGGGTTATCAATACTGCATCTCCCGTTGCATTTGTATCCTTTGTTTTGAAATGGTCGACCAACCGGTGTTGAGGACCGAATTTCTTTTATTTCTATTGTGGTAATCATTGTCCACCACATTCCATAAATATTGTAAACTTTCATACAATTCAATCACCTCAACAATAAAATCTCGATTGGATGTCATTGCCAATAAAGAATAAACGTTTTCGACTTTTTGAGAATGTACGACGGAGATGTTTGGTCAGTGCCAGAAAGACGGAGATTGCGATGGAATATTCGGCACAGCCGGGCACGCCAGTTCAGTTTTGCCATTGACGTGGTTTTTGGAACGGCGTCGCTCCGTTTGGACTGCTAGGAGCGATCGTGAATGGCCACCTTAATAGATATGAAAAATTGAACATCGGGTTGACGTGCGATGGCGCTGCATCATGTCGCGTTGCGTTCTGACGCCAGCTGCGACGGCAACGTCAATTAATACTCACTCGCTCTTGGAAATATGTAAAGCTCTGCGTAAATCAAGCATGTGCAGAAATTTGATATGGCCATCATGCAGCCGGCGGTGATTTCTTCGGAAATCGGGTAATTGACCTCGGCAGCCAGCTCGTAGTAGAGGGCCGGTGAAGCCCAAAGAACCGACAGCCCGCCGATTACAACTATCGAAAAAGTACCTAGGAAAATGAAATAAATATGTAAAGAAAACACAGGCATTAAGAATTTATTAACATAAAATAATTTGTGGTGTAACATAAATCCGTAGTGATTTTACTAATCGACTTGTTCTGATGCGAGATTCGGATATTGAAGATGACCAAAGAATTTTTAGAGCGTCACGAAATAATTGAAAACTTCGAAATTGTTAAACCAACGAAATAAAATCACTGGCAAGTTAAAACAAGGCGCTATTTAAGCAAAGACTAAGCTGAGCTTTGAACTGAGCAGCTAGAAGAAGATAGAATAACTGTTTCGTGAAACAAGTAATGAACGAACATACAGCATACGATAGGTGGATGGAGCATAAATACACGCTCAGTTAATAAAGAACCGATTCCTACTTTATGAATGAAGGTATGAGGTTAGGTCAGACATTAACAAAAGAAATGTATTGGTCTAATTTAAATAAAAAGTACTTAAATATAGAAAATAACCAGCATGAATTGAACCATGCCCACTTTGTCTGTTACCTAAATCCTAATGGCTAACTGTCATACTAAATGTGCTATTCGATTCGACTTAACAGGAAAAGAGGCTACACACATACCGTTTATCTGTCCAGTTCACCATGTGTGACATCATGTCTGAGTGATAAACGTGAGGACTGCGAAGTTTACACAGGTTCGGATCACCTTTGCAACGATTAACTGCGCAGCTTATGCATTTATCGTACAGCCTGCTTAATTACGTCTGGCTTCTGTTCTTTAATCATGTAAAAAAGATGCACTTGTAGTATTTACGAAATGAAACCGGTTTTGAAAACTACTTCCAGTTTTCAGGAACAGTAGAGTAGAATTAGTCTGACATGAGGTGACATTGCTTTTCTCAAAACTGTGTCCTTTTTTTCCAACAAGGGGACGCTCTTTGAACAGTATCATTTGAAATATATTTCCATTCTTAAATGATTTGTAAAATAATTACTTCTCCCTCGTAAAGTAACTGGTAATCAATCGGTAAAACCATTCTTTGCAGATACCAAACTTTGCACTATCCTCCTTCTTCAAGCAAAACAGCCAACAAACAAACTGTGGCTCTTGTTTTTCCCTAACCCATTGTGCCCTTCGCCAAACGTGACAGAACTGAAGAAAATATTGGACAGAACTGAGGCAGTTCAATTAATTGTACAGATTTGTATACAACTGTGCAGATAAAGTAAAAAAATTATTCAGATATCGTGAGATGTGGTCTGGTGTGGTGTAGGTTTCAGAAAAACATTTTCTTTATCGTGCCAACGTTTCGATCTTTATTGAGCCCTGAAGATGATCTCAATAAAGATCGAAACGTTGGCACGATAAAGAAAATGTTTTTCTGAAACCTACACCACACCAGACCGCATCTCACGATATCTGAATAATTATCAATTAACGTTCACTAATCTCTACACTTAAAGTAAAAATGAGTACCCCCTCAATACAGGTCCAATTCCCTTAAATCGAGCCATGTTAACTAGACGATTCTAACAGACATACGCCATCATTTTTCTCGTTCTCAGGCGACAACAGAATTAATAAGATTTACCCAAAGATCGTGAATACCTCTTTTAGGAGTATGTAGAGGAAAACTGAGAACGCTGAGCAGTGTTTTAGAGTTATTTCAGAAATGGCATCAGAACCCACTACCGAAAGAGTTTTTAAGGAAATTATTTTGGATATAATTGCATCATAAGGAATAGAGATAACGGAATTGGAATCTGAGGAGGTTATCACGGCTATTGATGGCATACCATGTCCATACATCAAACAGGACCACTACGATGCCTTTCTTCTGATTCAGTTCTTTCTTTGGGGCAGTATAAAATACGCTCATAAACAACTCCCGCTACTTGAGCTTTAATTGCACTGTGAAAATGTTAGAATACTGTGTTTTAGGTGGCTCAGATGGTTTGCAATGAGATAAACCTGAACCCTGGTCGATTCTGGCAGAGACGTCGGCTGGAGTGACCGGAGACGAAAAATCTGCTACTGTAAATAGTTAAAAGATGAAATGTATTATAAATGCTCACGACGATTCAATCGATTAGCTCCACCTTAATACATCAAAAATTAGTTGAAAACTCATAAGACAATAATCACAGCCTGTGTTACACCATCAATTTGACCGTGGTAAAAAGGTGAAGAGGTGTAGGCCATACTGGAACTCTCAGTGTAGGATTGTTGGTTGCGGTTTAGGGTTGAGTTAGGTCATGATGCTGGTTTTTAGGCGGCATATATTGTTAGGGTAGGACGATGAAGAAACGGCTTTAGCCAGTGAATTGGTATGGGAGGAGAGCTTGAAGTAGAAGTTGTGCAATCGTATTTGGACACCGTTACGATGGGATGTCTGTCTTTGACGGTGGTTTAGTTAGTGACTTAAAAAGAACGTTGAGGATGTGACGGAGGACTTTTGATTGAAATGATTGGATTCTTTGGTTAATAGATATTTGGCTGAACCCCATAGTTCGACTCCTAAGTTCAAATCGGTCTTATTCTTGTGTCGTTAGTTTCTTATGTGTACTCATCGTGGATTTGGATCCAGATAGGCATCTGAGTCCGTATCTTCTATTCTTGTCTTTTTTGTTTTATTTGTTCCGTGTAAGTCTGCTGTCCAAGTAGAACCCAAAGTAGAAGATTTGGTTGGATTACCTTACAGTATTTGTGCACTGGAGGGCAGATGCTTCTAAATCTGAACGTCACGTGCCGGCTCTTTTGTTAAAAATGTACAAGTAGGGAAATGACTATATTAAATAGTAAGTATAGGATCATTACAGATCACAAATCCTGAAATCTTGAAAAACACTACGAATATATGTTACAGTTTACTAGACCATATAGTTATAGATGTTCCATTAAAATTACACATAGTTCAAATGAAGCTGAAAATGTCCATTCTCTGAGCTACACTCGTACCTTTGTTGAATTCCAACGTTCTTGTCGTCAAAAGGAGTATCCATATGAACATAAAATCGGAAAACGCCATTAGGACAATAAGGATCGTCTTTATATGCCCGGGTCGGAGATCTGAAGCTTTGCTTACGGACAAACCCATGAGGCAACTGCAGATAATTGTCCAAAAACCTAGTTGTGCCGTCTCTTTCTTGAAAGGACAAACGCTGAGTATATTTGTAAAAATGCAAAGTAACTTAAATCTTTATACGCCGTCCAAAAACCTGTGAAATTCCTGTTTGGGCGAAAATTATTGTTAGAAGCGATAGCCATGGTCCAGATATTCCTGAGCAAAGTCCATTCGCTAAAGACAGTTTCCAAAATTCTAAATTGCTGAAAACAAATAAGATGTGTTTTACTAATCGTTTAAATTGACCAGCGTTGTGTTTACCTTAGTGTCCCTTTGATCGCTTTGAGAAAAGGAGATTCTTGAGTCATTCTCAAAATGGACGATCTGCTAGCTGGTACTTTAGGTTTATCCGGAAACGTGAACAAAATCAAGAGAAACAATAGCAGTTCCATTGCAAAACCTATCTCGCAAATAATTTGAGATAAATCAAGTATAATTTGGGAAGGGGGGAAGTACTAACACATAATGAGATATTGTAGGATCTGTTGACGTATTAAAGTTCGTCCGGACGAAAGCTGCAGTTTATCTTCAAATGCGGAAGGCTCATTCACGACGAACGGGCCAATTAAGTAACTGCCTGCAATTCCTAAAAGTGACAGGGACGTGCCGATGCCTAAAAATGTTCTCTCTTTATAAAAATTTATTGAACAATTTAAAAATAATTAAAACCTGTCGCGGACGTTCTTTGGTTTGGTTGGAACCAAGTCGAAGAGAGCTGGACGATGGCAGGAGAAAGGATGACACCTCCGATGGAGTTGAGTATCGCGCCGAAATGCGCAAAACTTTAATTAATTTATTAATGTTTTTAATATAATTAATTAATATAATTTCTTTAACCAGACGGTTTAACATTACCTACAGTGTAAAAAGCTCCTCTTTTGTCGTCAAAAGACGGATTCCCGATCCCGACATGCACAGGAATGAGGAGAGTACAAACGATGTTCTCAGCCCTTTTATAAAACATGATCAACGGATATAATGAAGTGAAAATTTTTTATACAATAAACATACCTTTTTCTTTTAATAGCCAACAACAAGGTGCTATGAAGAACAGGAAAGTTATACTTCCCCAGTTATTAAGTAATGCGATTGTGCTTTCTCGCCAGGTCGGAAAGGCATAAAGCGCAGATTTAGCTATAGGACTCCACGTATTCCATACAATCACCTAAAATAAAGATTTCATACAGCAATAACAGTGAAAAAAAATTATTTTAAGTTAAGGAGTATGGCATTCAGCAATAACTTAGCCTATCTTTATTCCCGGGTCAAGACCTTATTACCCTTAAAATTTTCCGACATTTACCCAAACAAGCAATACTGTACAATACAACTATTTACAATGCAATATTTCGCACAACCTTGGTTTACCTAGGTTTTCCATTCAGTGGAAACTATTTTTAAGAACCCAATACCAAACCACACAAATCCCCTTGTGCGCCATCCTCTTAGATCAATATCCTTCGTAACATTGGCATATGTCGCCCACACAACTCACCATCTTCCTATCCTGTCTCCCCTGAAGAATTAAACACCCAATTTGTCTCGCCTAACTCTTCTTCATCAATGCCTGTCCCCATACCCGCTCCCTCTGGTCCCTCATGCAGTTCGTCTAACTTCTATTTCTCCTATCTAACCCCAGCCGAAGTCCTCGAGGCCATAACTAAATCCCACTCCAATGCCATTGGAGTTGATGGCATGCCTATCCATTTTCTTAAACTCTGCCTCCCAATATTACTGTTTTTCCGACAGCATGGCAAAAAGCTCTTGTCCACCCTGTCAATAAAACCCCCAACCCATCCTCTCCTACAGACTACCGTCCCATTTCCATCCTCTCAAACCTGTCCAAGCCCCTAGAAAGATTAGTCCAAGCACAAGTCTCCAGGCACCTTGAACAGTCCCATCTTCTCAACCCCCTCCAATCTGGCTTCCGCCGAGGTTATTCCACCAATCAGCACTAATAAAAATTACCAGTGACCTCCACTTAGCAATGGACCAACGGAAAGTTACTATACTTGTCCTTCTTGATTTTTCTAAAGCCTTCGATTCTATCCCTCACTCTTCTCTCCTCTCTAAACTCGAATCTTTTTCCTTCTCCGCTAGCACCATCCGTTGGTTCCACTCCTACCTTACCAATCGTCACCAAGCTGTCTCCCTTCGCAATGGCCTTACCTCCTCCTTCCTCCCTCTCAAATCTAGGGTGCCCCAAGGCTCTAGCATCTCTCCTATCCTTTTTTCAATTTATATCAATGATCTGCCCGACTTCATCCAGTCCTATAACTATCGCCTATATGCCGATGACTCCCAAATATACATATACTTCTACCCTTCCGATCTTCACTCGGCCACTCTCAAGATCCAAAAAGACCTAAACTCCATCAACGAATGAGCCCATAAAAATTCCCTTGTCCTCAATCCGTCTAAATCCACCGCCATAATTATCGGGTCCGGGCAACTCCTCAATTCCTTCCCCAGCATCCCACCTCTCATGCTAAATAACCATCCCATCCCCTTCTGCTCTTCGGTTAAAAACCTAGGAGTGACCAAAACCTTTCCTGGCATTCTCACATTTCCCAAATTTCCCAACATTCCATTGCCTCCCTCAGCCTGTTTCGTCGGTCCTGGCTTCTCTTACCTTTCTCCACCTGCAAACTCCTTGTATCCTCCCTTATACTTCCCTTCTTCGATTATAGCTGTTTGGCATACGGTGGTCTTTCAGAGGGGGAGAACGCGCGATTAAAGCGTATTATGAATTGTTGCGTAAGATTTGCGTACGGCACCACACGGGGATCCCGGGTGTCGGGGTTATATTCCCTACTTTCCTGGCTATTCCCCTCCTTCCGTGCACAGTATTTCCTAGGTTGTTTTCTTTTCCAGTCCATCCACACTCGTCGTCCTCCTTACATCATCCAATCCCTCCAATTCAACTCCTCACATCTCACTTGTAAGACCCGTTCATCCCCAATCGACCTTATCCTTCCGCAACATACAGCCCATACCTTCGAAAGATCCTTTCTGATCCGAGCCCCTAAACTCTGGAACTCCCTTCCCCTTTCTATTCGTCACGCTGCCTCCTTTTCCTCCTTTAAATCCCACCTGTATAATCACCTCCTCTCCCTCCAAGCAAAGACCTCACGTTAACATTTGTTATTTTTGTTTAATATTCTCGTAATTTTTTCTTCTGTCCTACCTTATTGGTATACATTGTGCCAAGATTTCTATTTTTTTTTTTTTACTTTTAACTTCATAGAAGGAACTTCCTTTATTTATTTCATGTAAATTATTCTTAGCGGACACCAGTCCCAGAATAAAGTTATTTTTCTTCTTCTTCTTCTTCCTTCCTATTTTATCCAAAATATTTGAACGTCTCCTCCTAAAAAGTCTAATTCTCATATTAGACTTTGCAAACTTAATTCCTAACCATCGATTTGATACTGACCTTCCCATTCTCCTGTTCAGTAAGGTATCAGAGTAATCGACACGATATGTTCGGCTCTAACAAACTGGTCGTTACAGAAGCATTGAACCGAGAGTGGCCTCCTTTACAAGCTAAAACGTATTCTCCCTCACACCTACTATCTCATCCTGAAGACCTTTCTCTCGATGGTTTAAAATGATAATCGGCACCGATATTTCACCCATCATGCCAATCAAAGCTGGCGTTACACAAGGATGTATCCTAGGTCCAATCCTGTACACCATCTACACTGGTGATATACAAGGTCGTAACAAAAGTCTTTGTGCATTAATTAATTGTTGATAATAAAGTTTCCGTTTTAATCCTTATTCGACTCTGGTGAAAACAGTGCATACATCATTGTTTTCTTTGACTAATCCTTTATTTAATTATGTATTCCAACTGACTCTGCCTTATTCCTTTTTATAATTCTCACCGAAAAAGTCGGAAGAAAAAATTATTCGTGGTCTACTGAGGCACTACGGGAAAAAGTACTAAGTGCGAAGGCACCAGCCGAGGAAATTTGTGCAACGGAAGGTGAAAATGTCGTGCAGCGTAACACTGCAGTTTAGGTTCAGGTGGTTCAATTTTGACAACATGGACAACACTCTTCGAGACGAGGGTAGATGTGGTCGCCCTTCAGTGGTGGATGATGCTGAATTACTCGAGTCAGTCAATAAGCATCCATATGCGACCACTCGAAGATTATCGTTCAAAACGCGGGTTTCAAATTCAATGGTAAGCCGCCATTTAAAAAAGCTTAATGTCCGAAATATACGACCCAGATAAGTAAAAGTTTGCTTCAAAACCCAAAATATGATAGATTTTGGAAGAGAACTGTAAAAATGGAAATTTTTTAAAAATACTATCCACCTAAAACAGTGGGTACCGCAAGGCCCAGAGGTTCAAGCGCAGGTTCGCCAAGGACGATTTGGAAAAAAGATTATGCTTTGTGTATGGTGGAATTATGAGGATGTTTTGCACTTTGAGATGGTTCCAGATGGCGGGCTATGAGGCAGAGCTTTACTGTGAAACACTCGAGAGAGTATATGGAGAAGTACCCTGCTTTGCTCAATCGGGATAAAGCGATATTTTAGCAAGACAACGCCCATCGTTGACGTTTAGCGAAAGAAAAATTTCAAAAATGAAGTGTTAGCATCTTGCCCCACCCTTCTTAATCCCTTACGTCGCACCGTCTGATTATGGTCTTTTCCGGTCAATGGAGCATTTTTTTAAAAGGCCGGAACTTCGAAAACTACGAGGATTAGGATCAAATTAGGATGTGAGGAGTTCTTCGCCTCGAAAACCAAGGACTGGTATCACCACCAAATTCAACTTCTGACATTGAGCAATAATTTCCGTGTTTACATTTTATACTGAAATTTAAATAAAACTTAATTTATGCACAAAGACTTTAAGAACCAGTATTTTACCTAGAACACAACCAAGCACCCAACTTGTAAAACCGTAATTCTATCTGCTCAATTCAATTGTATCCTAGCCTCAGAAGCAATCCAACAAATTCTGAACCTCTTTAACGACTGGTGCACTCAGTGGCGGATCAAGTTGAACGAGTAAAACAGCCAACAAGTTAACGCTTACGCTAACGTCATAACTGCCCACCAGTGTTCATAAACAACAAGGTAATAGTACTCTACCCTTGGCCTTTACTTACATGGAGCCCACATAAAGATTAAAACGACAGTTAATTAACTAAAGATATGGACTACTCACACGTATACTGGGACTAAAATAAACCTTAAGCATACATAACAAACTAAATGATTAAAAAACTCTCATCAGACCTATTTTGACCTACGTTTTCGAACCGTGGGGTCAAATCCTACAACATCCAACGAATCCTTTCAATTCAAAGTTTTTCGCTGAGTACCCAACGCTTCCTTCTACGTCACCAATCAAATGATCCTTAAAGATCTTAAAATCCGATTCGTCAAGGATCTGATCCGAACAAGTTTCCTTAATTTCCACTCTACTATCCTTCCACTCCAACCCACTAGCCCAAACACTTTCAACCGATCCACCCCTAAAATCCTCCTCGACGTTTAAAACTACGATGACCTCGCGATCTCCTTTCCTAGTCCTTCAAAAAATTAAACAAGAGATTAGGGGCGTCTGTGGCCGTATCGGTTTAGGCGTTGACACGGCGCTCATCACTGCAAGGTCTTTACCTTGGCCTTTGGGTCCCGGGTTCGAATCCAGCGGCCCTGCATTCGAACCCGACATAGTTAACAATGGGCTTTTTTCAAAAACACCGGCACTCTGAGGGTTGATATGACCTCTGCTGTTGCGAACCCTCGTAAAAAAAAAAAATAATAAAACAGAGTTACAGCTCAGGCTGATTTCTCTACCCACTACCTCCTAGTCTGAAAGATCTGTTAGATTTGTAATAACTATGGTATTTTTAATGTATATTCTTTTTGTACAGTAAGCAATAAATAAAAAATTTTTTAAATAAATTCATCACAATGCTAAGACATATAATTCTCTTTTCTATGTTATAAGAACATAATACATACGAACCCAAAATATTCGGTTCACCCAATTATAAATGTAAATAGTTAGACCAATTAAAAACATAGGAATGACGAACTACTCCAAACGTAGTTTTTAAGCAGTAGTTCTTTTTACCTGGCAAAATGAAGTCATGCTGTACAAGGCCAAAACGTACCACTTCTTCGACGTTGCTTTGCTTATGAAGTCCAAATTGTTCTTCTTTTCGTCTACATAATCGAGCAGAATGTTTTCCTCGCTCTCACAGTCCGAATCGCTAAAAAATAACTTCAAACTAACGCATATCGATGAGAAATCAGTCATATCCGCCCAAACTATGACCTAACGTAAACTCACTAAAATGAGTAAATGTAAATAAATCATATGTTTTGCCCGACTTTTTGGAAGAGGTTATCAAAAACCATTACTGTAGATGTTCATTATCATCCGTTTTCACTCATCCGCGGTTGCCTCCACCCCCCAGTTAAGTTCTATAGGAGAGTGGGAATCCGGCATGGAATAAACTTTATGTATGTTCGTACATTGTATTTTTCTTATTGGAAAAAAAACCCTGAAATATGTGTACTTTACATTCATGACATTGACCATAGACTTATACGATACAGAAAGTGTCTGATTGGTATGCAGGTTTCGAAGCCTGAAATTCAAGATGTTACCTACTACCCGCGTTTCTCGTTATCCGCTGTGTTCCTCCATACGTACCCCCCGCGGATAACGATAGTCTCTAGTACTATTTTTCTTTCATATTATCGAAAATTATATCGTGTTATCCCTTTTCGCCTAACCATGATTTGATTAAACAATACTTATAACTCGTATCCATCAACTTGAACCTTCCAGTTAGTACATAGATTAAAAACATATTAGACATTAATAGTTTACGATTAATGTGTATTTTATGTAGACATAGACGTAAGTCTTTTCATAGAACAGACTATTCCTTCCACCCGGGTCGAGCAGTTTCCAACGAGTACATTTTTTCTTCTCGATTTTTGCGATTTTCCATAATGGTTTGAGTCTCGATATCTAAAGGATTGTCTTTTTTCTCGAATTGTGTTCCCCTATGGCCGACAGGTCCTCGTTTGTCAATTATTTCCTGTACTTTCTTGCATTGTTCGTAGCCTTTCCCTTCCCTGAGAATCCACCAGTTATCGTGCTGTCTGAATTCGTGCCCGTGGAAAAAGTCCATTGGAGGAGGTTCTTCGGAAACCTCTATGTAGTGTTTTGTAGTTTTCTCTCCCGGTTTCCAATCCATGAATTTGTAATAGAAACCCGTGTCGTATTTTCCGTGGGCTGCCGGATAGATCGGAGGAAGTGTCAGTCCCATGCAGCAATCCTCTTTGTAGCAATATTGGGGAGGTGCGTTGACGTATCCGCATTGCGCCGGGGCCATGCACGGTGCAACGGGATAATTACAATTGCATGCGCCCACCGCCATCATCGGACAACGTCCTTCTGGAAAGAGTTCACAAGGTGAATTCATAATCGGGCAGCCGATTTGGTTTCTGCCCGTTTTATCCGCGTTGGCTGTAGGATTTTCGTCCCCGGCAATTACGGCAGGTTTGATTCCCGTCAAAGGACACTTGGGCTTCTCCAGCATGCACTTAGGGGTACCGCCTACCAGTTTCTGTCCGTGACTGTTCGCAAAATGTTTCTTTTTGCTGGAAAGTTTTATCGGTCCGCTCTTGTCGGCGTCGGCCTTCGGCTTTTGGTTTTGAGGTCGATTGGCAGTTGTAGTAAGTTGAGCTACTTTCTGGCCCACAGATGTAACATGTTTTTTTTCAACCGTCTGTTCTATTTTCCCAGATTTTTTTGTTAAATCTGATTCACTTTCGTTCACCGTGCGAACGGTATTCACCGACAAGTTCGACTCAGGCTCCTTGATACTTTCGGGTTTCACAATCGGCGCTTCGTTTGGTTTTATTTCCGGCGTGATTTTTGGTTTGACCGGGCAAATCGGGCGTTCGACGGGACATTGGATAGAGTTTAGAGGACAAGCGTTAGTTTGGGTCAGATTTAAACACGGACAGTTCTCCAGATTCAAAGGACATTTGATCGTCGGTTTATTGGCACAAGGACAGCACTTGCAGGACGGTCTTGCTTCAGATTTGTAAATGTCATAATTTGCCTTTTCATACTCCATCCCATTCAAACCGCCTGTGCATAAACAATTGAAATCGCTAAACATTCCATTGTCTTCACTTTTCCCTTCGTTTAGCAGTTTTGTGAGTGATTCAGGAAGGAATGCGACATCTATAGCTTTATTTTGAAGATCGCTGAATTTACCCGGCTGTTCAGATTGTGCATTTTTACCGATCGACAATGCATTATTTTGAGCTATAGGAGAGCTTGTTTTTGGTGGCGTTATGTTCGATGTTTTCTGCTTAGGCGGCGCGTTCTCACAGAAACACAGCATTCCCTCTGTCGTGAGTGGTTCGTTTATCATTGGTTCGCAGTCTTCGGCTTTGGCGCACCAATTGCACAGACGAGTTATTGGAGGCGGCGTGCAATCGTTATTCTGAGGACAAATAAAAGGACACCTTCGGAAAATTGGAGGGAGCGACTCGGGCTGAGCCAGCGGGCAGCACGGCGGACAACTCGCAGGCTGACACGCACAAACGCATTTATTATGATTTATTTTTTCCAGGGGGCAAGGTGGTTCGAACGTCTGAGGCGGACTGAGGCAGTCCTGGTCTTGGCAAAAGCATATCTTGTCCGTTTTGGGGATTGTAGGCGATTTAGGATCGTATTTGGCCGCAACCGGGAAAAGGCAGTAAGGACCGAGAGGACACTCGTTCGGACTGAAAGGACAGACTTGGTCGTCTTTTTCCGGCGACCTGGGCTGCGGCAAAGGACGCGACAGCGGACAAGTGGGGACGTGAAATGTCCGTTGGGCGGTCGGTGAGCTCAGTTTACTCGGACAACTTGAACCGCACGGACAACCGCACTGAGGAAATTTATAGCCGACACCACATGCGCACGTTTGGACGGTTGACGTTTCTTCGCATGGGCATTCATTCGATCCAACAATCAACGACTGGGGAGCACTAATACATTCGCACATAATAAATTCATCGAAAAATCTGAATTCCGGACTCTCGATTTTGGCTGATATTCTATTTGCGAATTGCCCCGCTATTTCTTTATCTTTTTCAGAAATGTTAGCTGTAGTAGGTTTGCTTGGCGGCTCGTGGCAAGTAAAATTGGGCATTCCCAACGGTGCTTTGCACAATTTTGGAGCGTCCATTTTGTTGATCACGTTTGTTCTGACGTAGGTCGAAGGCGACGGGAGCATCTTAGCGAGCTTGCTTCTATTCATAATTCTCGGTTGAGTCTGCTCCTTCGTCATGTCGTTTTTACTTTCCGTCGATTTATACAAAGATTCTGTCCTAATTGACGGATAATTTGTCAGTTTTCTTCGCCTTTTGTATTCACTCCAACAGCGACAACCGCCGACGTCTTCTCTTGTAGATTTAGTAGAATACAAGTCGCTCGTCGTTAGATTTACCCAATCCCGGCGTCCATCGTAATAATCTTCTATTCCTTCAAGAGCACTGGTCGTTTCCACTGTAGAGGCGTGTTCTGATTTCGTTTCAAAATCTGTACGGAGATTCCCTCTTTTCGTGTCTACAAAATAAGGAAATTGATCAGATCGTGACTGAGTGTATTGATCAAACGGATGCTTTCTATGGGATGTTTTCTGGTACTGCTCTTGATTTGGAGAAGGCACAGATTCTTGGTTTTCGTTAAGTAACACGATGCCACTTTCTTGTTCCTTTCCGTGCGTTATTTGCGGGCCTGGCTTTGTGGCCACTTTTTTTATTAGATCTTTCCGAATCCCTTTTTGACTACTACTTCCCCTTTGGGCTTTTTCCACTTCGACTTCGTGGTTTACGTCCACTATAATTTTTAAATTATTCGGAGGTCCTTTTTCGGCGGGCTTGTGGTTCTCTTCGGCCGATCCTTCCAACTCTATTTTTGAAGAATCTACAGGCACGCAATAGCATATTTGAGGCGTCGGAGCCAACATCGTCGGACAAATATTACCTTGTTCTAAAGGACATTTGACTTTACCACTATGAACTAGACACTCGGGACACGAGAAAGAACAAGGATTGGGAATTACTGGACAATAGCATCTACAGTACGGCTTTTGGCACGGCGGTGGAGGCAAACGTTCGACCAACGGATTCGGAGGAACTCGAGACAGCGGACACGACACAGCAACGCAAGGGCAAGGCTCTGGGAGGAATGGACATTTCGGCCCGGTATCAATCGCCGGCACATTGGAACAAAGGCATGATGCATCGCATGTATCAATAACTTGTGTAAACGGACATTTAACAGCTCTAGCCTTGCAGTAAACCTTCGAATTGTCATAATCAACAGATCGTAATGGACAGTCGAGCAACTGCATCAGACAATCGGCACAAGGAAAGGGCCTCCTAGAATTCAGCGTACAGTCGGGAACGAATTTATTTATTCTATACGATTTTTGGTCGTTCTTATTCTTCTCGGTCGAAGTATGTTTCTTCTTCTTTTTGCCCGAGGGTGATTTGCTCAAAGCTACCGGCTTTTCTTTTCCCGGTGCATTGATCCCTCTTTTACATTTCTTACAAGGAGGCAGTTCGATGGTTCGGTTTACTCGACATCTCGCGACAGTATTTTCAGGTTCCGGCTCGGGTTGGGCACAACAACAGCAGCAGCATTGCCGTTGCGGCGGAGGCGGTGGTTGATTGGCAAAACAGCCTCCTTTTTGTATTATGTCCATGACTTTAGCAATGGTGCATCCATTTTCCTCTGGAAGTAACGGGCATTGCTGTGTAGCGAACATGCATTTCGGCTTCTCTAAAACAGGACAGTTTTCTTTTAGTAACTGCCCTTTACCTTCCATAATCGTCCGTTTGCATGTAGGCCGGTTGAGAACACAATCCATTTTGTTTCTGAAAACACAAATTCACAGAATTAAATATACCAAAATCAAAATATTTGACTTATTATTTATCTTATATTGTAACTAAAGCCCCTTCAAAATAAAAAAATAAAAATATTTTACGAAAAACTAAATTTAAAATACACAAATTGATGATTCAAATATTGAAAAGTTTTATTAATTACCTCGTAAAAGCAATATATGACTCACCTTAAGTATTTATGTTAGTAATTGAATTATGTGATGAAAAAAAATGTAAATTTTCCGGTGAATCAGGTTATTGGATAATGTTTGGACATGTTTTTGGTTGATGTTGTGTTAGTGACAGTTTAAACAATTTGTGTCAACAGATGTCCATCGTTTATTGTTACCAATATGTTTATTAAATTATTTATGTTATTTAAAAATGAATTTTTTTTAAATAAATAAATTGACAATATTAATACTGGGCAACATTTGGTACTAAAAATAATCAATTATAAATTAATTAAAATATATGATCCTTCAGCTATGCTAATGTCTGTCTAAAACATCAAATCTGAGCTATTATGTACGATCCATAACATTCTTAACGCAAGTAAAACAACGAGTAAATAAGAAACCGGATTTCGACTTGGGAAACAAAATCCCTTTCTTCAATCAAAAAAGTTTTGAAGCTGTTCAACGCTTGTTGGAGACGGCCAAGTTGTCTAATCCTTCTCTTTATTATCTACCATAAGTGTTCTATAGGATCCCTATGTAATGGTAGTAAGTACCCCATGTAATGGGTAATGACGACTGGAGGTACGTAGGTTCGACAAACACGAAGTTGTGTCCTATAAATGAAGGATGAATAGGACCGAAAGCTTCCAGAAGAACTCCCTTAATTAGTACAGCCACAGATCCATTCAGGCCCTGGCGTTGATTCCACCCCATACCACAACTGCCTTTAAAAAGGATTGTGACTCACGCATGGCACGTGAAGCAAAGTTCATATACGGTACATATACGGTCCCGGCCATCTGTAACCACAAGGACACCTTCCATATGGGCCCAGGCAAAGTCCGACCATCAACCCAGGTGCTTGGAGGTAACCAATGATGGAGACAATTTCCCCCCTTACCTACCTATACTCATCCTTGCCTAATTTTCCTTGCTCTTCCTTACCCCCTCTCTGCTTTGACAGAGGTTTCCTGGGTTACTGAACCCGCAACTCTCAGACAACGGGTGCATCTGTACGGGGTTCGTTCGAACTCCCGGGTGGGCTATCAGTCCCACCTTAAAAATAATACTGAACGGCGGGAGTACAGTATCGAAGCGGCTCTGCTAATCGAGGTTGGAATCGTGGTGGTCGTGTTTACAAACAAATTTTACCTTAGCTGGAGGGTACCGGCCAACCGGAGCCGGAGATAGAGTGCCTTCTCTATCTCTCCGGGGGTGTTGAAAGTTACGGCTTAAAGGCTGTGCCAGAAACCACAAAACTGCCTTTAGGGCACTTCTGAACGTGGTTAGTATTGCACCACCTCGCTAGCCAAGAAATGTGACAAGTCTTGTAAAATTTTCCTGGTGTTCTCTTTGAGAGCACTGGGCGTCAGAGAAGTAAGTCCTCTCGGGGATAAGACCGGACGTTAAAGATCCTCATGGATCACAACACCCATGAGTAAAGAAGGGAGCATCGTCTCAGTCATCTCATTGTCACAAATCAAAACGGCAATCTTCAATGTAAATAACTGTCCTCCTTTGTTCAATTGTCCAAGAGATGATGATATGGGAATACCTGGTCCGATTTTGATCAATTTTTTTAAACGCTTTACGATCAGTTTTGTCGTGTTATTATTGCAGTATCAAGTAAAAATGTAAAATTGTTTAAGTTACTGTAAGTATCGCATCGCAAAGCAGTTCAGCTTAACTGCTAATCACCACCGCTGCGGGGATGTATGAGGAGGAGACGTCTATACAGAGTACTACATAAATGTGTAACTAATCTAATCGAGGTTCGATGGGGATATTCAATATATCATCAACCTGCATATTCACTCTCATAAATTCAATCACCTTCAATACACACGAAAAGTAACACAAAACAAGATAACTACTAACGGGGACCGCGGTAGCCGAGTGGTTAGCATGAGAGACTCTCACGCCGCGGTCGTGGGTTCGATTCCCACCATCGCCTCTGGCCCTTTTTTCACAATAACCCCCCCCCCCCAATTTGAACACACATATACGAATTGTCACATGGCTAATATACATAGTTCATAACGCCAAAAAAAAAAAACTACCAAGTAGTATGGGGTACTCGATATTCCTTCATCACTTCAGATAATATACAAGTGTATAACTATTATTATTGAGGTTTGATGTGGGTATTCAATATCCCCCCATAGTTTCCAACTACACATTCACTCTAATAAATACAATCACTCTTAGTATGCACAAATTAAACACAAAACTAAATGTCGTCTTGTAAAATAGTTTTAATGGAATTTGTCGGTATTCTTTAATTTGAGCTAGTATAATATATACTTGGCACAATTAAAGTTCCATCACTGTCTCTTCAACGAATATGCTATGAAAAAACAAATAACATTAAGAAAGTAATCATAGAAAAAAAATCTTGTAAATTTATTACATTTAATTTTAAATATTTTTTAATCTGTATTTATTGTGTTGTTTCGAGAAAAAGCGGGTGTAGGGATGGAAATATACTTTTCCTCGAGAAATATATTAATATATGTGGTTATATAGGTAAGACGAGTCTTGGAAGCCTTTAGAACAAATGACAGTTATTAGTGTACATCAAATGTGTGCGGTACTGTAAAGCACTGCTCGGATGTGCCTTGTCCTTAAGGCATAAAATAAAAACTAGAAGTAAATGTATTTTCATATATTTGTCCTGGATTCCACATGTCAGAAATAATCCACGTGTTTTCCACTGGCCCGCTTCACCCGTGATCGATCTTGCCCTTTACAACTTGTACACGTATTTGTCCTTTCGGATAAAAAAACCGGATTATTATTTTTAAGCATGCACTTATCGTTATTCAAAATGATCTTAGACGCGACGGACGGCGGCAAACAAGATATACGACTCCTTCTGTGGTACAGACTCGTATTATAACTGATAAAATTAGGCTTTGGAAAGTGCGGATCCGCATAAAAGCTCAATTCGTTGAAAAAATCATTCCTAAAGAGATGGGAAGAATTGCTACGGCGAAATTCTCTGTTTCGATGTTTCATAACATTTGATGAGTGGGCGTGATAATCCTTGGAAATCGCGTCACTCCTAGGCTCGAAGCTCCTCATTCTAAGTCTAGTTTCTCTCGTCGAACGCTTGTATTCGGAACTACTCGACCGTTGATATTTGACAGGAAAAACACTCGTTTTTTTTGTATCGTATTTTCCGGTATATTTTTCCGTTGGGAGGAAATCGACGTTTTTCCTACAAGCATACGTCGGCGTGTCTCGATCGGAATGCAACCACTGTCTATCTTCTGACGAGACTTCCCAACACTGTTGACATTCCGAACAATCTTCTGTCAGACAATCCATTTGTGGATAACCGTCAAAATCGTCAGAAGTATGGGTTTTCTTTATCCTTCTGGCAGAACTGCCATATATAGCTTTGTGTCTTTTAACTTTTACCATTTCTTCCGAAGAACTACATCTGATACGGCCGGTCCGCTGTGAATCGTCGGCCCGTTTCAATGGCGTGTTTCTCCTATCTCTGATCGCAAAATTTCTCCTCGGAGGGTATAATTTGATGCATCTATCGTCTGGGGTGACATGGTAATTATTACAAACATGACCCTCACAAGGCGGTTGTCCCGGAAACGCTGAAAGTCTTAATGCGTGGTAAGTATTGTCTTTACGACTTCGATACCAATACTTGCCCATTTTTTTCGCCATGTTGTGTTCGCTTTTCGATTTTCTTCTATCGCACATCCGCCTTCTCGTTTTAAAATTGTCACAATGTTCCGCCAATTCGTCTCGATTGCAAACTACCTTTTTTCGCTTGAATCTGCATTTAGGTAATACGACGCATTCGCAGCTTGTCACTGTGCCGATGGAGACTTTATTGACGATTACCGACTTCACCTTTTTAACACCGTTGCCAGAGAGGCAAGGTTTCGGGAACGTTGGCATATCGAGAAACGAGGACTCTTTGAATTTTTTAATTTCTTTAATAATGTCAGCCACGTCTGGCGAAGGGTTGAAATCAGACCTCTTAGTACAACCCGTTTTCGAATGCTGGCAAGGACCGGATTCTTTACGCATATCGTCATCGTCGTTCTTCGATGGAGGAAAAGGGCAAATAGGGCCTAAAGGGCATGGCCACGGTGAGAAAGGGCACGATTTACCTTTAGTATCTGAACGTTTCGGTAAATTGACTTTACTTTCTAATGACTCGTCTTTGTCGTTTGAGGTTGTGCAAGTTTTCAAATAGTTTTGAATACAATCCATTTCCCACATATTCCATACTTCTCCGACAAGCAGTGGATTTTTCATTGGTATTACATTTTGGTGTGAGGTCGACTGTAAGTTGTCGAAAAGACTTGGATCCTTGCCGCCGTGGGTAGTCGGAGGTCCTGGCAATTTAGTACGGTCAGCCTGTTTACTATCGAATTGTACATCAAATAAGGCGTTATAATCTAACGTCTGGCAGAATTTGGGCGCTTCGAGTTTTCTCCTGGAAGGAGTCGGTCCGTTCCAGATGGTGGCCGGGCCCAGTTCCTTCTTCATCCTCTTATCGCACAACGAGGTTTTTTTGACAAGTCGTCTGCTCGAACCGCGCTGAAGTTTGCTGTGCTCCGATCTCCCTAGCAGCCTCTTCTTTTTAATCGAGGAGTCTAGGTAATATCTCTCACTCCTTTCGGACCTTCTGCACCTCCTCAGTCTGAGATCCGGTTTTGGACACTTATTCATTATCCTGACTAAATAGGAATATCTGTATTGCCTCACTATATTTTCTATTTCGAACTTTTTGAGTTCACCGTTAGTCTTTATTCTGAACACTTGGGGCAGTTTGTTCAAATACTTTCCACACGGACTTGCGTCGTCGTTGTCCGTTTCGGAATCGAACTTGAAATAATTTATCCTCGGTCCCACCATCTCTTCCAAAATCGCCCTTTTTTCGTCTTCGCTCATTATCGGATTATCTTCGTGGACGTCGGACGCGGATGAATCTATAATGATCAACTGATCGTCGGATCTCTGTTTCAAGTCTTCGTCGCTTTCGTCGTCGAACATTTCACGGTCGAACTCTTCGTTTCCCATCTCCTGATAAAATTCATGAAGAAAATCATGTGTTTTCGCTTTGTTAATTGCGTCGTCTATATAATTATTTCGCATTGTTAAACTATCAGTAAATCCTTCTGGAAAAGAACGACATACAAAGCGTGTCGAAGGCTCTTCTTGTAGGTCCACAGAATTTTTCAAATGTAGCTCTTGAACGCTCCGCTCCAAGGCGTCGGAATGCGATTCTTGCACATTCTGATCGAAAGAATTGTTTAAACGGGTTTGTTCTGCTACGCTCAAGTCTTGAGAACTTTTTAAATGTAAAGAATCATTAGTATTTTCAACAATGCAATTCTCACTTCTAAAATCGTTAATCGAACCATTGTTTTCTAATTGCACATTTTTCACAGTAACGTTTGGGGGTGACTGATTCGAGTCTGTCTGGACGACCTCACTCTCGGTGATAAAGCTTTCCCTGATGTTTTCCGAAGATTCGCCGCCACGTTCGATCGACTGCTGCGTTTTATTAGGAGTGGGATCCATAAAAGAACCCGGCGGTTCCGTCACTGGTGGGATTTCGTCTTCTATTTGAGACGATCTGTTTTCATACGTGCAGTTTAAAATATTCTTAGATGAACGGTTACTCGCCCGAGGAATGGACTTGTGATGTTTTTCTTCTTCCGTGAAGCTGACCTGAGTTTCCACCGAGAAAGACGTCTTTATCGGGGCCGGAGTGACAGAACGACGTCGATGCCTCTTGCGTACTGACAAAAGCGAATGATGTCGTTTGAGACGTGAGGAACGCCGGCTGGATCCTCTCGACGGACTTTTGCAGAATGAGGACGATTTAGTTTTCTTGAGTTCCGATTCGTCCGTTTCCAAAATTTTAAATTGTCTCCTTTTAGATTTTTGTTCAGTCACTCGAGACCCCACGGAAACTGACCTAGACACCGATTTGTTCGCATCGGACGGGTTTTTAGACAAGCGTATTTTCCTACACGAGGTCGTACTGTCTTTTTCAGAGTTTCTCCTGACCGTAAAAGGGAGCATGTTAATAGGACATCCTGTGCAAGGGAAAGTCCTTTTAGGCCCCAGCATGGCGTCCGGTTCAATCACGCGTTTATGGCGGGATAAAGTTTTAAACGTTTCCAATGTTCTGTTATTGTTCCTTCTCTTAAATTTAACATTATCCGAGTTATTCTGTACTCCGGGAAAACCGCACCCTGCTATACTAAGTATCCCCCCGTTTAGCAACGTAGCCGGGATCGAGAAGTTCGCGTCGGATAAATTGTCGAAAGCATCTCTCTGATGACGCCGTTTCCTATCCGAAGTCGTGCACGAGAAGTTTTCATCAGATATGTCAGCCGGACACAGCGGACATTTTGCATATTTCCTTTCCTGCCAATCGACTTTCGACTGTTTAACCAAATCGTTCTCGTAAATATTTTCCTTGTTTAAAAATATCATTTTGAAACTAGTCCTTTAAAAGTTTTTTTTTTCTTGAAAAGCCTGGAAATGAAAATGGGGGGATTTATTTTTTTTTAATAAAAGAAAACGAGAAGACCACCATTTCAATTTTCTATTTATAAATGCTCACCTTAACCATTCGATCGAAATTTAATTTTCGGGTCTCTTGTGAATTGTGAATCGATCTGAAAGTGTGTTTTCGTGTATAAAAAAAAATATATAGACAAAAAGTAGTCGGCAAAATTGCCGTAGTTTATTTTACATTCAAAACACATGATTGTTCATTTGAAAAAATAAAAATTTAATATTATATCAAGAAGAGTAAGACGAGAGAATTTTCCGAGGATTAGTTAAAAGCGGATCGTGAACATGTACGCGGTTCATGGGTCCCAATCATCATTTGTCACCAAATTCTTCAGACGTGTGATGCGTATTTCAGCGTTACGGCAATCCGTTTTGAAGCATGTGCGATCCTCCCACAGACGTTTAAAAATATTATGAAACCTATCTGCTAACACGTATTTACAAATAGGATGAAATACACGTTAATAAATTTCAAACGCAGTCCCATTTAAATTTGACTATGAACATATGGATTGTCCGGTATCAGCCTGATTCATACAAGATTTGTCATGAGTAGACACGATTAACGGTTATTTACAAACCAAAATTCACTGACACGTACACACAGATACTCCTACGACTACATATACATCTTCACACAGACATCGGGAAACGAAAGAAATTGAGATTACAAGGTTTTTCTTCATTACTGAAAAATACGTAAGTAAAATTTATTAATTCTTATTTCGATGTTGTTTATACATGATTTGTTTTTTTATTTGCAGAGTATAGTACATTGAAATACAAGAATTTATTCATTTTCAAGAACGATTTATAAAAACGAATGGCAAAATGTCAACAAAAAAGTAAGCTTAACATATACACAAATTTGTAGTTCTTCCTTCCTCACTTTAAAATTGATAAAAACCCTTTTAAATTAGGGAGATTAGATTTTGACAGTAACACAAAAACAAATTTATTATTTTTAATTAAAGATAAGCTATTTTATTCCTCTGTTTACCGTTTCTTTTTATGAAACAACGTTCTTTTCAATTCACTCGAGCAATTTATTTAACAGGGTTTTTTTCTTAATTTCTGTATTTATTTAATATTTTTTAACTTTGGTTTTAACACCGCTAGTCATTAAATTCGGCTTTTGGAAGACATAAATGTACTACACTAATTTTTTTTTAGCTTTTAACAAATACCTTACTCTTTGTATAAATAAATTTTGTTGTGCTAATCTTGAGTATATACATACAGGGTGTCCTTTTTAGATTGCCCATGGTTCTCTTGAACCAATGAGGCTACCAAAATAAAAAAAGTATTTAATATTTTTAGTTTAGTTTCAAATTTTTACCTTGTTTTGGAGACAAATTATACACTTTATTTCAGTTCAACTTCATAATTTCAAATGCGACCCTATACATGCTGACATATCATTTTAAAGGATTATTTACGCTGAAAACAATGGTGCGATCGGATTTTAAATTGGTCAAAAAATGACAAAGTTATGGCAAAAGTTGAATTGGGATAAATTACAATGTAGTTGGGATTTTTTCATTGTAACGCCGGACATCAGCAAGAAAAAACCGTCATCAGTTAACCCATTCGTAAAATTTATTTGCCTTTTTTTTGCTATGAAAATTTGTATTTAAGGGTTTGAAAGGGTGATTAAAATGACCCTGGAAGCGTCTTTTAGTCGTTTTAAATTGTACTCCATTTATGTTATGACTATTATATGGCATTGTGGGAAAAACGTAAAAATTGGTGTTCATTGTCTTATTTCTATTATTTAACTTGAAATTTCACATGGAATCACCTCCGTTTCACACGAGAGTTGTTTAATGCCGAGGAACCGAAGAGAAGCTGGGATTTTCGACATCCATTATAGCATAATGTAAATTATTCGATTTTTTAAATGTATTTCTATGTTTTAAATTTCTACTTTTTATCTTTTCATGGCTTCGAACTTCTCGGTAGTAAAACATGGTTTTTTACATAACATTGCTCTGCTTGTTGGTTCAAAAGAATATTTGGTGGTTGTTCTTGATACCAGGACACAAACGTCTGGAGGTTAACGAAAAGGCGCACCATGCGGCTAAAAGCCGGGAGGTCCCAACGTCCGCACTTAACCGCCGCGATCCAGCCCTAAAATCCTGCTAAAATTGCAATAAAAAACATGATTGGATAAAATTGGCAGCGTCGGTGGGCCGGATCGGGACAGAAGCATTTAGCGGGTCAAGAGCATTGTCGATAAGTGTACTTCGGAAGATATGCCATGCGAGGTTGACACACAGCCCGCGTATGTGTCCGGCTTGTAGCAAAAGTTTCTTTGCTCGATTGAAGGGTGCAATTCCTTGGCTCCATATAGAGAGCGCGTAGAAATGCCACCGGATCTTTGAATTGAGCTTGAGCATGGCAGCGAACATCTTCTGATTGTTGAAGGAAAAAGGGTTGCTTTATTGTTCATGCCTTCCTTCCTTTCCTTTTGCCCAAATCCGAATGATTCCAAATCCTAAAAACTTCACAACCTTCCATCATCCTACCGTTCAATTAGACTGTTGCCTATAATGGGAAAAATCCAAGACAAACTGCTTAAACACATTCTCTCCATCCTTCACTTATTTCTGACCGACAATTAGGGTTCACACGTTCTCATTTTACTGTTCAGCAGTGCAATCACGTTGTAGACATCATAGCTACCGCTCTTGACCAAAAGGAATACTGCTCCGGTGTATTCCTAGATGTGAACCAAGCCTTGGATCGGGTATGGCACTCGGAGCTCCTCTGGAAGCTTAATAAAGTCTTCCCTTTTACCTAGAACCTAAAATCCTACCTATCCGACAGATGCTTTCAAGTCATCTGTGGCCACTCGATCAGCCGGCTGTCACACAGATGCAGGGGTACCCCAAGGAAGGACCCATCCTATACTCGCGGATGATACCGCCACCTTTGCTTCCTTAAAGACCCTACCATTTCAACCAGAAACGTGCAAAGCCACGTCACATCCCTTGAACAGTGGTTGAACATGCCCCTTTCAACCTGAATAACCACTGCTCCCGTCTACAACAATATTATAATATGCCTCGCCCACGAGCTAATGTAGTTGAACAGGCGATTCAGACTTTTTAAAAGATTGCTGGATAAACGTCCAAAACTGATTCCACAAAATTAACGACTCATTTATATAACTATTTTCGATACATATGGGACATACGGCTTCAAATTTTGAGGATCAACAAAACGTTCCAACCTCCAACTCCAATCCCTAAAATCAAAAATCCTTAGAACCATCGTCAATACTTCTTCTATATATATCCAATCTTCCCAATGATCTTAATATTCAATATATCCTAGAACTACCGAAAAACCGCTACAAGAAGTTTCAGAAACAATCATCCAGTCGCACGAACCCTCAGAAACCTTTCATTCCGCACCGTTCCAAATAATCTTCCCCGATGGTTGAAGTCAATCCTCCTAAGTGACAGTTAATAACAGTGAAAGTGATGAATGCTTATATACAGGAGTGACTACTAATGTGAAGTTCCTCTTTTTTCTGTTTTATGTGTATTTTTTCTGTTCATTTTGTTTTGCTTTACGCTCGAATTTGTTATCAAATTTACTTAAGCGCAACAATTGGCGCAGGAGTCAATATATAAAGAAAATAAAGAAGCAGATGTTCGGGGCGTGCAATTACTCTTGTTCTATGCGCTCTTTAAGCTATTGTATATAGCACACAGGTTGAGGTTGATCCTTGTTCATTAATTTTTTAGTTGGCCCGGTTTCAGTGGTTGAATTTCTTTTATGGTCACGTTGTACTTACTAAAACACTTCCTTGTCTCATTTGCTTCTTTGCAAAATCTACAGGTGCCGTGTTGGATTATACCAATCTTCTTCAGATGGCAATTCAGTCAGCTGAGCCATGTTAAGAATTTGTTGGGAAGTTTTTCCTGCTTCCTTTGATGCATTCTGTTATCCAAATAAATTACAAAAAAACAATGGGGGAAAAGGGAAATGCCCTTCTGTTGAGAACGGCACCATCTGTTGGTACACGGATAATCTTGAACGCAGAAGGTACGAGGGCAGGAGTGTTCGGTCCCGGGACCAAATATTCAGAACTCTTAGGAAAATACACCTGATCTTCCAGGCTGATTGACAGATACCTTTGTTCAACTTTTTCATGTTTCAATTATAACTTTTAATATGTATTTCTTTGCGGAAAGTAATCAGATAGTTTTACTATGAAGGTTAAAGCTGTTGGTAGTTCTTTTATAATTTAATTTTTTTAAACTAATTTAATTGTTTTTATCAGGAAACCTGGTACTTCAAGCTCCAGATTGTCGGTTCCGAAGACGGTCTCTTCGGAAAAACGTAAAGATAGGATCGGAAGAAACAAGGGGGACCAAGGGTCTCGAAGAGATTGCGAGATGGTGACTCTGCCTTATTATACAAGCGAAATGGACGTGAACAAAATCGGCCCGTCCATAGCCGTTTGTACAGAACTTCTTGACCAGATAGGCCACGACGAAATGTTAAACGTGATCAAAAAGTACGGGAAGAATTTCATAGAAGAAAACAAATACGCCCACCTACCGAAGAAGAAGAGGATGAAGTTGGAAAAGGAGAGGGAAAAGAAATGGGCGACTTGCCCCAATCGTGTATCAATCTGTCCACACGGTGGATTGAACGTGGGGGGCTGTTGCGCCTGTGGAATACCACCTTCCTTCTTTAACACTGAAGCACCGAAAGCACAGCCCGAACCGGGATCGATCGGAGTCAGTTTAAACCACATAGCGTTTCACACCAATGCGCCCAGTGATCAGATATTACCCCCGACGGATCCTTGCGTGCTAAAACTGGGCAAACTCGGAGATTCGCAATGCATTACACTTCAGTACGAAGCGGAACCCGTCATTCCGTACGCGGCACCCCCTTTTTACGAAAGACAAGTTCAAGTTGTAGAAAGCGAGCTGGACTCGTTTGCTTGTAAGGACGGAGGAAAGGAAAAAGGGAAAAAAGGTAAAGGAAAATCGAAGCAAAGCGGAAAGAGCCAAGGTAAAGGAAAAGGCAAAGGAAAAGGAAAAGGAAAAGGTGGGTCTGGCAAGTCTAAAGGAAAGGGCAAGAAAAAGAAATAAATATAAAATCCAACATTTACCTCGCCAATAAGTTCAACACTACGAATACTTGTTACTCGATGTTCTTGTACCTCAAATAAAGATTCGTTTTCTTTATAAAGTGTGGACTTTTGTTTTCTGCATTGTAACATTCTTATTCTACACAACAGAAAACGATGAACTATCGCAAAATGCTGAAAGTGTGTAAAAATTATTTGACTCATGTTTGCCAAATTTGACTCATTTACAAACTTTGCAAAGTTTTTACAAAATTCAAGAATTATCCACCAGATGACTATGTGATATTAGACAGTGTTATTTTTAAGAATTAAATAGCTGTACAGTTTCTTATTTATAGATGTAATTTACCTCAAAAAAAATTTCTAACCGCAATGTTAACCCTAGAAAGGCAATCCCAAGACTTACAAAGAAATTACCGGAGGAACCATCATTCTAACAGGTCACTGCCGCCTAAGAAGGCACTTGCACTGGACAGAAAAATTGTGCGGATGCCAGGAAAAAGATGAGACCGGAGAACACGTTTTATGCTTCTGTGGGGTCTATGTAGGTTTACATTATTGCAACTAGGAAAGCCTTAAACAAGATCCTACACTAAGCTGGGAAGGCTATGGAGGTTGATTAACAACCTGGAGCTCCATAAATTAGAGCAGCATAATAGACTCAGGTCAAGGAGCAGAAGGCCTTGTGGCCACCTATTTTATGCCTATCCATAACCTTGAGATGAAATGTGTTCAAGGAAACAGATTGGGTTCTAGGTCTGTTTAGGTCGAAACTTTTCTGGACATAATAAAACAAATAATAAAACAAACCCTTTACTACATAACTTATGATCAATCAATTACAATTAGTGCCCACATTTTACATTAATGTCCAAGGTACGGTATGTACTTAAGAGATTTCAATCATAAATCAGTGCTAGTTTGCAAATCCAATTTAGAAAATGTAATTAACTATTTAAATATGAAATCTAATTCAATTAATTAATCGAATTAAAAGCCAGATAAGGGTAATGTAAATCATTTGAGGTCAAATTGTGACTACTTGATTTTTAAAAAAAAGTAGCAATAACAAACTAAACAATATAAAATGAAAGTCAGTAGAGAAAAATCCCTTCATTCGACCTTTCCAGTCAGATCCCTGTCAACTGTGTTATGTAAGTTAAGAAAGGTCGAGGACACTTACATGGGGACCAGGTTGGTGGGTCACGGATTTGGACCAGACATTTTTTGGTGATTCTACACTCCAAAATATCGTACACGTATACGCCACTTCTTGCGAATAGGTCCTGGTTTTGGCAAAAAACGAAATTTAAAATTTGAAATTTTCCGCTTTTTAATATATTTATTTCGCCGTCCACTTGCTTAAATTCACACAATCAACATATTAGTTGATTAAGGAGAAAAAAAAATTGTTTAGTTAGTTTACTTGAAAAATATTTGGTTTTTAGGATTTTTTTTTGTTATTGATAAACTTTGATAGCGTTTACTATATTTTTATTGCAATCTGCATAAAAAATTATGTAATTTTTTTGGCCCTAGACTCTCTCCGGCCACAGTGATTTTGCAATTGTAACGGACGCTCCCCGACAGCGACGGCCCGCAGCCGGAGGGACACCCTCAATGATCCTTCATATCTTATTTTTGTACTTGACCCCTTCGAGGATGTGGATAAAAACCGTTTCGTCTAGATTGGCATGGAAAAGTCCACATCAGCAAGGTCACAGGGTTTAACATGCCCATGTCCCTCACCCGTCCGACGCGAACCACCCCGCGACCCAGGCCCACAACCACGGCAACCCTCCTCCATCTGCAAACTGACAAGCCTCCATTTTACACTCTCTCAAAAAGTTGAACATGAGCTGATATGCTGATAAACAGCCTGATGCCACAATTGTGTTAAAATTGTAAGGTTTGACTGTCTCTTGACATTTCATAAAATATTGGAAAAGCTATTGTCATGCATGTTGTACATGTTGCATGTGCTGCAGTGAGGAGAGTCTGTCATTCTGTCTCAAGCCGATTCTATTCAAAAATGAACCGCAAATGCCATGCACCGTTCTCAAACGCGTGACAGTGGTGGAAAATGCTTTACTGTGTCTTCCTGCTAAAGTAAACCATGGCCGAATAACATTTTGTAATATTTCACCACCACCGCCGAGTCATAAGTTTCTTGCCATTTCAATATTAATCTTCGTGGACTTTCAGATCAGATGTCGCCTCTCGTGATTTTGTCTAACTTTGCATCCGTCCGTGTGGGCTCCTTAGCCAATCTGTCAACTTCCTCATTAAAATTACCTCTTGGGTGTCCCTTGACCTAGCAGAGTGAGGCTATTGTCTTTCAAAGTGAGGCTATATATTTTTTGTCCACCAGGATATGTTCATAATTGCCGTTCCCGATTCTGAAGTTCTGCAGCCGAGAGACGGTGCTTCTACTGTCTGTAAGGATGTTGGTGCTTCGAGCAGTTCAAACCTGCGACATATTCTAAAGCCTTTGATATTGCTCACGCTTCAGCAGTGTATACACTGCAGAGACTTGGGTGACAGTATCGCTAACTGAACTTTCTTTGGGGATCATATAAAGCAAATCCCGTGCCTCCGTCCATTTTAGAGCTGTCAGTAAAGATTCCATTCCTCCTTCGGCAAAAAAGTAACCAAAAATTAGACATTGGCTGATAACAGATTGTTTGCGTAAAGGAGTTGACATTGACCATTTCATCTCTAAAAGCATCAAATAGCCACCTCACAGAGACATACCCTAGATTAAGTACCCGAAGCTGAACACTGCGAAAAACATAATTTAAATGTAACAGAAATACATCAAACATGGGCGGCAACATGGCGTTTGAGTTTTAACAAAAGGGTCCAAAAGAATGCTGGTTTTGGACAGTTTGGACGCCTAGGTGCGTTTGAACTGAATGTAAGCAGTCGGATCAAGTTTTATCATTAAACAAGTCCAGCTAAAATTATGTATCTTATAAGAAACGGAAACATAAGCATAAAAATACAATTAAAAAGTGTATATTTTAATAAGATTATGTAAAAATATAGTGAAACATACGTGAATTCAAATTAAACTACTTTTTTTTGCCTTTCTTTCCCTTTTTCCCCTTTTTGCCTTTCTTTCCTTTTCCTTTCCCCGATTTGCTTTTTTTACCCTTACTTTTCTTTTCGCCTTTTTGTCCAGGGTAATCTTTAGCGTCGTACTGCGTGGAACACTCCTTTGTCCTGCATGGGTCTTCAATGAGTTTTGGTGTTTTTAGAGTAATCACCAATTTCGGGGGTTTTTCCGGATGTCTCGTCGACCCGATCTTCAAAACGAAAGTGTCATTTTTTTTATCGCCGTTATCGTCGAGTTGGTCGACTGTAAAATATTCTGGAGACCCAGCGTTCATGACCATTTTCTTTGAATAAAATTGCTTGAAAACGTTATTTACCACGTGATAAATTGCTCTGATTCATGATTTGTGGGCGTGGATCTTTACTGATGTGTAGTGTAACGATGTAAAAAGAGTGTTTGTAACCGTTGTTGTATTATTCCTGGTTTAAACCATATGGTTTACCCTAGCTTCGTCTTTTGTTCAATCGAAACGTATGATAGGGAAATATTTGTATCGTGCGTTTTTTCTCGACAAATTCAACTTAAAGCCTCTTAGGGCGAGCATTTTCTCAACTTTTTCAAATCCACTGAAAAGGCACAACAAAAAAGTATATACAAACTCTGGCTCAGCTTTCTCTTTTTCAACCAAATACAGCTGAGGTTTCATAATAATTCTTGATTTTAAAAAATATATTAAAATTCAATTCAGCAAAACATTGGATTTTATAGTACACACTTCAATAGAAATACCGAATCTGGAAAAAAAAATTCAAAATCTATTTCATTCCACATTTACAACATAAAATGGATCCATGCCAACTGCAATTTTACTACTCGATTTTGGCTGAAAAGAAGAGTATTATATATCACGATGACGAATCTCAAGTTAACGATCAGTCGAAGAAACAAACTACCGAAAGTTCTACTCAATGCTGTCGAAACGACGCGAAAACATTGAAGAAACGAAAAAGCAAAGGAAAAACGGATAAAAAACTAAACGATAAAAACGATAGGTTTATACGTTTTACTAAAAGTTCATTGAGAAAATAAATAAATACTCTGAAATACTTTTCATATTTAGTCAATTCTATAATAGGTCTTATAGATTTTTTTAAGCGAAATGAACCCGTCAAAGGCCTTAGTCGTTTTATTTGTAAAAAGGCGGACTTTCCCGATGCAATGTTGGCCGGGCCGAAGGTCGTGGGTTCGAATCCCGATCGTGACACTGACTTTTTTATCTCAACCAAGACCTTACATAGAAAGACTAAGTAATATTACTATTGAGAAAAGGACAAAATATTTTGCTACGATTATATAGAAGTTTTTTTTTTTAGAAGTATTTATATAGAAGTATTTTTTTAAGTATTTTTTTGTTACGATTATATAGAAGTAGTTTAGCACTAGGTCACACACCACAGACATGGCGCAGGGCAAGGGTGGGTTTTATACCAAAAGTGAGGAAAAAAGACCCTACATCACCTAAATCCAGCTTAGCATCCTTTCTATTAAAGACCCTTGAAAAGCTGATAGACAACTATATAAGAACGACAGCACTGGTAAACAAGCCTCTCCATTACTGTCAGCATGCATACAGAGCAGGAAGATCAACAGAAACTGCACTGTACCAACTTACCAGTGACCTAAAGGAAACACTGGAAACAAAGGAAATAGCAATCTGCGCGTTCCTCGATATTGAGGGAGCTTTCGACAATGCATCTCACGCATCAATGGAAACCTCCCTGGGGAAAAAACACGTAGACCAAACCACATCTAGATTGGAGAACTGCTAAGAACCAGAATAGCTGAAACAAAAGTAGGAACAGACACTATAGAGGTTAGCAAAACAAAAGGATGTCCTCAAGGAAGGATATTATCACCTCTTCTATGGAGCCTAACAGTTGATGAACTGCTCGAAACCCTGGACCGCTCAGGAATAAAATGTCAGGGATATGCGGATGACATAATCCTGACAGGCAGGGGAAAATTCGAGGAAACCCTCTGCGATATAATCCAAGAGGGACTGAAAATCACAGAAGAATGGTGTAAAAGTGCAGGCTTAGGGATTAATCCAAACAAAACAACTATAGTCACTTTTACACGGAAAAGGAAACTTGATCACATGAAAGAAATCAAACTCAACAACACCGTGATAGAAATCAAAAATGAAGTCAAATATCTGGGCATCACACTAGATAAAACACTAACATTTAAGAAACACATCAGCTCCATTATCACAAAGGCGACGCATTGCTTCCCGATTACTCATCGTCAACAAGACAAGAGGATCTTTAACGTCCGCACCTGGCTCATGGCCTTATCGGACGTTTTGATTCTCAAGATGAGAGCTGACGCACTTCTGCATACGACGGAATGGTGTTACCGCCGCAGCATTGGTGTAGTGGTGTCCCGGCCCCTAAGGGTCGGTAGCCACGCTCTCCGCTTGTCCACTCCGAATGGTCGGGCCCGCATTGTGCGTCGGGTCGTACGCCGCACGCGAGGGGCTAACGGGCCGAAATACATCAGCCCGTCCCCCCCCTCGCGTACTTTCTAGATAGAGAAGGCGACTCTATCTCTCTGAGTGTAGAGGCTCCCCTAGCGTAGAAACTTTCAGGAACGCCCCGACAGCGGTTTCGGATTATAGTGGGATTGCTACCCACCCCCTAGATGAGCACTGTCTACGGTAAAAAGTCTCTTATCGAGCTCAGCCTACACCTGCTGCACGCATTCGAGGGACGCCATAGGTCTAGCCTAGGTGGTCCGATCCTTCGCTTCCCCAAGGGTACCACGCCGGTCATACGCACAACAATGCAAAGCATACTCGAGTCAATGACGCCGACTCACTGCAGAAGAATAGCAGGGAGAAACTGGGGATGTAGGCCAGAAACCCTGTTATGGATGTACACCATAATAGTAAGACCTTTACTTACATACGGAGCTATAGGCTGGGCTGATAAAGCGGAACAAATAACCAAAAGGAAAGAACTCACAAAAATACAGAGACTTGCATGCATCTGCATAACGGGAACAATGAGAACATGTCCTACAATTAGCATGGAAAAGATACTAGGATTAATCCCCCTACATCACATGGTAGAAAGGACAGCACAGAAAACCATCATCAACTTTATCAGAGAGAAACCTCCAACAGGAATAAAACTGAAATGGAGAGACAACAAGAAACTATGGAAAGACCATCCATCACTCATGGCTCCAAGAAACGACATGAACAGGATGTTTGAATTTAACCAAAAATTCCGAATATATCTGGGTACCAAAAAAGAATGGGAAAGGAAGGGAAATAACTCCTTTAAAAATGGCACCATCCTCTGGTACACAGATGGATCTAGAACACAAGAAGGTACGGGGGCAGGAGTATTTGGACCCGGAACCAAATACTCAGAACCCATGGGAAAACACACCAGTATCTTCCAAGCTAAGATTCATGCAATTGAAAGATGTACCCAATCCAATCTAAGTAAAGGGTACAAAAACAAGAATATAGCTATCATGTCAGATAGTCAAGCAGCCATCAAAGCACTAAGCTCAAGTATCATTAGTTCAAGGATGGTGCTGAACTGCAAAACCAAATTAAACATATTAGGTATGCAGAATAAAGTCAGCCTCTGCTGGGTCCCAGGACACATGGGAGTAGATGGCAACGAGAAAGCGGATACCCTTGCAAGGAAAGGGGCTGCCACACCGCTGATACGACCCGAACCCTTCTGTGGCATAGGAATCCACACTATTAACGAATATCTCAGACAGAAGGACAAAAAGAAAATGAAGGAACAATGGAATTCTCTCATTGGAAACAATCCAAGAATCTTCTAACCAATTTTGGTAAGAAAGAAATCACAGAATGTGTCAAAGGAAGCAGGAACAGACTGCGAATCCTAACAGGAATCCTAACACGACACTGCAGATTAAATGGACACTTAAAGAAAATTGGAACAATCCAAGATGGCACATGTAGATTCTGCAAGGAGGCAGAAGAGACACCAACACATTTACTAGCAAACTGCGGAGCTACATTAGCCCGCAGGAGGAAATGTTTTGGGATGTATAATGTGACCATAGAAGAGCTTCAACCACTGAAACCGGGCCTATTAATCAAGTTTCTTGATGAAATAGGCAGAGAAGGGGGGATACAATAGCTCGTAAAGGGCGCAGTATATCATACCATGAAAAATTACATCTTCATCTACAAAGGACAAAATAGAATGAAAATTCTGACGGATTCTTTCCCATTCATCAAGAACTGCCGTTTTCAACTTATCTAGCGTGTTACGACTTGAGACCTGGATTTCGCTGTAGTACCCGTCGCTTAAGTTGGTCCCAAATTGGGTTCAAAGCTGGCCACACCAATCCAACCTCAGTCAGGTAGTCATCCACAATAAATGCTCTATTGGTCCTGACATTATCCTGCATTAGCAAGAATCTCTCACCTATGTGTGGGGGGGGTCAAATGGCACTACATGTTCTTCGGTTTTGTAAGTACCTCTGTGAAGCACAACGACCAATTCGGTGAGGGCGTCCAAAGAATTGCCACCCCATAACATTAATGACACACCATGGAATCCCATCTGAAGAACCGTTTAGCACTTAACTTTTTCCTGAGCGTCTCTATATGAAATTACGCCCATCTGAAGATCTGACATCAACTCTTACATCATCTGTAAAGAGAACTCTTCCCCAATCTTCCAATGTCCAATTTACATGTTCCCGTTCGAATTGAAGTCTGGCCATTTTCTGAGCTTTGGTAAGAAGTCCACGAGCCAGGCCCTGAGGTTATTTTCATTGAGCCTTCTTCTTACAATCCTGGAGAAAATCGAAAGATTTCGGTCTTGTCTTATTAGATTTCTCATCTCATTTCCCATAATTCTGCGGTTTCGAAGAGCCTGATAACAGATGAATCTATAATCTTTCTCGTACGTAGACCTAGGTCGGCCCTGTCCTGACTTTTAAGTTCGAAGCAAAGCGATCATGCCCTCTCAAATGCCTGACTGGAGCCATTGAAAAAGTTTTAAGAATAAGTCTTAATTAGTTGTACTTCTTATCTAAGGTCTTGGTTGAGATGAAAAAGTTAGTGTCACGAGCGGGATTCGAACCCACGACCTTCGGCTCAATACGTCGCTGCTCTAACCACTTGAGCTATAGTGACACTAAATTTTTCATCTCAACCAAGGCCTTAGATAAAAAGTACAATTAATTAAAATAATTAATAGGTCATGACTACTAAATATATATGGATTAATTTAAAAATAAGTATAATATCAAATGAAATCAACGAAGGAAAAAGATTATCTGAAAGCGATCTTTAAGCGTAGTTGAATGGAAGGGCATAATGCTACTTTTTGTGCAAATGGGATTAATTACTTTGGGTATTTCGGGCGAGGCGTCAAACCAGTTTACTATACATTTTTCAAACTATTTTCAATTAAAAAACCGTGGGCTACACCAGTATTCGAACCTCGGATCGCTAGCGTGGCAAATATGAGTCGGACACCCTAACCACTCGGTCGCCGCGGTATCGTATTTTGTTGTAAATATGTCATGATTAGAGCCCAGATTTGTATGCATATGTTTTTGCTCATACTTGCGACTGTGTTCAGATACTTAAAATTTTATTCTGCATATTTTTTTTAATAATAAAATATTTATCACCATCTGTGCAATAAAACATTTTGCAATTATTTTGGAATATCATACATATTTACGATACAGTATGTCACCTACAAGTATGCTTCCATCACCTCCGGGAAAATTACCGCAGGAGCCGTACCGTAAACCATCACAACGGATTAGCATATTATTGAGCTTATAGCTCTCATAGTCTATGATAAATTCAAACCCCGGTTAACGTGGTGTTTAAGTTAAGCTGCTTCTAATATTCCCACTAACATCCCTTTACTAACAATTTTTTCTTTTTTTAACGAGGGTTCGCAACAGCAGAGGTTATATCAACCCTCGGGGTGCCGGCGTTTTTTAAAAAAAGCCCTTTTGTGTGTTGGGTTTGAATGCATGGCCGCTGGATTCGAACCCGGGACCTTTACCTTACAGTGATGAGCACCGTGTCAACGCCTAGTTGCGGCCACCGTCGCCCCCCTACTCATGGTCCTAACAGCCTCTGAACATGGATCTCTCTCGACTAATATTTTTAAACTTCATCGCACGCAGGTTTTTATTGAGGAAGGTTCTAGTGCTCAACGACATCTTCTGCAAATTCACTGCAGAGGGGGTCCTCCGTCAAGACCAAGACTGACCAGCAGCCGTGCCCCGCCACTCGGCCAACATGGGGCAGAGGAAACAAAAATTGAGAGGATATGAAACTAAATTTTATCTATTAGATGGATGTCTGTTAAAATGCCTATTGATGTTGACCTTTCGTTGGTGGAGGGTTCTAGTAAAAGATCGATTATGATGTGAATATAGTGGTAGATTGAGCATATAGGTTGAGGGGTTCTTTCAAGGAGGAAACTAAGGGTGAGCCGGGAGTGGCCAATTCTAAGCCGGGTTGTAAGGGTTTGTTCTTTTCAGGAAGATCTGAAAAAAGTTTTTTTTTATTACAAAAATCTTGTGCCCTCGCATCCCATTCATGCCTCCCAGACGACCTGGCTAAAGTGACAGCAGAGGAACCCTACTCCGAGGCGATCTCAGAATGTGAAACTGCCAAAAAGCTAATTTAGAAAAAAATGGTTCTGACCCCATATTTTAATTCTTTGTATCAATTTCTGGAAAATGCCAGATCGAGAGGTGAGGATTTTAAAGGTTGTGGGAAGAAGAGGAGAGAGAACAATTCTAAGCAAAAAACCTGGTACTTTCAAGCCCAAGTCGGATCGTAAAAGAATAAAATTAATAAGAGAAATCTTAAATGTAAAAATGTGACACCGTTATAGTCATTGGCAGTAATAAAACAAATATACCTTAACATGTTTATTGTCTGAATTGAACGACCACCAACACAATTATTACCGCATGAACGAATAACGTATTACCTATAATACAACGTCGCCTGGTTCCTATTTTTTCTTCTTTCCTTTTTTGCCTTTATTTTTCTTTTTTCCGCCCTTTTTCCCGTCCCCTTTGCCGCCCTTTTTCGCCCCGTCTACTTCTGAAGAACACTGTATTGCGCTATCGTTCGTACATATTTTGGGCAAACTCTTGGGCGTCTTGAAAGTCAAATTGAGTTTAGCCGGTTTACCGGAACAATCGATTTTCCCCATGTTTAACAAGAACGTATCGTTAGTCGTATCGTCGCTGTGTTTGCAACACGGTTCGGACACCTGGACCAGTTGTGGGCGCGAATGAGCGTTATTCGATATGAAATAAGTAGGACACGATTGACTGCTTAAATTAAACGGTTCGCTTTTATCGCCGGTGTTGAAAACCGCTTGATTCGGCAAATAAACCAACTTTCCACTGGATCCTCTCGTTGCGATCGGCGTGCACTTATATTCGCTTGTGGTGTATTTATTTAAACAGCACCTAGGGTCTCCACATGTAACGGCACAAATCGGTGGCAGTTTGTCTTTGGACGAATCCTCCGAGTAGCATGTTTTATTCTTACCGTTTGTCTTTAATTCTTTCTTGTTTTTCTTGTGCTTTTTGTTGCCGTTTTTTGAAAAGCCAGGTGGTAAAGAGATATCACAGTCGCAGAAGTTGAACTTTGAAAATTTTCCATCATCGGATTCAGTTGAAGACGAAACTTCACTCGTTTCTCCGTCTGTTTGCTGCCGCTGAAAACTTGCCCCACCGGAACTTTTGCTGCTGATTGTGGCCAATTGTTCATAAGACATTTGAGCGAGTTGTCCTGCGGAAGGGCTTGGGGTCGTTTGACATGGTTGCATCGTCGATGCGCCTAAGGGCTGCTGTTGACGGACACCGCCGGGATATAATTCCAATCCAGGATCTCCTCTCCCTGTCGGAAAGTTTCCTTGTTGCGGCTTAAATTTTGGAAAGGCGGGTTGCATCGCGGGGTACGTCGGCTGATCGCCAAGAGGGCAAGGCCTTCTTTCTTGCTTGGACGGAGGTAACCGCGCTTCAGAAGTCCTCGGTGTTAGAATTCTGCTGACTAGATCGACTTGCTTTTGTTGGGTCGCGGGTGCCAGATTTTCCAATACTGTGGACTTCCAGACGTTCTGGTTGGGATTGTATTGGTCCTTCTCGTGTTGAAGCAACGCTTTCACTTCTTTTGGATCGATTTCCCTACCCACCCAGCAAATCTTTGTGGGATCGCCTTGTACTTTTTCGGCGACCCAAATCGCCCTAACGCCTTGCTGAGGCCCTTCGCCGTGAGTACCTCCCCAACACATTAAATCGCCTACCCTCGGACCCCTCAGATCGGAAGGAACATCAAAGCACAACGATTTATCTTTGACAGGAACACTCGATTCTTTTTGATTCTTCATTTTGTCGGTCTTTAAAAAGAGAGAGTTGGATTTGTTTTCAGTCGATCTCGAATTCCACTGATCGAATTCCTTCGCCTTATCAGCTCCTTGAATGTCTTGAACCATGTAGCAAGTGTTATCGTAGTAAGGACGTCGGAAGTCTTGCATCGGCTGAGGAGGCATGTACGGTCTCGGAGCTCGTTGAGCCGGATTATATTCATTTTGAAGACCGAAGTTAGGTTGATAACCGACTTGTGGATACGGTTTCGTCTGATATTCGGAAAAGGTGGGCACGGTAAGTGGAGTCCTAGAAGGGCCGACTAAAGGGTAAGGTCGATATTGCGATACTGCCGGTGATAACGCTGGTATGCCGTTGGTTGAAAATTGAGGACTGGACTTACTCGGTAAGGATTGCCAACTGGAATATTGCGGAGAATGCGCTTCGACTGGCCGGTATTCCCTGTTCGTCGGAGTTCTGATTCCTTGGACATCCATTCCTTTGTGTGGTTCCATATACTTTCCAGGAAGAAATGGACGGAAAGAGGCAGATTTATCTGAAGAATAAAGAGAAGAAGGGTAGGAAGTGGTTGCTAGATTACGTTGTAGAGCAGGCCCCTGATATCCACCATACCCGTTGTTTTCAACCGGCCGTGGCCGACCGTACGGTGGCTGTACTACTGAGTTTAGATTACCCGTCGACACACCTGTTCGAGGGAAATACGGCATTGAAAACTGATTCGACGGAGGTGGTGGAGGCGGAGGCGGTGGCGGTGGTGGTGGAGGCGGTGGTGGTGGCGGTGGAGGAGGTGGAGGAGGAGGTGGCGGTGGTGCTTGGAAAGATTGAGGCCCCAATTGAGAAGAACTAGGAATTGGAACAGAGTGAGAACTGTGTGGTACGTAAGGCCGTCCAGTACTCCGATCGAGCGTTTTAGAACTTACTGTGGATAATACCCTATCGTTTTTGAAAACAAACTGTTCTTCAGCATTCTTCACTTCAAATTGTGTGACAATAAGCGAGCCGAAACAAGAAAGCCGAACTAGAACACCCATCTTTCCAGCCTGATTGTTCTGCTCATCAAAAAACGCGAATTGGTCTCGGATCGTCTTACTCTGAGGTTCATCCGTGAAGTCGATAGTCGTTTTATCAAACAGCTCTACAAAATTATTGCCAAAAGGAATTGTCACCTGGCCCATAGTGACGAGCTTTCCCGTGTCATCCTTCCGAGCAACCGTTACGGCTAAATCTAAGTTTCTCGTCAAAAACTTCCCTTGAAGAGAAAACAGACAAGACTTCCCACAATTAAAACAAACTTCTTTTTCATCACAGTTTTTCGGCTTGTCTGAACATTCTTCCTCGCATATAGTAACTTGTGGATAATTTAGAAATTGAAAACTGACACAAGTTTCCTTCAAGTTCTTTTTTGAGTTTTCTTCTGTGGTATACGATATGTAATCGACCAGAATTTCCAGAAGGAAAAGCAACTCGAGTTCTTCCGTATTTTCCATTGTGGTGTTGTTGTTTAACTATGAATTTTGTTAAATCATTTTCATATTTTTGTTAAAAGAATAGTGTGTGATAAATTGTAAATAATTTATTGAAAACAATGTGACTACAAAGTGGTAAATCATATGTTTCCTGTAATTTTTTTGTTTAATGTATTTGTTTTAACGATATTTACGTTTTTAAGGAGAATTAACACTATAATAAACACAATCACAATATTTTATTACAAAATTATATTTTAGTGCGTTATATATTGAGCGCGTGATACATAAATTATAATTTCAATTGCATTAAAACCTGATAAATGCACTTTCTCACTTTATTTAATTCAAAGCAGGAATATATTTCAAAATCCAAATAATTAATTAAAATAAATTAATCATGAAATGGTTACAAAATTAAGTAATACAACAGGGCTAATTTATAGAGAAAACCAGGAATTGTTTAATCCCCGCCTCTGGGGGAATGAATGTGACTAGACTTCTATGTTTGCATCGAGGTGGTGTATTTATTTTAATTTATTAGCGTGAAAGGAAGGGATTGCTTGACCCCGTCCAGGAATATCGAGTACAAAATATCGTGTGTCGCGTCTGAGGAGTACAAGTACTCGGATTCCTAATTTTACCGTATGATGTATAACTAAATAGTGATGCCAACTGAATCCGTGGAAATTATTTGTCTATCAGGTGATGGACCTGTAACGGTTTGATCCCAGATCGATCGGCTATAAGTTGCTTACTGTTCGTTGATCCATTGGGTTAGTGTTGGCATATCTGAATATTTTATTAGGACGAAGCATTTTACTTTTTGATTTACACCTCTATGCTTAAAATTGAATATCCTGTTAATAAAAAGGATATATCTGCAAAAAGCTTGAAAAAAATCTTAAAATTTGTAAACCCATTAATTTTTACAGACTTGTGAGAGATAGGACTTGATAAGACTTAAAATTGTGCACTAATATCTACTTATAACAAAATAGAGATTTGAACAAATAATAAGAGTGAAGAGTGTACAATCCAATTATAAGATAAAACTATCGAGATCCAAATGTCACACTGTAAAAAATTCAAGATTTGTAGCCAGTAATGAAATCAAATTTAAAATTAGGACGATTGAAATGTATTTGTGTTGTGTACTCGGTGTAGTGTGGTTAACTCGAGTCGTTTTCCATTTGGCTGTCTCGTACATTCATCAGAAATTCAGCTGTTAGGAGAAGCGTGCTATTTTGAGAATAATTCGCGTCTGCTAAATCAGCTATGACCTTTGAGACTTAATTTTTTACATTGGCAAGTTTAGGGCTCTTCGTTGAAATAGTTCCACTCAGGCTATTTGTACCTTATTTCTTTTTTTTGGCATCGGCCGGACTAGAATCAGTTTTACCTTTCTTCTTCGTCTCCACTTTTTTCTCGCTCTTTTGATCGACATCAAAAGCCACACGAGTTCTCACCACCTTAGTAGCCTCCTTTTTTTCCGTTTTGTTATATTTAGGTTGGCCTCGTTTTCCCAGCTTTTTTTCGCCGCTTACAGATTTCCGTTCTTGTAATGTCGCCGGTTCTATTTTAATAATATCGCCTTTTTGAGGAAAACGGCGCGAGGATATCTCCCATGAAATCTTCGGCCCTCCCAACAGTTCTTCCCGTTCTCTGTCTTTGTCCGTTTTTGGAGGACTCACCCAGGAAAACAGATCGCCGGTCCTGGGAGACGGACCGATCCCTTCTCCTAATACGTAACACCTTCTAAAAGCCGGTTTAGGAGGACTTACCGGCCGAGGCGGACCTCCAGGGTAGCAGACACAGGGTGGCGCGTATCCAACACCTTTGCCTTTTTGCGATCCGTTTTTTTTTAACGGACAATATTGCTGAAGAAGGTAATTTTGGTATTTGGAAGTTTCTGCGCCTGTCTGTGACTGGGGATAATAACCCATCTGAGGTGGAAAGCGTTCGGGTTGTCCCTGTTGTTGCATCGGTTGGTTTGGATATTTCATTGCCGGGTGCTGCTGATAATTCGAGGGGTAGCTCGCTCCAGAAGGATAATTGTCCCTGTTCGACTGTTTGATATCACAATGTTCGCCTACCTTTCTGTCTTGATTGTCTTTCTTGAAGTAAGCTTCGTTATTGAACTTATAGATTTGTTCTTCTGGATCGTTGACTTCAAACTGAGTAACGATGGCGGAGCCAAAACAAGACAGCCTCACCAGCAGGCCGATCTTTCCGCTTTCTACGTTTTGTTCGTTGAAAAACACGAACGTGTCTCGGATCGTTTTGGCGATGGGTTCTGTCAACTGTCGCTTGCTAGAGACGAGAAAAAGATTCGTGAAACTGCTTCCTAAAGGCACGACAGTTTTGCCGATTAATTGTTTCTTTCCATTCTCGTCGGATTTAGTGATCAGCACGTCCAGGTTTATGTTCTGTCCAACCTTGAATTGGGACATGGAGAAAAGAAGTGATTTCCCTGCGTTAAAAGGAACATCGGACGATTCGTAACCCGCCCCACTCGGTGCGAAATCTTCTTCGCAGACGTCGAACGACGGAAATTGAAGAAATTGAAACTGCACACATGTTTCACGCAACTTTTTCGCTTCCTCTGATGAGAAAACAACGCAGTCCACCAGAACCTCGAGGAGGAACAAACATTCTAAGTCGGACATCGTTGAAATCTATTTATTTGCCAGCTTGAATGAATTCTTGCCACGTAACCAACACTTTGTATTCGAAGCGACTTTCCTCAGGTAATTGTCATGTTTTTATTTTATTTATGTCAACATTGTGCTTAACATGTGGTAATTACTAAATTTACTTGTTATCGGATTTTATTTCCAAATTGCATACACATATAATTGATAAAGGGGAGCTTACCAAAAACAAATGCCCTATATCCAAATATTATTTAAATCACCTTACTAACCATTACAAAAAATCTACTACTACTGGCATCCTTTGTTGCCAAATATTTGTTCTATTTTACTTATTTTGAATTTTATACACCACAAAAATACTATTACAAATTGTATTAACAACTAACGCTGCGAATATTTTTCATCTTGCAATTTTAATATCTGTTTGTTTGTTAATGTTGTTCCAAATCCATTATATTTAGTGGCCTCATTGACCAAATTATTTCTTTCAATCAATTAATCTTTTTATGTAAGGTATTGGTTGAAATGAAAAAGCTAGTGTCACGAGCGGGATTCGAACCCACGACCTTCGGCTCAATACGCCGTTGCTCTATCACGAGCTACGTGACTCGACGAAAGTTGACACAGTTGCATTAGATGAAGGATAGTTACAAGAAACTTAGCCCTCGAGATCGTTACAGCCCCAGAAATTCCGATATGTAATTCAGTGGTTAATAAAGTATTAATGATAAATCAAGTAGTTGTGACTTTTTCGTTGTTTTTTTCTAATTCCAATTAATCAAAGCACCCTTGAAAATGTTTACCTAAATTCCCTCAGTTTAAACCTACGAACTAGGTGGTATTTGAGAAGTAAATCTAAAAAATGTAAAGTTCTGTTTAGCCAGAAACAACCCCTAAATACGTTCTGGAACTTCCTCAGATACCAAATACTCTCCACGAATACTTCGCGGACCGAAGTAGGCAAAGTAGGCACAGCAAAACAAAATCCTCAGTTTCGGACTAAGATTCTAAATCTAGAAGGATTTGCCGAAAAGAGGACATCGTACTGGGTTCAATGTCCGGTACCTTGACAAAACGTGGTTGTGGTGGGATGTGTGCTGTCCGTAGGCTGGGTTAAATTTACGGCGGGCCTTAGGATAGGCCATGCAAGGTTGACACACGGACACAATTTTGCGTCAAAGCCCGCATATGTGCCCAGCATGCAGAGAAGGTTTGCTCGTTGCATTGAAGGATGCAATTCCTTGGCTACGTACTGAGCGCCTAGGAATGCCACACTGTATGAAAATTGTACTTGAGCACGGCAGCGACTATCTAGATCCCCTGTTCCGATTCTTGGAATAAACAGGATTGTTATTCAGATATCGTGAGATGCGGTCGGGTGTGATGTAGGTTTCAGAAAAACATTTTCTTTATCGTGCCAACGTTTTGATCTTTATTGAGATCATCTTCAGGGCTAAAAGTGTTTGTCTTCTGTGTAATTGTGCCATCCTTGCGTGTCGTGTTGAGAGTGCCCTTAATTCTGGTGTTTGGCTGTGTTAGTGTGGAATTTGTGAAGTTGAAATTGTTTTTGATGTGAGTAGGAAATACCTTGTGTTGTCTGCATTTCAGCAAAAAAGTTCTCTGATTGATGGCCGAGGCGAGTTTCTTCTCTTTGTTGGCGACGTCCTTCAGAATACTTTTAACTACGTGTCCGTATGTAGTTGAAATTTGTTCATAGAATCCCATATTCTTCGTTCTTCTCGTGTAGAAATGTGTAGAGATTAGTGACCGTTAATCGATAGTTATACAGATATCGTGAGATGCGGTCGGGTGTGATGTAGGTTTCAAAAAAATCATTTTCTTTATCGTGGCAACGTTTCGATCTTTTATTGAGATCATCTTCAGGGCTCAATAAAAGATCGAAACGTTGGCACGATAAAGAAAATGTTTTTCTGAAACCTACACCCGACCGCATCTCACGATATCTGAATAACTATCGATTAACGGTCACTAATCTCTACACATTTCTACACGAGAAGAAACAGAATTGTTTTATTGCATACTATGTACTGAAAGTTTTGTGTACCTAGCATGTATTGAGAGTGAATGTATTTATTGGCGTGAACGTGTTGAGCATGGCAGCGATCTGGGATATTCTGCTGCGATACTTGGAGGAAATGAGGTTGTTTTTATTGTTTACAGTAAGTATAGTTTTGCGTCTCTAGCGTGTGTTGAGAGTGAATGTATTATGGGCGTAAATGTGTAGTGTCGAAATAGTGAGTTAGTTTTATAACAGGTGTTGTTTAGGCAAGGAAATATTTTCTTTTACAATCCGCAGAGTGCATGGTAATGTCCTTTTCATATGCCTTTTTTTACATTTTCCCTAATCAATTCACTAGTTTTCGTGGTCCGCTTGACCAATTAATATCTTTCAAATAATTAAGGGTTTTAGTTGAGATAAAAAAAGTCAATATCACGAGCGGGATTCGAACCCACGACCTTCGGCTAAATACGCCGCAGCTCGACCACCTGAGCTATCGTGACTTCGACTTTTATCCCAACTAAAAACCTTTAATTAATTGAAACATATTAATTGGTCAAAGTCGAAGTCACGATAGCTCAGGTGGTAGAGTAGCGGCGTATCCAGCCGAAGGTCATGGGTTCGAATCCCGCTCGTGACATTGACTTTTTTATCTCAACTAAAAACTAATTTTCCCTAATCCTAATCTGCCCATCATGTCCCTTCTCTACGCCTTCAGTCTGAATGGTGAATCTAAGCCACGATCCTCTCATGTTTTTGCTCAAATTAGTACTAACGGTAAAATCGGTCTTCCTCCCCTTATCTGGACCAACTGTGAGCTTTACTATCGGGAGCTGGTGGACTCGGGCCCGAACTCCATCCTCACCCCGTCCCCTACTCGCAGTGACGCCCTGAGTAAGTAAACCCCTCCTTTACAACCCCTCGTTATTTTTTTTTATTATTTATTTTTATCATTATTTTAGTTCATGGCGTATTACTTTCTTTCGTTTTTTTTAAATTTTATTATATTAATTTTATTTTTGAAAAAAGGGAGTCCGCTCAACAGGTGTTGATGAATATCGAGTACTCCACCACCCTAATTGAATGTATGGTATATAAAGAAGAAAGATTGTATTTAAGATTGTATGAGAGTGTAAATGGGTTTGGTTTTAGGAACTGATTGCTTAGAGGCTGAAATGACCTAGCTGTTGATAGCCCCTGGAACCCAAACTCGACGGCTGGACAAGACATAGGTCTGACCCCGGTCTGATCAACACCCAGGTTCTCGAAAGTCCTTGTAAATTACAAAAACTGGAATTGTCGATGGACTGCGAGAAGTCTCAACTATGTAGGTGAGTGTATATGTATGTGTATCGATGTAATTTGAACTTGAAATTCAAGTCCAAATCCATTATCTGATATTAACTAAAATTACCCCCTATTTCCTCCAGAAATGGAAAAAGTGGGCGCACAGATTCACAGGTCGAGCACAATTCTTACCTACTCGCTCCCTGCAAGGAGCCAAGGAATCAATCGTTCAATTATGTGGCACACATTGAGGAACCTTTATCTACATGCCGAGCGCATACGCGGCCTTTAACCCAAAAATGTCCGTCAACCGCGTATGTAAATATTTTTTTTTATGGGGTACGAGTCTACCCAGGCATTTAACCCCTCGGGTCTTGGTCGCCCACCCTGCATAATATATATATATATACATNATATTTCGGCTCCATATCACTCAATGTTGTTACCTCTTTTGAAGTAGTTTGAAGATAATTCAAAGTAGATATTAATCAAGACCTTACGTGTTAAACTCTCAAAAATATAAGACAATTCTTTTTAAATAAAGTGTATTACTGTGTAAACAAAATATTCCATTTTAAAAACAATAAGCGACGCAACAGAATCGGATGTCTTTGTTTTCCACCATTTATATTGCTAAAAACCTCAAAGAAAACGCGAGGGTCGTGGAACAGGCGATTTCTAATAGACTGTAATTTATCTCGTTTTTTTTGCCATTTTGTTGATTTTAATATCTTGCCAAGAAACAGTTTTTAATAAATCTGATGGAATATTATAAGCAGATATGCTTAGTAGTTTATCATCATCAAAACTGTTCAATCCCCCTTGGATGGTAGAATTGGCCGTTTTGGACGAAATGTCGGGTTTCATTGTGGTCAGCCTTTGGATTAAATCTATCGGTTTTTGTTTCAATGAGCTTATCGGAGGCAAGCAGTAGCCAGGTCTAGATTTCCAGTTGTGCTTTCCCGAAGTAGATTTATAACCGTAACGCAAAGCCGAGTTGGTCTCTCTGTCTGTCACTTCCCTCCCGAGCCAGCAAATTTTTCCCGGTTCTTCCGTTATTTCTTCGGCTTCCCATATCGCACGGATACCCGGCAAAGGGCCGTCCTTTGATTTTCCTAACCAGCATATGAGATCGCCGCGCTGAGGTTCTCTTATTTCCTCGGGAAAATCGAATTTTAAAACGTTCTCGTCTGAACTCTCTTGTAAATTGTTCTCTTTTAATTTGTTTTTCAGATGTTTTTTTAGTTTATATGCATGCCCCCCGGCGGATCCTGTCGATCTTCTACTTTTGCTACTCTTTTTACCGGAAACATCGCCGGATTTAGGACAAGTCTGGTTGGTCGCGTATTCCCAATAGATTTCGTTTTTCCCACAATCCGGTTTTTTCAAGACTTCGGCCGGTTTTAAAGGACGATTTTCGGCAGAATCGACGCATACAATATCCTGAACGTGGGGGTCGGTGTTTTTCGGATCGTTGATCACCCAGTAGAACATCTTCGAGTTTCCTTCTTGATTCAATTTAGCGCATTCGTTTTGTGGATCTGTAATGTCGACTTTCTTTTTTTTCGATTTTTCCGTCGGAGAAGTAGGACGAGTATTACACAATCGTTCGCAATGGCAGATGTAATTGAAAAGTGGGGCTAGTCCGCGTGGTCTTGCACCGTTCGGCCCACGAGGTCCTGTACCTTGAGGAGAAAAAGGCCCATTCGGATATCTCGGTTGACTCGAAGGAAACCCGCATTCTCCAAAATCATGTTTCCGTATCATGATTTGCCCACAGAATGTCTACTGCTCGAGAAGTTATTTTACAAGTTTGTTCTGCTGCGGTTAAGCAATCCACTCAACGATAGCATAAATAAATTATAGAAAACAATAATTTGTAGTTTTTTCCATGAAACCTGCAACTTGTGTATAATGTTGTGTGACAATGAATTTGTTTTCTACATAACTTACATATGGATATAAATTGTTAAATGATTGTAGAAAAATTTTCTCGCTTACATTTACTACAATTAATTAATCTTTATGTATGGTATTGATTGAAATGAAAAAGTTAGTGTCACGAGCGGGACGCGAACTCACGCCCTTCGGCTAAATACGCCGCTGCTCTACCACTTGAGCTATCGTGACTGTCACGATTAGCCGAAGGTCGTGGGTTCGAGTCCCGCTCGTGACACTAACTTTTTCATTTCAACCAATACCTTACATAAAGATTAATTAACTTAACGAAGTTATTTGGTCAATCGAACCACGAAATGTAATGGATGTATTACAATATTGAAACAACATCAATCAGTCAAAAAATAAAGTAATTCCTGTTCTATGTAATACACAACAACCGAATCATAAAAATATGACGAAATAACGATCAGTCCTGAAATTCACGAAATTCATCTCGACACCGCTTTTGAACTAAAAAAACCCTTAAGGCAATTTTCACATAAAGGATGGGGAGTAAGCATAATGGGTGAAGTCACATGCAACAAAAGGAAATTAGGAAAGGCAAAAGAAGCTGCCAAGCTATCTGACGACTATATTTAATAAAGTTACCAAAAGTTATGTAATAAAAACTGGGACCTTGGATGATAAAAAACAGCCCAACAGGATCAAGGATTTTCCCAACAATCGAATTTCGCTTAACTGTTGACCTGTATTGATACACGATAATAGGGCCCTTGATGGCCTCCGTCAAATAACAAGCTTAAATTACAGATACCAATTTTTCAAGTTGTAACACAAAATTTTTCACTTAAATTTCCTTATCGACTTTAGCCTTAAACTTCATTATTGTACGGGCAAGATTATGGAATTTGCTTCCTTCAAATTCAATAATAATTTAAAGTTGTCCAATTTAAATTCGTTCTTCAAATTTACATGTAAACTTATCTACCTTAATTACCCCTTCTGAGAGATGGTTCCATTGAAGGCTGCCCACTGTGTAACTCCTGCACGAGGTTAAGTCCTCTTCCATTTTTTGTCCGAGTGACCTATTCTTTCAAATTGAAGTTCTCTTTTTGATAACTGCTAGAGTTTTGAGAGTGTGTCCGATAGTAAAACTTAATTCCCGAAATTGTTCATTGGTTGGTTTTGCAGAGTGAACTGGAGTATTGCTTTTTTGCTAATTTGCTCCCACCGTGCTGTAGTATGATCTGCTTCCTCACTAGCTTTCAGATCCATGGCATCCAAGTTTTTAAAAACATCCAATAGCTTGATCATTTTAGCCCAAAGTGCATGCGAAATATAACAACACATATTCAATACGCAATCACACAAATAAGTACATTCACACATATATACATTGTACTCATTCTATTTAGTAGATTGAGTCACTCAATTCCTCCATCAGCCTGCATACAATAACAAACTAATCTAATTGGGAAGGCCGATGAGGTACTCTTATAAATATTCCACCATCGACCCAAACACAGCGCTGATACTACCATCAGCCCCTCCCCATTCACTCTAATAAATACACTCACCCTTACACAAAACATATTTTGACAGTTATGTACAATACAAAATGCACAATTACCCTAAAAAGCAGACCAGGGGACCCTGAAACTCGGTACCAAGTTCGAGAACCATTCTTAAATCCGGCGGCATGCCTACATGCTCTCTGTATGGAGCCAAGGCATGACACACCTCTATTATTTGGGACATATCAAGCAACCTTTCTCTGCACAAGGGGCACCTACGCGGGCTTTCGCCCAAAAGCAGCAAGTGCTCATGTGTGTCTTCCACTGTTTTTCTACATTTCTTTCTTAATGTGGTTTCATAATTTGATTATAAATAATTAATCTTTTAAAAAAATGTAATATTACTATTATTATTAATTTTTAAAGGCGTTTTAACGACTAAGGTCATTTCACACCCTAACATTTAACCCTTCTGAGTGCTACGCTATGCTCTGTCTCCAAACATTCACTCATAAAAATAATCTATCCTATTGATATCCAAAGCTTTAATTTATCCTTTTAAAATACTTGATTTGTAAGGCTAAATGTACGCAAAAAAAATTAAATTATAAAATGTATTCCTGTTCTGTAATTAGAATTTTGATTTTTTGTTCCATAATTTAAACATTTCCCATAGGCTTGTACGACCAATAATAATAATAATAATAATAATCAGACTAGTAACAATCCCAGCATAGGCTCATTGTTACCCTTTATTCTTATATTTTATTGTACGTTTTACTATTATTATTATTATTTTATTATGTTTATAAAACTAAACCTATATCTAAGATATGTACATGTAAGGAGGCTTTAAGCTTTGTTTGCATCTTGCACTTCATTTTTACACATTCTGTTTCTTAAGTCGGATACAAACAAATCTTCAAATCTAGTTCAGATTAAAATGATAAAACCATGATAAAAAAATTAAAAAAATAAAAATAAAATATAATAATAAAAAATAAAAAATTATGATGACTATTTACAAAACAACAACAAAACAAATAAGTTGTATTTATGTTCTAAATATACAATTTTTACATAGAGCCTACATTAAATTGTAATGCTACATGCTATATACACTTAAGTACATACATAAAAAAATATACAACAATCTTAGATTTTTTTTAAATACATAAATACAAACAATATCAAATATTTTCTACTTCCAATCAATATATCACTTCAAAATTGGATTTATTTTTACAAAAACAATTTATGTTCACAACCGCTTTTTTTAAATACTTAATAAATATTAGTTTTCACGATTATTCCAAAATTAGAAGTTATGTAATTATATTTACTACTTTTATAATTACACTAGCATCAACCAAAGAATATTTGAAAACTGCATTTGAAAAAACTTAACGGTCTGTCTTTATTTTATAATTTGTTTCCTTTCAGCAATTCTTCAAATTTACTTCTCATTTCATGCATAAATTGGCGTTTTTGAAAGCTATCTAATTTATTAAATTCAGTCTTAACGGTGTCGAGAAAACTATCAAATTCTTCATCACTTGAATCAGTAACCTTTTGACCATAATTTACTGAACCATCTGTAGCACTTAAATTTGTCTCTGAAAAGAAGATTTCTGAATTGTCACCAATAACATGGCCTGGGCCAGTTAAATTCAAAGTTCTGTTTAATTCAAGCTTTTTTGTATTTAATGAATCTTTAATAGTAATTGGATCTTGTCCCATATATTGATTAACAACTTCCTCAATAATTTCTCCATTGTCTAATAGTTGTGTAAATAATTTTTTTTCTGATTTTGTTTCATATAACGTAATATCAGTACTTAAAGAATCATATGTTAAAACATTAGATGAATTTGTAGTCTTTGAATCCGTTCTTACTGCACTTGTGTCCTCATTGAATCTTCCAGTAATATAAATTTCTTCATCGTCCAACATTTTTGTTTCACTTGCTGTGTTGGTTTGAGCATCGTCTCGCTGGCTGGAATTGATCTTTTCAAAAAGGTCATATGCTCTCTCCTCGTTAATTTGACTACTTAACGTTTGCTCTGTTAAAATGTCCTTGTTTCCTGTCGTTTTATCAAAATTTTCATCACTTTGGGCATTATAAACATTAGATTGAGGTTCGAGTTTTATTTTTTTTAAAGGCGGCACGAGAGATTCTTCATAAAGTGCACTTTCAGATGCTTCAAATTCTGATGGGCCTTGAGGCTCTTCTTTTATTATCACCACCTGTGGCTGGTCTCTAATATCACAAGGTACTTCTGTCCTACACTCTTCTTCTTTTTCTTCTTCATGATCTTCTTCTTCTTCTGCTTGATTATTTAGACTAAAGTCACTTTCATATTCTTCAATCTGTGTTTCTACTTTCCAAGCAAAATCAGAAATCTCATTTTCCTCAGCACAAGTGTCACTAAAAATACCAATATATTAATAATGTATTGAAAGAATATTAAAAACAAATAATTAAAATAACAATTTTAAAGTTGTCATTTGTCGGAGGTGAACAAACTATAGGTTCATCATTGTTGCATCACTGCAAATGAATATCTGACAATTTAATATTTAGCTTTAGCTTCTCACTCTCGCTCTCTCTCACTCACTTTGCTCTCTCTCCTCACTCTCGCTCTCTCTTGCTCACTCTCGCTCTCTCTCGCTCACTCTCACTCTCTCTCTCACTATCGCTCTCTCGCCTCACTCTCACTCTCTCTCTCACTATCGCTCTCTCGCCTCACTCTCGCTCTCTCTCTCACTCTCGCTCTCTCTCACTCACTCTCGCTCTCTCTTAGTCACTCTTGCTCTATCTCACCCACCTTCAGTCCCTCCCTCTTCCTCAAAAAGATCTGTTAAAAAATAAAATACTTAAAACTAGGAATGTAACCCTCATATTACAAGTAATTGATTAATATTAATTTAGTTTTTAATTAATACATAAATAGTAAAAATGATTAAATCTTACATGTTGATATCATCATCTAACAGTAATTTTTTTCTTGGCCGCCCAACTTTAAGTTTGTTGGAATTGCTGCTAGGCGATATCGGATGTATTCTAGGTCTTCCAACCTTGCGTTTAGGTTTGGTTGGCAATACAGCGTTGACTCTTGGCCTTCCCCTTGGTTTTTTTAATCTTTTTCTCCCACGAGGTTGTCTTTGTGGTTCTTTAACCTCATCAGCGATTTCAATAATTTCAATCGTCTTATCATCCGTCACTTTAGTAACTGTTTTTTTAAATGGTAATGTTACCATTACACACGATTTAGTCACGTTCGATGATTTTCGTTTCGCTAAAAATTCAAGTACGTCTATGAAGGTGAAACAAGAATGATAATGTAATTAATTTACATGATCCATTCGGTGCTTTGTTTGGTTTGTCCTTTACATCTTTATTAATTGGATAGGGTTCCTAATAAATGAAAAATAGAAATACAATTTAATTTAAAAGCTAACATTATAAGCATAAATAATTGATTAACATTAATAAACACACAGTTTTTGAATGCAAATACACTGATGGTACGGCATTTTTCAATATTTTTCCATCTTTCACATAAATCCCATGGAAATGACGAAAACATATTCGAGAATGAGAAGGGTCCCAATCAACTGTAATGATATAAGTAGAGAATAACTTTTTTTTTAAATAATAAATTAATAATAAAAGTGGCAACTTACCTGGTTTATTTATGGCATTGATCCAAGCTAACCTCTGTTCCGGATCTTCGGGAAAAGTAAAATAGCTTTGTCCTAAATATTCTGCTCTGGACTCGTCAAAATAGTTATCACAACTTTCGACTGCACATTTCACATATTTGCCTGCGACATAATGTAAAGATAATATAAATACAATATAAATATGATATAATATAAAATTATACAGGGTATGTAAATTAAACAGAAAACTTTCTAATACACCAACACATGCACTGATACATTAATTTTCTTATCATTTAATTATTATGTATATATGTATAAAGATTGGGTCATAAAATAAGACCATACCATTTTTCAATGGTAAATTTGGAGAAAATTTCAAGTACTTGTAAATAAATTTAATCAACAACGTATGAACCATTTTGTTCGAATATATGTTGCCGTCTTACATGTAATTTTGTAATTCCATCTTCCCATAAATAATCAGGTGTTTTGACCGATGAATTTTCACAGGCCTCAAGTTAAGAAAGTTTTTCACATTTATCATTTTACAAAGCCCGGAATAAGTGACAAACTGAGTGGGGTTGCACCCAGCCAAGCTGCATCAATTTCTGGCATGTTTACAAAGACATGCGAGGGCGAGCTTTATCTTGGTGGAAAACTCCTTGCAATACGTCAATTCCATCGTTTTAGGTCAATTGCTGATTTTAATTGCTCCAATGGTGAAAGGTATACAATATAATTAACAAGTTGGACTGAAGAAGCTCATAACAAAGCACCCCCTTTTCCAATTCCACCAAAAAACCTTCTTGAGGTGAATCTCTGTGGGTTTTTCACATTACCTTCTTTTCAACCCAAGTTATCAATCTTTTTAAATATCCATAATTTCAAGTACGTTTTAGGAGGGAAGCATTGGTCCAATAAAATTTTCTCAGACAACATGTAAGGAACTCGCTTTTCGCTTCTACAAACATATCCAGCCGCTCTCAGATAGTAGAAACGCTTCTTTCTATTAATACGGGATGGGTTAAATGTCTGTGCGATGTCTTGAGTTGAGTGTGGGTTATTTGTGACAAAAGCTTGAATTTGATTGGAAATTAACAGTTTGACAGACAACCATTTCGGGTCTTCGATATTTCTGCTTCTAAACCAAGAAAACCACTTTTGGTGGGTTCTCCTAAAGCATCATTACCATACTCACAGATTTTCCTAGCAGTCTGAACTGTTTTCCCTTTCAGAAGATTTTAAAAAAAAATTAATTTAATTTAAAAAATAATAAAAGAAGAAAACACACTATTTTCCCTCCATTTTAAATTAGAAAAACACCTTGTAAAAATACGAGATCTCAAATAAAACTAATGACTAAAAACACCTTAATTATTCCTTTTTCAATGTGTGTTAAACAATAATGACTAAATAAACAAAATCAAATTATTGAAAAACTCTACGGACTCGAACTAATATTTGAAATTTTTCCGAGGGCTTATGAATAATTTTGATTTACCTATCCTTGTTGATTTGGTCTATCAGACATGTTTCAGCTTTACACCATCTTAAGTGCTCTGGGTCTATTCTATTTAAAAAAAAAAAAAAAAAGCTTCCAATAGACCAAATCAGCAAGGTTGAAAAGGAAGATCAAAATTATCAGAAGCTGTACAATTATATATAATCTTACCAGCAAGCTTACAAACTTTAAGATAGTTTTAATCTTACCAGCAACTATTTTAAGTCTATCCAGTACGTTCCACTGAATTATTTCAGCAAAAAATTAAAATTTATTATGGTAATGTGATCAATCGACAGATTTTTTTTTTTTTTTTTTTTAATAAAAATGTAAGTCAAACCTGGGAATGTAGAAGAACTACTTGAACTACTTTTCGGGAGTATCAGTCTGGTATTTATATTTGGATCGGTTGTAGGTATCTCTTCAACTATTTTTGTACATGTTTGGTTATCACCAAAAGCGACAACTACATCTGTAAAACAATGCAATTAAAAAAAAAAGTTCAGCATTTTGAAATTGGATGTCTGTATAGTTGGTGAACTCATAACAAAATTAAGGAAATGATAATGTTTTACCTTTTTCTAAAGGATCCGGAATGGCGAGTGGATCAAAAATAGATGGCACTGCATTGAACTTCAACCTTCCTTCCGGTGTTATCATACTTTCACTGAAATGTAATGAACAAATACGAACAGTTTCCCTCGCAGCTTTGAACCCCTGATACATCCACTGTGGATATCCACAAATGTCAACCCATTTTTGTGCTCTGAATGAGAATAAAACCTATTATTTCACAAGCTGATTAATTTATTTATTATTAACTCACTTTGTAATGTCCTTTGGAAGTTTGTAAACCATTCGTCTCGGTAAATTTAGCAAATGGGAATTGCAGTATGTAATAGAACATGGGAGATCCTGATTTGTCTGTTGTATTACAGAATGAGACTGCTAAAAAACAAAAAATTTATATTGATTATGCTATAATCAAATTGTAGATAATAAATTAACTAACCATTATACTTTTTCCTTTGTTATGAAACTTTTCCTAAAATTGGGAAAAAAGAAGAGATCTTTAAGGAACAAGCAATACAAAAAATTAACTGAATTTATTAAAAGACAAGCTGTATCACCCAGCCCAGGGGACAATAAAATTTTATTTTACATATTATCTCGATTATACATATTGCTATTGCTAGATTTGAGTATATAAATTAAATGAACAAACTTGAAAGTTTGATTGTATTTAGTTAAAATTTTAATACACAATATTATTTTTATGTTTTGGATTAAATTGTTTTGAATTGTAATTATATACAATACAACAATTATACAAAAAACTCCAGGAACAAGATGTGTTAAATGTTGTCAAAATGAGTCAAAAGGTGCGTTTTTCTCATCAAGATCGGGACATGTAATACTTTCATTGAAATGCATCACATCGTGAAGTCGAGTTGTACCTCAGAAATTTCCCAATCACTCCCGGGTGAACCGCAATTTGTTGCATACAATATGGGGAGACGTGATCAAGAAACCAGTCACATCATTATGATGAAGTACTAAACATTTTGTTGTTATGTTCTCGAAAATCCACACTCCTCCACTCGATAGACTGGAAGGGTTTTGGATTTTTGGATTGGAGATGTCGCATGATCGAACATATTTTGGAAGAAAATATTCTCCCTTACACCCTGTGGACTGATGATTCAAGTTCACCACCAATGGTATTCTCAATCAGTGGAATTTTCAAATGTGGGCACAGTAAACCCCCCCCCCCAACCAAATATCCACATCATCCATCATCATTCATGTCAAAAAAAAAAGGCGTAAAAAGTATACGTTTTATTTAAAATTTAAAAACTGGCTCTGAAGTAACCTGGCAACAAATATTTTAAAAAAGGGATAAAAATTTAAAAGTAGACTAAAAAATCCCCCCCCTCGATAACATTATATGATCAAGAGAAATTCAGCCAGCCCATGTAAAAAGGACACCCGAGATACTCAAAAACAAAAACAACCAGAACTGCATTTTTTTTGTCACCCTGGACATGACGCACAGTGGACACCCTGTATATACTCAAAATAATGGTTCAGATCCTGGAATTCTCTTGCGGAGAGGTATAATGAGGCTGTTCTCTTTGGATAATTTTGCAGTGTGGTCTGAAATGTTTTCCAATCTTCTTCATATTATCGGGGCTCGTCATTGAGAGAGTTGTATTTCTCGTGCCGTGGACTCAAATAGATTCCAACTCTACAAGGAGTTGAATCATTCCCTAACTCCTTGCAATGTTTTTTCTGCTACAGCAAATGATGTCCCGTTCTCTTTTTTCCGCTGGTGGTTTAAAATTCGAGGGGAGTTGTTGTTCCTGAATTTCAGGCCTTGGGTTGGGAGTACTCCTGCCACTGCAGTGTGCTCTCTATGCAACTCAGGTGATCTTGAGGATGCATTTCATTTTCTCACTAGATGCTCGGTCCTGAACAAATTGAGGTATCTGTATGTGGGTAAGGGTTTTCTGACGAGGGAAGAGCTCATAGCCCTTCTGAACGGCTCCGATTGCCGGGGTCTTGTTGATTTTGCTCGGAAAGCCTGGTTTTACAGATATGAATACATTGGAATGTAGGGAATTAATATTCTGTTCGTCTTATTTTGTTTCTTTTTTGTTTGTCTTTTGTTTTTTTATTTTGTTCTGTTTGTCATAATACATATAATTTCTAGTTTGTGGGCTTCTAAATGCAAATTCTGTTTGCCGGTGGGGGACCCTTTGTGAGTTGGAATCCTTGCTTTGGTTCTTTGAAGTGTCATTTTTATTATTTTCAAAGTTTATCGCAATTCAATCTTGTAATTTGAAAATCCTGTAAATAATTGTAACCTCTGAAGTTGATATTTTAAATTCTCCTTTTCTTATAATTATATAATTATGCATATTCTTGGGATAGTAATGCACTCCGAACTCTGGCTGATGGTTTTAATACCATGCCATAATAATACTGTTTTTTATTTTTAACTCTAAATTTTTTTCATTTTGTAAATAAAGTATATCTATATATCTATCTATCTATCTCTACTCAAAATAATGTGTAAAATAAAATTTTTTGTTATCCCCCATTGGCAACGCCTGGTTGTACAGATAGTATATAGATATTTAAATGTTTACCTTTCCAACAGAAAATAAGAAACATGGCTTAAAAGGTTTTGGCAACCCCTGTGTCGGAACTGCCAACTTGACCAATTTCAATGATCCGTCTCGCCCTGAGTAATAAAATTAGAAAAAAAGTTCTTACATAGTAGTGTAAACAAACTTTGATACTCAGCGTGTAATAATATTAGACTTGTATCTTTTGGCGATAAAATTACCTTTTATGTAGTCATTCTTTGTAAAATGTTTGGTACAAATTACAGTCAAAGGCGAAGCATCCTTTAGCCCAACTCGGTCTAACCAAATTTGACGTAAGTCTGAAATAACACCACTGTTTCCACGGGATTGTGACTGTTGATAAAGTACTTCCACAGTCGATCTATTAGGGGTAGGGAATGTATGAAATCCAATACCGGGTTTTGCAACTGTTGAACAATTGGGTACACAGCACTGTAAACCCTTATCCGATTTGGGACCTATAAACAAACCAGAATAGCAATAATAAACTTTTATAGAAAAAAGAATTAACTTACATGATAAATTTAAAAAAAAATATATATATACAATATACAGCATAAAAACATATATATGACTAACTTGATTCGTTTTTTCTTGTCAATCTTTTCTCAAAATCATTTTTATTTTAAATATCTTGATTCTCAGTAACTAACTCTAATATTGAGTTATTATTTAATAATTATTTATTATTGATGAATTATTTATTAAATAAATATTTGCAAAAGAAAAATAAAACTGACAACTGAAAATTACACCAGTGACTTACTCTTAATATCAAAAATAGAAGGTACTGCAGCATGTTTAAGAAACCAATGTTCACCAGATTGTATAATATCATCATCCTTAAAGTGCAGGACACAGACAGAGCCTGTTGAGATCTTGGTGAGAAATTTACTGTATATAGCAATGAACCATTTGTTTTTTTGTGCTTGAATATCCCTTGGAAATGGAAATGTTCTGACTGGTTTGTTTGGCGGGCTAATTAAATAACTATCATGATTACTAGTACAACCTGGTATACAACATTTCACAATTTCTTTATCTTGTCCTAAAAAGTTATTTTTATCAATAATTTATTATTTAAATTTACCTTGTGATGAAAATTACAAATTAATTTTATAAATTACAAGAGCATATTTACCCAATGATAATTTGAAACCTCCTGGGATAGCTGTTGGTTTTAAATGAATACCTTTTTCATCTTTGATTATATCATCTTTGGAAAAATGCTTTATACATACAAAAGAAGTTCGTTTTTGAGGTACCATTTTTGTACAAATGGGTATCTCGTCTAACCAAGTATTTCTCATGAATAAATCATCAGGCAGTGGAAATGTCGGTACGACCTCATTGTTTGAACCTGTATTATTGCTTAGACATCTTGAGACGATACACCTCTTTCGTTCCTGATAAATTTCCGTTGGAGTAAATCATTTAAAAAACATAGTCATAACAAAGTAGAATGGTATTTACATATTTCAAGCACTGTTCTTTATGTTTAGAGTAGTTATTGCTATCCTTAAACCTTAAACCGCAATTGACACATGTGATGCCACATTCTTTTTCGTGTCTTTTAACATTTGCCATTGAAGAAAACAAAACACCACAATATTTGCATGTACAAAGCTTAAAGTAATAAATAGAAAGAATTACAAAAACAGTAATGGTTATTAATAAATACCTGTTGTATACATGTTTTCTTATTTTCATGCACTTTGATTGGTACAGCGCTTTTCACAAGTTTTGTTTTGTTCCTGTCTTCAAAAGAAATATTACGAAAATGATCTTGACAGAGAAATATACTTTCACTCTCTCCAATATGATTTAGACCTAAAAAAAATAATAATAATAAGATACAATTGATTACTTTTAGGAACTCGCCAGTATTATTTTATGTTGTACCTGCATTTTTAATCCAGCCTTCCTTCAGGTTTTCATCATTAGGCAATTCAAAAAAACTCTTTTTTGGATTAAGAACACTGTATTTACCACAAGTGGCATACGCACATTTTTTCCCAAGAGACATTTCTGTAAAAACAAAATGATTGTTTTGTCAAAAAAGAAACAATTTTTCATCATACCATATAATTTCTAATTATTTTAATTCTCTTTTTTAGTGCTGTTAACACCAATTATACGTCATTGCTAATTATTGTGATAATTTTTTTACACTAATCAGGGACAACACAGATGTTGCGTAGAGAGTGTAGTTGGGATATCTGATATAGAAGAGGTACAGGATTCGTCCGAGCCTCTGCCCTGTGGCACTCCCACTCCCACAGGGCAGTAGTCGGAATAGGCCAATCTGTTGTGGAACAGTCCAACCCTTGGGCAACTTGAAAGAATCTTCCTGTGAGGTAGGAGCAAAGGATTAGGCATTTGGGTGTTTGGAAGGACGTGGAGTTTGTATGCCCCTTTTTATGGTAGAGACCCCTCATGCCATATACGGCAAAAAGCCAATAAAAAAGTTTATTTTTTATTCAATCATTATTAAATATAATTCAATTAATTAAGGTTTTTAGTTGAGATAAAAAAAGTCAGTGTCACAAGCAGGATTTGCACCCACGATGTTCAGCTAGATACGCCGCTGCTCTACCACTTGAGCTATCTGTCGGCGACAAATGAAATGGCCACTGAGACTTTTGACTTTTCTATCTCAACTAAAAATATTAATTAATTGAAAGATATTAATTGGTCAAGCGGACTACAAAAACTAGTGAATTTAATAAGTTAAAATGAAGTATATCTTCACTAAAGCTCTCCGTGGCCATTTCATTTGTCGCCAAGAATCAAATAGATTACATGACATTTAAAAAATGGCAAAAAGGAGGGAAAATTCAAAAGGTGGGGTTGAGATGGGAAGTTAGTGTCCGAGTGGATCGAAGTCACGATAGCTCAAGTGGTCGAGCAGCAGCGTATCTAACCAAAGATCGTGGGTTCGAATCCTGCTCGTGACACTGACTTTTTTATCTCAACTAAAAATATTAATTAATTGAAAGATATTAATTGGTCAAGCAGACCATGAAATTAAATATAATTATTACTCTGTCAAACAAATTCTTACTAAGCAGGGTCTGTCACTAGTCAATTAGACAATACTACTTGTTTAAGGTTGTTTAAGTTAATTACCTACTTAGCATCCAGGTCAAAAGAAGGTTTTTTTTAATATAAATGACTTTTCTAGCTAAATTTTAACTGAATTTTGTTACTCAATTGCCAGTACAATTTAATCCCTGGATATAATATTAAATATTGACTTTGAGGTGGGTCAAAAAGATAGCACACCTGTTGTTTGTAAACAAAAGCTAAATCCAATTGTGTACCAAATTATAAAACTCTGCATGTTGCTACTGTCGATAAAAACATTTGTAATGGTTCGTACCAGTTTTTTGATACTTTCTGAACACACAATAATATTAAGAATGAAAATTCATAGAAAATCACTTTAATCAATATTAAGAAACATAGAACGCAGGAAAGTCATTTTAACCTTTTTAAATAATCCAAAAGGCTACAGAAAAAGGAAAATACAAGGCAGGCCATCTATTTTAACCAGCACGGAAAAACAAACAAAAACGAGAGCTGAAGCGTCAACCAACATAAAAAATGTAAACTAATGTAATAGTTGACATGCACAAGAGGAGGACACTGAAATGGATACCACCCCTAAAAATTCATGATGAATGCCATAAACATTTCACCCATGACCATATCCTACTGGAAGGAATAATAGAGAAAAATAGTTTTTCAAATATTAAAAAAAAATGACCTCAATGTCTCTGATTGGTTTGGCATATTATTTCCATGACTAACTGAAAGAAGAAATAGTATTTTGGAAAAGGCAAGTAGTTTGAGGAAGTGTGTTGGTATGGGGTGGCATCGGTTACAATAAGAAAATATAAATTGTTTTTGCTTCTGGTAGAATGAATAGTATACAAAATCTAGAATTAATAGAAAATTAATTAACAAGGCACACAGAAACGATACGAAGAGAATAATTCGTATTATACAAGGAAAATGCTCCTGCCCATACAATGAAAATGGTAGCCTTTTTTTCAAAAAGAAAAATCAAGTTTTGGCATGACTAATGGATTCCGAGATTTTAATATAATTGAAAAAAGTCATGGGACATCTTGTTAGAGTCGTTTATGAAGGCTGCAGCCAGTTCCAGAACTAGAAGAGATGAAATGAGTGATCCAAGAAGAACGGGAAGAAAAATGTTTTTTGAGGATGTTTATCCCCTCTACAACCTTCCAAATTGAAGCAAACTAGGCTGGAGAAAGATATTAGGAGACTATACTAGGTATTAGAATTATTTGGTCATTCGTTTTAAGTTTTTTAAATTTTATTTAAGTTCTGAAGATGTGATATATTTTTGTCCACCCCAAAATTAATATTTAATTATTTCCAAGTACTATTTTACTGGCAGATAATTAATCTGACATAATAAATATAGATAATTAAAATATGACAAAAAGGTTATTTGTGATTTTTAAAAATTAATGAAAACTACAAAATTTAACATACTCCCAAAATATTAAGGTGGGCTATGTTTTTGTCCCAGACCTTATATGTTTACCAACCAAACACACAACTGGCACTGTAATAACGTCGATAAAATTTAACAAAAAAATCAAATCAAATATTTGAATATTTTACTGGTAAACAGCTATGGCTATATTTTACTTTCTTTTAAGTATTGAAAGAAAATATTTTATCACAAGGTTATTTGCTAGTTACAAACGAAGGCTTTTGCCATTGCTATATTTTGTATTTATATTTGAATTGTTATACTTTATTCATTCACCATTAAATATATAACACATATTTTAAACTTCTCCTCAACTTCATCAACTTTTCCCTCTGCGTAAAAGAAAGTTTTACCCTTTCCTAAAGTTTCATCACCATCTTCCCAAATGATTTTCAACCCTATAAGTACTCTACCTTCACTATCTAAAGCTCTAGAAATCATTATGTTTAAATGCATTAATAACTTTTTTGATACTAATTCACTGCTTTCACCTTTTCAATCTGGTTTTCGACATCAACATAGCTGTGAACCGGCCTTACTAAAAATTAGTTAAGATATACGAGTTGACATGGATATTCACGAATGCACTCTGTTGGTTCTGCTCGACTTTTTCAATGCTTTCGGAATTGTCAACCATAACTTGCCTATTTGGAAACTTGAAAATTTGTTTGGTTTTTCGTCCTCAATTTGTTAATATCCTCTTATTTTTCAGGCTGTAAACAAGTTGTCAACCTTATAAAAAAATTCATCTGACCTCCCTGTTAAGTCTGGCATTTCTCAAGGTGCAATTTTAGAACCCTTCCTGTTTTCAACGACCTCCCTTCTTGTTTAAATTACTCCAAATTTTATTTATATGCTGGTGATACCCAAATCTATACACAATGTCTTCCTCATTTAATCCCTGAATCCATTTTTCTAGCTTGGTTAATTTGGCTTCAACCAACGGTCTCAAATTTAACCCACTCAAATCCCAATTGGTAATTCTTTACAACAATTAATTAAGGTTTTTAGTTGATATAATAATAAGTAATATATTAATTGGTCAAGCGAATCACGAAATAAGTGAATTTAATGATTTGAAATGAAGTATACTTCACTAAAGCTCTCCGTGGCCATTTCAATTGTTGTCAAGAATCCAATCCGATTACACGACATTTGAAAAATGGCACAAAAAAAAAAGGAGGGAAAATTCAAAAGGTGGGGTTGAGATGGGAAGTTAGTGTCCGAGTGGATCGAAGTCACGATAGCTCAAGTGGTAGAGCAGCAGCGTATCTAACCGAAGATCGTGGGTTCGAATCCCGCTCATGCCACTGACTTTTTTATCTCAACTAAAAACCTTAATTAATTGTAATATATTAATTGGTCAAGCAGACCACGAAATTAGTGAATTTAATTATTTACAACACACATCTGCCAACTGAGAATTTTTTTCGCATTACTCTTGATGGCTCTTTAATACCATTTTCTAACCAGTTAAAAATACTTGTGTGACTTAATACCAAATTATCTTGGGATGATTATTTAGGCTTTATTGCTAGAAGGTTGAATTGATCATTAAATTCACTTTAGAAATATAAATTTATCTCTCCGACGCTAAAACTTAGATTAGTCTAAACACTTATTTGACCGTTTTTACTTACTGCAGTACTATCTACTCTTTTGCCCTTAATAACATTTCTACTAAAAAAAATTAGAATACCTTTTAATCACTGAACAAGATTTGTATTAAGTTAACAAGGAAAAGAGCACATGGCATATACCTTCTGGGTATAAATTTATTTGATTACCTTAAACTATGATCCTTTATTTACTTATTTAAAATCAAAAATAAGCTCTGCCCCTTCATACTTATTCGTTATATTTGATTTTAATTCTTCCCACACTTTAAATATTATGAAAAACTTGCATCATAGATCCAATGAATTCATTTAGAGTTGCTGGGGGCGTATGTGGAATTACCTTCCACGGCATATCCTGCCCACCCCTTGGCCCTTCAGGCATGAAGCTTTTATTTTTTATTTTCTAACGATCCTTGATTTGATCAAACTAACTCAACATGATCATGTAGCTATTCTTTTGTTCTTTGATCTTTTATAATTTTCCTTTATACCTACCTCACTCCTTCATTCAACTATGTCAATATTATTATACAAATTTAGTTATTAATTATTATTCCTTATATTTTGTAACCTTTTTATTTAATTATTTTCTATTGTTATACTCTCTATAAAGGGGCCAAGCCTGATTGTGAAAATTTTTTTTGGTAATATATTTCTATTTTTACATATATAACTTTATCAATAGGAGTTTATTTGCTGGTTTCAAACAAAGGCATTTGTCATTGCTATAATTTGTATTTAAATTTTGGATTTTTACTTACAATAAATCTGTATGAATTTGTATAAGTGGAATTTTGGATAAAATTGAATTAGTGTGCTGAAATTAGCACCCTTGGTGTCAAGAGCATGATCCATAAGCCTAATTCATAAAATCAACCTGGAGGGCATGAGTGGGATATATGTTACTCTCTTCAAAATAGTGATGAAAAGTGAATAAGGGAACTTTATATAATTGCTCACCAAAATTCACTCACTACAACCGAGTTACATACTGTATTACAACTCATGCAAAAAGTCTATCGTAAGGAGGTTATTTGCCGGTTACAAACGAAGGCTCATTGCTATAATTTATACTTATATTTGGATTTTTTTACTGACAATAAATCTGTATGGATTGTAAGTAAGTGGGCAGGCCGAAATACTTACTTTACTTCAATACATAAATATTTAATCACAAGGAGGTTATTTGCTGGTTACAAACGAAGCTCAAATATTATCAACTACTTAGTGCATACATAAGTGATTCATATTTCACATTAAATATTTATTTATTTTTTAACTTCCAAATGTAATGTCTTTTGAACTTTATACTTCCAAAAAATGAAGAACATTTTACGTGATATAACGCATTTTGCACGCGTCAAAATACGCCAAGTTGACACATGTATAGAGGAGGGGGTAAAAAAAAATATTGTCACGATTGATCTTTCGTATATAAACGTATATATTTTTGTGTAATCGACAAATTAAATTATGCGACAGCTTAAAACAGTTTCTTCCGGACAAAAAACATATTTTGCAACAGACCAACTTCTACATTGGTGATGTAACGATTGAATAATTAATTAAGTGTAATAAATATATTAAATGCATATTTTAACCTGGGTTAAAAAATATGCATTTTAAAATAAAATTAATTGAGATAATTTGAGTGTTGTTCGTATTAAGCCTCGTTGGAAAACATTAAAAGTATTAAAACATGAAAAGTATCGTTTCAACTCCCACTACCACCTCTCCCAGCCTTTCAAAGAAAAACCAATACATTACCGTTACGCATGCATACTTACACAAATTTAACAAGAAAATTATTAAATATTAAAATTAATTAATTTCAATATAGAAATAATGGTTTCTACGTTCGTGCTTGTGTGAGAAAGGTAAAATACAGAGTACGTACGTCGCCCGATAAACGGGTAGAGGTGGAAGCCGACCGCCGTGGGTTTCCGACCACGCGTTTTACTCCGCTTTCCAGTTTACTCGTGCCTGGAAATCATAGACAATTTTGAGGCGTTGTAATAAAAACTTACCGAATTTTAAAAATGAACCTGCAAAACGATATCAAAGCTAAGGCGAAGGTAAAAAGAGAACGATGAGCACGGACAAGGAGTGATAAACGAAGAGAGAATCAGAATACTGTCGAGGCCCCCCCACTTCAACGGGCTTTCCCCCGTTTGCTCGACGTTGTCCTCGATCCCCTTCTCCCAACCGTTCCCACTTCCTCCGTAGAAAATCCATTACTCCACTCCCCAACCCGTTCCCACTCCTCACTTCTCAGTGGATAGTGACTCACGTCATGACATAGGTCTCATACCTACGGGGGAAATCAATCTTCTACCTGCTGTTACGCTGCGACCAAATCTACTACAATTTACTTATTTTCCCCTCACGTAACACAAATTTAACTAGAATAAATCGACACATTGAAAGAAAGCTTCAACAAATTAAATGCATTACAATTAAATGAAACATAATTAATAACAATTTAGAAGCGTTGTTTAATCTATGACAGCTAACAATTTTAACTATTTTTCACTATTCAAACATTCATAAAAGTTAAATCACGTACGTAAATAATATACTACTCTATTTTTCCACCTTATAAAAGGGCGATAAAAATGAAACGTCAAATTTCAGGAGAATTTCCTTTAATAATGTTAGTAGGAAAATATTTGAAGGATTAATTTATAAAATTATAAGCAAATGGGCTAATAATTGTGTGCTAAGAGAGTTTCAGACAGGGTTTCTGCCTATTCTGCACTTGATAATATATTTACATTTATAAATCTAGTCTCTACGCCCACCCTATTATGGCCTAATGGCCACCTTGCCACAAATAAGTATACTGTATGGTTGTTTAATAAACACCTTTTCATTTTTTAGCCAATGTTTCAACCTTTATTTGCGTCGTCTTTACTTGTGGTGTCAAGAACATGTTAACACAAGAATAGCACACTATGTGAGTATGAAATACTTGGTTCACAGTTTATATTTGCATCTGTATTTAATTGAAGGAGCACGAACCACAAAGCTGGAGTCATCAGTGTAATTAGTTATGAACCAATCAGAGGCACTAAAGTAATTAAAATAGAGCAATAACAATAGTGGGCCTAATGTGCTCCCTTGAAGTATTCCCACATTATCAGTCTTTATCAAAGCCAACTATGCAGATCCATTGCCATCTTTAATATTCTCTGTAGATTGTCTTCCCTAGAGATATGGTCTAAAAAATTTGAGTAAATTAAACACCTCCAATTTATTGATGAGCATATCATGGTGAACGCAGCCAAAAGCTTTGGCTAAATCTTTCTTAAAATTCAAGATATTTTATCTGCTTCATTTGGTAAAAAAGTTACAGAGATGAAACAAGCCATTTATCCTGATTGAGGTTTGAAGCTACAAAGATTTGGAGTACCTCCAAGCTCCAGTATGCTAGACTGTAGAACTATTTGAAGTTGAAAACACCAACTCAAATTTTATCATTATAGTTGTTTATACGTGATTTACAAATTTTTGTTTTTGCGCATCGTTCACAAAATGTATCATACAAAATTATGGTCAAGTCTACTGGTTGAATGAGGGCGAAATGTGTTTTTCCTTCAGGTTTTTTTCAGTTTGTACAGTTCACCACTGGTCTCAGGGATTTCTCGAGGTTTATGTTTATTTACAATTTCCAAAATTGTAGCCTCCAGAAAGTGAATCCAGAAATGTACATGATTATGAAAAAGGATGCCAAAACACAGTTTTCAAAAGTAGTAAAAATAAAACAAATAATTAATAATTGATTAAATTGTTGATGTTGTTTAGTTGCTGATGATGAAATTTCAATTGCCTTAGGTTTCATTATTTTCTTCAAAAAGAGAAGAAAACTGGCTGGAAAAACTCTATAAAATAGTGAGATCTGAGTAGCAGAACTACATGTTCATGCCGTACATGTTTTGTAACAAAGAAAATATATTTAGTTTAAATAAAAAACACATCTATCTAATCTACCTACTGAAACCTGAGATAATATAATAAAGGGCAACAAATCAACAAGAGAAATACGTTAATTATCATAAAATGAAAAGTGCAATCAACACAGTATAGCATTAATTGTGTAAACACACCTGGTTTTTCTGGTCTGAACTAGCTTCCAATTTTCAAGAAATGAAATTTTTTTTTGGCTTTATTATAGCTTGAAATGGTAAAAAGTTCAAAAAATAACACAAACCAATATATTTCAACATAATCAAAGACGAAGAACAAAATATCAATTTATTTAAGAGCAAATGACTGGATTGATCTGACCAATATCGGCCTTAGCAGAAGGTAAAGAACTGAGAGGGGTTAACTCAAATATTGTTTTAACAATTTTAATGAAGTAATATTGAACTTGGTTGTCATTTTAAACAATACAAAATATAAAAATTAAATTGTACAAGCTAATGATAGTATAAAACTGAATTATCACATAGTTTATAAAAATAAATTACAATTTACAAATAAATTATTACTTTTTGGATTTTTTTTTAAACGCAGAAGGACATATTTTATTATTTAAACACTGAGAACAAAGAGGATTGACAGGAAGGCAGGTTTTTTGACCAAAACCTACCAATATGTGATTGACTTCAGCCCATAGGTTTTCCGGCAGCCATTCTTCAAGGGAAATTCTTGTCTTTTCCGGTGTTTTCGTCTGTTCCCTTACCCAACCTAATCGATTCGAGATCCTATGTACATGTGTGTCAACGCCTAAAATTGAGGAACGCTTGATTAAAAATCTGTCAACAGCATATCTAAATGTGGCAAAATGTACCTATTCCAGTCACAGTGTCCCAGGCAACTTTCATACAAATGTGAGCCATTTTTGGCCCAACTCCAGGCAACTTGCATAGCCCTTCAATCGTATTTGGAATATCACCAGAAAAATCACTTTTAAGCATTTCTGTTGTTCTCTTTATATACTTGACCTTACTCTAAAAATAAATAAACAAGTATACATGTTATGAAAAGACTATATTTTTTTAGAAGAAAATCTTTTCAGGAATAATAACTTGTTTTAAAAGATTTGTTAATCAGAAAAATGAGATTTAATTGCATTAATTTTTATTGTAATCATAATTTTATTTTAAATTTAACACTTTTGATAAATACACACAGGGTCAGTAATTTTTTGATTATTTAAAAACTAGAAAACACTATTTTTTATAGCCAATTAGTTATGTAACAAATTAACAATCAAATGTGTAAAGATCATTGTATTGAACAAATATTATGAGGATAAATAAAGATCGAAGTAAGATATTTTGTGCTTTCTTTAGACGCTCGAGAAATCCCCTCCAAAGAGAAGCTCAAGAAAAGCAAAATGGCTAAGCCAGGGGGTAGTTGCTGCCTCGAGAGCCACATCGAGCCCCCTGGGGAGACAAAAGGCCGGTGCTACCAAAATGTAGAGAGCAGTTGAGTTGAGCTGCCTCTCTGCATTGTTAAGAGTTAGACATTGCTCAGTGATGCGTTTTTTATAATTTTGATTGCAAAAGTTGTTTGTTGCAAAAATGTAGAGTGGGCTAGACGTTTGTTAGATCTTTAGGAAGTATCCTGTTTTGGCTTTGATACCTACTTTGTAGATTTTATGTAGCTTTGAAATATGAAGACCTTGTTTACTTTTTTTTTCGCCCCAATGATGAATTTGGAATAAAGTCAAATCCCGACGACTAATTGACTGTCCATTTTCCTCTACGAGATTTCGTCAAATTGCACTCAAATTTTGACCTTTTTATATTTGTTTTAATGCTTTTACATAGTTGGTTTATAAATCATAAAGCAATCACATATATTTTTGGCATATATGGTGCCTACCAAATTTTTAATTGAAAGTTTCTAGTTAGTGTGAAGGTATTTATTAGCGTGAATACAGAGGGTCTTCAACATAACATTCAGTATCTGAGACCCTCTGAAATTAGGTTAGTGGTATAATATCTAACAATGTGTAAGTTATGGTCCAGTGGCAAAGGACCCCAGATTCTATCTGGCCTAGCAGTTCTGCTTTTCGTTTCCTTCTCTATTCTGGTTAGGAAACCAGTATAAAAGGAAATGATTTGAAAAGCAAAGTCAGTCAAATGGAACACTCAACTCGGTCAAGTCAAGGACTCAGTCAAAGTAGTCCGGCCACACCGGACGACTCAGGGCAGCAAGGACCAGCCATTGCGACAAGCCTTATAGAGTCAACTGTCAAGGACCTAGGGAGCTGCAGGAGCAAGATCCTGGAAGACGGACGATGAGGAAGCTGGCATTGGCAAGCATTATTGTCCTCTTGTGAATAAGCTCATTCCAGAGTTAGAGTTGTGGCTGATTCACCTTGATTGTTTGACTTTCCATTTATTTACAGGAAAGTATAATAGTAAATGTTTATAAATGTATCTCCAGTTTATTGTATTTTTTTGAAACCCTACCATTTGCTATATAAAAATAATTTTTAAAAAATTCACTTATTTTTTAATGCATGGAGTGTCAATGCCTGCTTACAATATTTAAAGTTAGAAAATATTTTTGTTTAATTTTAATAAAACAATGAAATTATACCTTCCAAAAACCGACAGGGTGGATCAGTTCGCCCAACACCGTATCATCTGTTGCCAAGATGTTTTCGATGTTCAATCCGTGTACTCTCAATCGCTGCATTGCTGCGTATGTTACCTCATCTTTTGTCTGACTAGACAACATTAGAGCAACTAATATTTGATACCTTTGCACCTGGGGGAAAAAAAGAACTGAAACAAAATAAGAACTGCAATGTCAACGCGATGACAAACCTCAGGTACTTCATCCGTATCGTGACACTTGTGACAACCCATGGTGTCGACAGGAGCATCGTTTTCCATCCTCATCCGCCTGATGTTTTCCAAGACTAATCGCCAATTTTCCGGCTCCCATTTGGACTTCTTTGATTCATCTCTTTGCAATTCATCCTCCTGTGATCGAGTCAATCGGGCGAAGTTCGGCTTAGTCTCGACTCCTTTCGACATTTCACCGAGCTGCACATTCCCACCTTTGTCTACTCCAGATGACTCGGTTTCATTTAAATCGACTTTGTCTCCTTTCTTTACTTGCAAAGCTCCTTTCTTTCTCTTTCCCATGTTTAAGAATAAACACGAAATACCTCGTCTAAAAATTGTTTCCTCTAAAAATGAAATTTTACTTTAATTTACTAAAATAATAGTTTACTGTGTTTAGCCGTGAAAGAGGCTGACAAGATTAACTCAGTTATTAATAATTAAATTGATAAATGAAAATCAATGATAAATAATAAAAACAATAAGAGAGGAAAACGATCCCTTATCAACTTCTGTATCTGTATTCTGTAGCCGGGCCCGGGAACATTCACTTGGTGTTTCTGTGCAGCAATATAAACTTCACACTTCACAGTTCATTCTCATCGAGTGAGTCAACGTCACGAAGTTCAAAAGGAAAGCAATCTCTCTTTCTTAGTTTAATTGCTCATTCGTCATTTAATAACAAGATTTTTATTATTAAACTTTTTAACAAAAAATTAAATATAGTTCCGGCAAAAGTACTTGTAAATTCGAAAGGTATTAAACATGATAAAAGACAGAATTTCATCACAAACTACGGGATTTTTACCAAATAAAAACAGACATTCTTGCTTTTCATCAAGGTACATAATCAATATCCAAAACTCTATCAACTGCAATCCAAATTCTGTAATTATGTAAATTTTAAATACAAAATTGCTGGGTCCCTTGTTCTGATTCTTGGAGGAAACAAGGTTGTTTATAGAAATGATAAATGATGGAGTGAGTGTGGTGTTCAATCCTTTTTAAAAAGATAGTTCCTACTCACAGTAAGTTGTTTTGCAACGATCCGGATTTCAAGCCCTTTAGCTCATCATCAGGTTGAAGGACTTCTACAACCACGTCTCTCGACATGAATTGCAAAAGTACAAGGTTGTTTTACCTGTCTATATATAGTGATTGACTGACAGACCAAACTGCTATATGGCTGAAATTTTGCTAAGAAAGGATTTCTTGAAATTCCATTCCTGAGGGGATCAATAGACCAAAGTGAACTGAACAAGATAAGAATTTGAGAAATGAGATATATTAAAAGTCATACTAGCACTCTGCATCTCATTAAAAAGCTACATTAAAACAGAGTTCCGCATGGATGAAATTTCGGGTAAAAGCTAGTCATTAATCAAAATGTTAAAAAAAACTGGTCCTAAATTAGATCCTTGTGGGACTCTCGTAGTGGCCAATATTTCTTTCGATTTATAAGATTTTACTTTAACTATTTGGCATCTACCAATAAATGAGTGTTCACGTATTTTATTAGTTTGCCATGAACACTGTAGGATTTAAGTTTGACTTTGTCAAAGACCTTGGAATTAATACATTTCTTTCTAGATAATTAAAGTGTTTTGTTCTTTAATTGAAACAAATTTTGTTTTTCATTTCGAGCTGTGAAATATTTTGAAAGATGTAGATCAGACTGTGGATGGAAATTAGATTGCTATTCTGAAGAAAAAGATGAGAACACCACTTAAGTCATGAAAAGACTATGGATTGATAAATGCTTAGGTCATATGCCAAACCAACTCATTTCTTTCTAGACAATTAAGTGTTTTGTCCTTTAATTGTAACAAATTTTATGTAACTTTGGAAAATTTTGTTTTTCCACGAGCTGGGAAATATTTTAAAAGATGTAGTTGAGGCTCTTTGGAGAAGGGTAGAATTTAGATTGATATTCTGAAAAAGTCATGTGTAAAAGCTAGTCATTAATAAAAATGTGAAAAAGAACTGGTCCTAAATGTGATCCTTGCAGAACTCCCTTAGTGACCAATATATTTTTTGATTTATATAATTTTACTTTAACTTTTTGACATTTACCAGTAAATAAGTGTTCAACCATTTTATTAGTTTACCATGAACACCAAGGATTCAAGTTTGACTTTATCAAAGGCCTTGGAGATGTCTGTACAATCGCCTTCGAGAAATGAAATCGATCCATCTCTTTCTAAAAAATTAAATAGGTTTGTTCTTTAATTGAAACAAATTTTGTCTATCTTTGGAAAATTTTGTTTTTCACATCAAGCTGCAAAATACTGTGAAAGATGTAGATGAGACTCTGTGGAGAGGGATAGAATTTAGGTTGTTACTCTGAAGAAAAAAACTAGAACACCACTTATGTCATGAAAGGCCTGTCGAAGAAAGGAACATCGTCAGAAGACTATGCATTGAAAAATTCTTAGGTCGTGTGCAGAACTTTAGTGTGAGAGAGAGTTAGATATCTATATACATAAAACAGTTCCGTGATTGACAGACAACACACAGACCAAACCGCTGGGCCTAAAGGGCTGATATTCGACAGTGCATTCCTATAATAACATGGTTAGCTGCTAAGAAAGGATTTTTTCAAATTCCATCCATAACGGGATCATATTTTTTACGATGTAGACCGAAGTGAACTGAAGAAGAGAAGAATTTGAGAAACGAGATGTTATATTAGAGAGCCATACTATCTAGCAGTATACATCACATTAAAGAGGATAACGAAGTAACAGATAAAAGCTTTTTTTTTTTTTCTAGGCTTCAGAAAAGTTCTTCCCTCCTTTCGAGGTTGTTCAGTTATCGACCAACTTTGATTATAATCTGGTTTGGGATGTTATTGGGTATGTGGTCCTTCAATGAATCATACTCTGTATTATGCCCCCCTCCTTTCCACAAAATTTTCAAAATCCCGTTTCTAAAAGCCCTCTTAACAGGATCACATTTTTAATATACTTTTGCTGTTTTATAAAATGAAAAATAATTCCCTGGATAAACCGCAAATAATCATAAATTGCGCAAATTTATAAAACGGTTTATTACATTATTTCTTAGTCAATCCATTATATTTAGTGGTCTGATTGACCAAATTACTTCTTTCAATTAATTATTTCTTAGGTTCTTTATTTCAACCACTGTTTTTATTGGCCTATCGTTGTTTATGAATTTTTGCATGAATTAGTGAAGCATGAGGGAAACTATGCATTGCATGTAAGGACAACCGCATTCTTTATAGTGGAGAGCGTTTCGTCCAGGGGGCGCAAAAAGCGAGTTGGGTGGCGTGAACAGTATTTTTTCTTTGTTTTTGGTTAGCCTTTCCGTGAAGTTGAATCGTAATCTTTTCCAGGAAAATATAAAACATTAACTTCCTCCGGCTGGGAATTTCTACCACGGTTTTCATAGGTTGGACCGTTTTGAGCAGTTTTCACGATGTCATCTTTTAAATTGTGGATTTTCGTCGCCCTCTCTTGTGTGACAGTTCTGTTTGTTTATGTCAACAACGTGGAGGGCTGCAACGAAGCAGTCTGCGCCAGTATTGTCAGCAAGTGCATGATAACGCAGTCGTGCAAGTGCGATTTGAAAAACTGCTCCTGCTGCAAGGAGTGTTTCAGCTGCCTCGCCCACCTCTACACAGAATGCTGTTCGTGCGTCGGTAAGAAGAAAAACCCTCCTCTTCACCGACAGTTGGATTAGATTTCTTTCCGCTTTTCAGAAATGTGCCCCAAGCCGAACTTGACGGTAAGCGCGCTAAGCAGGAAAAGCCATGTGGAAGATCTGCCCGAGCCTCTTCCCAATCTGTTCTTCGCCTTGACGAACGAGCCCGACGGCCAGCAGAGGTGGAAGACGTTCACCTTCCCCGTTGACATAGACATCGCACATCTCAGGCCAAAATACGAAAAGGAAGTTAAGTACTTGACAAGTAAGTTAAATTCTATCATAAAACTTCATAATTTATCAATTATACACTTACTATAAGTAATTTTACAAACTGATTAGTTAGTAGTAATATCACTAACATGTTCCTTCGATTGGCCTTGAAACCATCTGTAAATTAAGGAAAAGTGAAAGAACAAAAAGGATCCACTCTTGGCATACCTTTGGATCCCAAACCAAAAACGGAACAGACTCTAGGCTATTTTGCTATAACATCAATATTATATCCGGGTAAATATATCACAGAATTATAGGAAAAAGGCAACAACGTTAAAATTTTCTTTTAAAATATCACACAGAATACAACACAAAATTGTAAACAAATAAACATTCATCGGTGAGAATTAATCCAGATATGTATTTAGTATTTATACTGTACTGACTGTATTAATTCTACTTTTTATCTAAAGGCGGCTCTGGACATCGTTATTCGCCGAATGCCGTGCAAATGTTCGCCAAATCCCGACTAGTGTGGATGGATGCTCGGTTATTTGCCGAATGACAACACCCAGTGCTCGCCTTTTTGTTGGTTTTCTTGTCCGCTTCAAAGGGCACGAATATTCGTGAAGTAACTGCCTCAAACCATCCACACATTCGGGAATCAACGGTAACTGTACATACCTTTAACCAACTGTCAACTGTTATCAAAATCAACACTAAGTGCATAAATTCACTAATTTTGTGGTCCGTTTGACCAATTAATACATTACAATTAAATAAGGTTTTTAGTTGAGATGAAAAAAAGTTAATGGCACGAGCGGGATTCGAACCCACGATCTTTGGCTAGATACACTGCTGCTCTACCACTTGAGCTATCGTGACCTCGATCCACTCGGACATCAACTTCCTATCTCAACCCCACCTTTTGAATATTCCCTCCTGTTTGCCATTTTTCAAATGTATAATCGGATTGGATTCTCGACGACAAATGGTTTGGACAAAATTTGAAAAATGGCAAAAAGTAGGGAAAACTCATAAGGTGAGGTTGAGATAGGAAGTTGATGTCCGAGTGGATCGAGGTCACGATAGCTCAAGTGGTAGAGCAGCGGCGTATCTAGCCGAAGATCGTGGGTTCGAATCCTGCTCGTACCATTAACTTTTTTCATCTTAACTAAAAACCTTCATTAATTGTAACTAAGTGCATACTTCTATTTAATACTATTTATTTTTAATTAGTAAACAATTGCTAACTAGTATAGATTATTAATTTACACAATAACAACAGATTTTTTATTAGGAATGGATTGGCCCAATTCAACAGTTTTGGTGTTCCTCAATGTTTACGAAACAGATCCAATAATTTGGAAAGCTTCTCTTACAAATCATAAATTGTTTTATAAATGAAGTAATAATTAAAAATTAAAAAAATAAATATATTTTTTCAATTAGTTTGTAGCCACTGCTCAAAATAGTAACCACAGCTGCAGCAAATTTCACTGTTGTCTATCACGATTTGTAAGTTGAGGACTTGCATCGCATTTGACAATTACATATTCACTGTTTCCGCAACGACTAGGAGGTTATTTAAACATGTATTTATAAATTCACACGCTATTTGGTGAATGCCAAGACAAGCATCTTGAGACTTGAAAAATATCCGGTAGCACTTGGCATTCGGTAAATACCGCATGTCTGGAGCCGCCTTAAGGTCTTGGTTGAGATGAAAAAGTCATTGTCACAAGCGGAATTTTAACCCACGACCTTATACACCACACCTCTAACCGCATATGCTATTGTGACTTCGTTCCACTTGGACACCAACTCTCTCTTGTGGCGCTAGCCTTATCATCTCAAAGATATACAATTTTGTACCTTATATAAAAAATATAATTAATTTAAATAATGATACTCAATTATGACTTTTTCATGTTTTCTTTCAATTACTTCTATGTATAGGGTGTTGCAGGGAAAGTGTGAAAATAATTTTTATAGTATAGGGGTTATAGTACAACCCATTTGCAACAACTTGCAGTCTCTTTACCTATTTTTTTGGTAGTTTTCCATCAAATTGGTACTTACTTGAAAAAAATAAAAAGAAAGAAGAAAAAGAACTTTATTCTGGGACTGGTGACCCCTAAGAATAATTTACATGAAATAAATAAAGGAAGTTCCTTCTATGACGTTAAAAGTAAAAAAAAAGATAGAAATCTTGGCACAATGTATACCAATAAGGCAGGCCAGAAGAGAAAATTACAAGAATATTAAACAAAAATAACAAATGTTAACGTGAGGTCTCTGCTTGGAGGGAGAGGAGGTGATTATATAGGTGGGATTTAAAGGAGGGAAAGGAGGCAGCGTGATGAATAGAAAGGGGAAGGGAGTTTCAGAGTTTAGGGGCTTGGATCAGAAAGGATCTTTCGAAGGTATGGGTTGTATGTTGCAGAAGGATAAGGTCGATTGGGGATGAACGTGTCTTATGAGTGTGATGTTAGGAGTTGAATTGGAGGGATTGGATGATGTAAGGAGGACGACGAGTGTGGATTGACTGGAAAAGAAAGCAACCTAGGAAATGCTGTGCACGGAAGGAGGGCACAGCTAGAATAGCCAGGAAAATTGGGAATACAACCCCGACACCTGGGATCCCCGTGGGGTGCCGTACACAAATCTTATGCAACAATTCATAATACGCTTCAATCGCGCATTCCCCCCCTCCGAGAGACCACCGTATGCCACACAGCTATAATCGAGTAAGGGAAGATACAAGATAGGGAGTTTGCGGATGGAGAAAGGTAAGAGAAGCCAGGACTGACGAAACAGGCTGAGGGAGGCAATGGAATGTTGGGAAATGTGAGAATGCCAGGAAAGGTTTTGGTCAAAGACTACTAGGTTTTTAACTGAGGAGCAGAAGGGGATGGGATGGTTAGCATGAGAGGTGGGACACTGGGGAGGGAATTGAGGAGTTGCCTGGACCCGATAATTATGGCGGTGGATTTAGACGGATTGAGGACGGGAATTTTTATGGGCCCATTCGTTGATGGAGTTGAGGTCTTTTTGGATTTTGAGACTGGCCGAGTGAAGATCGAAAGGATATGTATATTTGGGAGTCATCGGCATATAGGTGATAGTTGCAGGACTGGATGGAGTGAGGCAGGTCATTGATATAAATGGAAAAAAGGATAGGAGAGATGCTAGAGCCTTAAGGCACCCCAGATTTTAGAGGGAGGAAGGGGAGGTAAGGCCATTGGGAAGGGAGACAGCCTGCCAACGGTGATTGGTAAGGTAGAAGTGGAACCAACGGATGTTGCTGGCAGAGAAGGAAAAAGATTCGAGTTTAGAGAGGAGAGAAGAGTGAGGGACAGAATAAAAGAAAAATAAAATATAATAATATATAATAATAATAGATATAATAATATATAATAATAATGTAATATAATAAAAATAAAATATCAGAAGAATACAAATATCTATCATCAGGCTACCACAGTTTTGGATTCAAACCACTGGATTTAATACTGAACTGTACACCTTTTCCTTAAGGAATCCACAAACGTAGAATATATGACAGTAAGATCGGGGGAATGAGATGGCAACGGGATGACTCCTCTTTTACCAATATACCAAGTTCAACCAGGCACACACTTGTTGAGTGTAGGTGTTTCAGTAGTGAACAGTGCTGAAGATTTAAGCATCTGATAAACTTAGGACAAATTTGTCCACATGAGTAACTTAGGTGCCATGAGAAAAAGAGACTCAGACATAGTTGTCTTCATAGAAATTATGAATGATGGAGTGAGTGTGGAGTTCAATCCTTTTTTAAAAAAGGATTAGTTGTTTTCATTTTGAAGAAAATTTATGCTAATTAATGCCTGTAAACCCTTCAATAATTTTTTTAATAAAATGATAAAACTTGAAAACAAAACAGTTCTATTTATCATCATTACCTGAGCCGTGATTGTTAATCTTATGTATGTTTTTCATTAATTAATATCAACTACAGTCAGGAGTGGTTATGGATATTCTTATACCGTTTCAAAGCTTAATAAATAATGAACTTTTCTAGTAGTTTGACAATCTCTAAGACAATGTCATAAGTGCATACCTAATTATATGATAATTATTAAAAATTAAGCTTTGTGGTATTTTTCAATTTGAGCATTAAGGTTCTTTATTGACAATTATTTCAGATGAAAATAGTATTAATGCTGAATCCAAAACTGTAGTAGCCCTGATGATAAATATTTGTGTTTTTCTCGAGTAAGGTAACGTTTCTATGTAAAATATGACAAAAAATCGTAACCGTCAGGACTGAAGAAGGAATATGAACTTCACATTGGAAGTTGTTGCAAATAGGTGTACTATGACCCAAAAATTATTTTTGAACTTTCTCTGGGACACCCTGTCTAATAAACTGTTTACGTTTGATGGATTATTCTTTTGTACAAATGTCAACACTTTTTAATCATCTTTCAAACAAAAATGTTTGTATACCTCAGTAGCAATTTGTTACTTAGGAATAATTCAGACTTTACTGAGATGTCAACGTGTGATTTTTGTGTAATTTTGTTGTACGAGTTTAAACTCAGTCGGAACCGTGTCCACATGGCCAGAAATATTAATGAAGTTTGGGGCAATTGCAATGAGAGAGAGAGTTGGTTTAAAAAAAAAATTCAAGAGGGGACACTTTAGCCAGGGGACCAAAAACGTTATGGAAGGATTTCTTCCCTAGTTGATAATGTTCTGTGAGCTTGGGTCGAAGAAAATCACAGAAGAACTGTTTGAGAACTTTCAGTTAGAAAATCTTTTCTGGTTTCATTTAATTCTTACTCGTTATGTCTTGTATTTGGGTATTCAGGCTGCTCAGGTCTTTATAGGGTTTGATCCAGCAGTTGTTGCTAGGCACATGGTCCTATTTGGTGAAACATAATGAATATTGACAGACCCAGTGCCAATTCAACATGAGTTTACTGATATAATTATTGACGTTTATATCAGTTTCATTACAAGATTTTTGATATGTTCTTTTATTTCCCCAACAGTGAACAATGCACAAGAGGTAGATCCTCAGAAGGAAATCATGACCTTTAACTGCTCAGTCGCTTACATGACGCAGTGTGTTTCCTGGAATAAATGCAAAGCATCTTGTCAGTCTATGGGTGCAACGTCATACAGATGGTTTCACGATGGGTGCTGCCAGTGTATAGGCGATAAATGTAACAACTATGGAATAAATGAAAGCAGGTAATTGTCATTCTGCACATAATGTACTGAATTTTTTTACTTTTTTCATTAATTTTTTTTTCTTTTTAATAATTTTAGGTGTCTTGAATGCCCGTTAAAAGATGAAAGAGAACTTCCAGATGAAGCAGAAGCCGATTACGGTGATGAGGATGATGAAGAGATGTCTATGTAAAGTAAATTAACTTCTCAAATACTGTGTGGACACCGCCTTTGAGACTGACTCCATTTACGATATGTATTTTGTGCCATTGTTTTTAATTTCAATTTACTTGCTCTTAAGACATTCCATCAGTACCGATGTTTTTAAGCAAGTGGTAAACTCAGAATGCCAACAGATACAAATATAAATCGCTTATATAAGTCTTGTTAATAACACTTTAATGGTCTTATTTTTTCAAGTGGGTTTTATTATTATGACTAACATTTAGTTTGTATAATTTATGTAGGCTCTCTATTTTAGTAATAATTTTATTTTTCATTTGTTATAAATGAATTAAAGGAATCATTTGGAAGTTGCACTAATTCCAAAGTTACCATTTATCAAATACTTAATATTGTAAGTAAACTTGTTGGGGAAGTAGGAGTAGTTCGGTCTGATGCAATGAAATATAATTGGACATCAAACTCAAAATTCCGTCCATTATATTTTATTTTTAAATTGTGCCTTAAATTATTTTTATTTATAGCAATTGCATTTGTTATCAATGAAACCCACCGACTCGATTTTTTTTTTTTTCATATAAAAACAAAAGTTTATATTTATCTTTGTAAATAATATACATCACAATAATTCTAATGTGTGTGAGATTTTGTTACTGTTTGCAATGAACTCGTGACAAAAATAAATTATGAAATACCCTTGATATTATAAATGTTTAATTGAACTTTTTTTTCTCTTTGTTTTTAATAAACCCTTTATATTTCCTTATATGAATATTATGAAATTCTTACTGAAGCATTCTGCAATACTGCGAGGGAGGAGGCTGTGAAAGAATTTTTTTAAAATTTTTATTCAACTTTTATTTATATCATTTGTACTTCCATCAACCACTTAAACTTTCAACAATTGCAAAAATCACAATTAAGAATTATTGGTTTTTACTTCATGGAATGAGCATATCTGAGATCGAAATTTTGAATTATTCAAAATAAATTAAAGGAAGGAATAATTCTTTTAAAAATAACTAATCTTCTTCCTTATTTACGTTATTACTTAATAATCATAAAACACTAGTTTAAAGCTATTTTACAATTATTTACATAGATTTTCCATTTTTTTTATAACACTTATTTTTTTGTTTTTCTTTTTTTGGCTTGGGTTTCCTTTTTCGTTATTTTCTTTTTATAATGTTAAGTTTCCCTCTCAATATATTTCACACTTTTTTTTGCACCTCTTTAGTGATAATTTGCTTGTTTTTTCAATTTTTTTCAAAGATAGTTTCATTGGGATACTGTAAATTCAGTTAGAAAAAACATTATACATCATCGTCGACTCCTGGAACCTTCCAGTGGAGAGACTTTCCGACAGAATACATCTCTTCAAGACTCGATTTCAAAATGCCTTGGCTTTCGAGCTGGAGATACTTTTTGTACAACTGAAGTGCAGCCCGAGCATCTTCTATTGAATCGTGCGTACCAGCTTGAATTTTAATGCCTAAAAAAAATTGTAACATTTAGCGACTATTCACATTATGGCTAAATATGTTGAACTTACCTATAAAATGCCAGGCTAAAAACCTCAATGAAACCATTCTTTGATGAGGAAGATAAAACAACTGAACTGTATCGATGACTTGTTCTGCTGGAACGACAACATTTATCACCCTGAAATGAATAAATGTTATCAAATGAAAAAGACAGCTTTTATTATTATTATTATTCTTTTAATATATTGTGGATATCAGGAACTGGAGGTTCCCCTGAGCACTTTACAGTTTATTGTAATAACGTGCCGATGTTATTCCATCAAAGAAACTCATTTTCAAAGGGGGATCGGGACCGAATTCAGGGTCTCAGTGATCCGATACCACCCCAGACCACTGATGAGTTGCAGTCAACTTTCATTGCAGCTACCACTCAGTCAGAAAAAAAACAGCAGGAATCAAACCCACGACAGCGGTTCTACCCACTCTGCTACCGAAGTCCCTTAATACATAGTTTTAAATTTTAACTATTCAAAGATTTTTTTTAACATTTACCTGAAATCATTGTTCAGGCCATGACCAACAAACACAACACCATTATCTATTAAATATCTTATTTTAGAGTAAGTTGATTTCAACGTTGTTAAGTTCTTAGAACTGCATGTGGCGTCCAGATCACCAGGTTTAATACCTGAAAAAATAAATTATTAGAAGTTTCTGCAGGACTATAAAGAAACAGAAAAATCTATTAAATATGTTACCAGAAAATTTGGTGAGATAATCGAAAACTTGTTCTTGTGTTGAAATGTAATCGTCTATAAATGCTGTTCCCTCCAATGGGCCTTGCCTGAAAATTTAAAATTATTAATTCAATACGAAGCTTATGGCAGTGTCAACAAATTATGACTGATAAATAGGATTTGAGAGAGAGGATTTCAGTGCGAGTACTAACCCTCTAACACAAGATATTCTTGCTACAGACATATGGGAGGGTTTCACTGTAGCTAATTTTCCATCACTTCTAAGTTCAGATTCTTCTTGATTTAAGGTTACAAACTCTGCGTCGATTGCAACAAGATCCCCTGAAATTAAAAAGTAAATCTCTAGTACAAAATTCTTATTCATAAATTATGCTATTGTTTAATTTTAACAAACCTTTTTTTGGAATTTCTTGTGGAGACAAAGGAATGATAGTGGCACACTTTGGCACGTTTATTAATACGTCTGGACTAATAGGAATTTGAACTACCATGCTGGAAGAAGGGTAGTCCGTCCTTTGTTTGAAATAGAAGACACAAGGGATTTTCCAATCCATTGAAAACCAGACAGCTTCTTGGTATGGCACTGGAGTTATACTATAAACAAAATATTATACTGAAAAAAATAGAAAAGAAAAAAAAAGTTTTCAATTACCTAAAGTCATTGAAAATATACCACTGAGGGTTTTGGGGTTCGCCATTTCGTTTAGGCTCATTACAAATATTAACTATAGAGACAATATTTTTCCTCTCATCGTTAATAAAACAAACAACGCCATAAAGGTCATAAGTGCAAATAAGTTTTTCCTGGAATTCATCAGGATTCTCCTGCTTAACTTCCTCTCCATGCTTGGTGACACGAACTTCGCCTGTCACTGACAAGTGCATATCGAGGCACATTGGCACCCAGGAATTGTTCTGGTACAGGTGAGATGCAAGAGTACCTCCTAGTTCTAAAAAAAAAGCTTTCTCATTAATTTCACTACATTTTGAATGAATTAAACCAAATTACCAGTTGTTTGTTGTGGATGTTTGAATCTGCAACCGATCCTAGTGCAAGATGATCCATATCTGCACTGCTTACCGCTGCTGGTATTGACGATAGTGGTTCTCATATCACCGGACCCTTGGAGAACTTTCATAACGACTGCATCCATTTGCTCTTTCCAGAATTTTTTGTCGTTTTCGTTATTGTTGCCACAGTTGACAGAGAGAATCGGAGGTAGTGTCTTTACTTTCCGCTCTTGTAGTGTAGGTTGAAATTTATGACATGGTTCGCACCAAGCTGGTGTCACTTGTGATCCGCCGACAGAACCTTCGATAATCTCAGCAAAACTAACATCCCTGCTCTCACCTGGTAAATATTTTAGTGTGAATAATTAAAATTACATTAATCAATTTCAACCATTTTCATACCTCTTTGATTATTATAAATCAAATTATGAACCAGCAGAGTCGCATCTTTACTACTTTTGTTGTTACACTTCAAACAAGTAAATATGTGTGTTTGCTTGCTACCAAAGAGTCGGCTAACCTCAGTTTCACCCTTTGTTGTATCTTCAACCAGTTCTTCTAAAATTTAACATAAAATTTATATTTCTGATAAATAATTTTTGTTATTTAAAATTAAGGGTACAATATTGTTTGAACTTGCAAATGCATAATGTATAATTATTATAAAGCATACCTATTAATTCTGGCTTCACTTTTCTTTTTCTTTGATTCTGAAGTTCAATCGAAGGGAAATCTGTATCCCTATAAACAAACGTCGGTGTTTTCGTTTCCTTACGCTTATATTCAAGTAATTCAGAATGCATTTGGTGAAGTATAAACCTATTCCAACTCTGTAATAAAATAATCAAACGTTATGACGAAATAGGTAGACAATTGTTGTTCAGTGAAATAAAAACTCTTACCGACTGACCTGAATTAATAGCACGAGATTAGCGTCATGCACTGAACTGTCTGATAAAATGAGTCGCAGTGCTGAAGCTTCTTTCGCCGACCTCAAAGCTCTGAGAAGGTTACCAGAATGACAAGGAGCACCACTTCCCAACATGTGAAACAAAAATCCTAATTCACAGCAGACACAAAATTCACTACAACATTGATGACACAACATCACACTTCTCAGACTCTCAGTAAAATATAGAAGCTGTAAAACATTTATGTGTAGTTAGTTTTCCAGAGAAAATAAAACAATGTTTTATATGAGTGTAATATTTACCTGAATCATAGAATTACAATATGAATTAGGTAATGTCGCTTCCAAACCACTCAGACCAGATTTATTGAATTGTTCCAGTTCTGCATCATCAATACCAGCTTTTGAATATTTTATATCAGGTTTTCTATACCGTTTTGGAATAGCAACAAAGCCTGAGCCTTCTTCTGAGTTTCCAATTCGGCTCCCTTCTAAGCCTCTCCTTACTCCACCACCATATATCTCAGCAACCTTAAATAAAATAATTGAGCATTAAAAGGGTGTCAAATATGACAAACACTGATTTTCTTAAAAATGTCAGAGGGGACCTGAAAGGGGTCGATGTGCAAGTGGATTGTGCCACTTGTGAAAAGGGAGAACTGTCCACAACTCTCCCAGGTCCCCTTAATAATAAACCATGAGAAAGAAGTGCATGTCTCCGTGAAGCCACAGATTATTATCCAGTTTTTGACATAGCACAGGGACAACCTGCCAAGAACCCGTGTCTGGTTAGCATAAAAAATTTCTGGATGGCGCAAAAAGGTTTCTCCCTACAAGAATGACCAAGGTCAGTCAAAAGTGAGGTGAGTGGCTTTTCATATTAACTTTCTCCAAGATCGATGCACAATGTTACTGTGAATTATTGGATGGTGGAAAATTGTCATTTCGAAGGAAACAATTGACCAAAAGTGTCATTCTTCTACATGACAATGCTAGGCCTTATATGGCAAACGCCGTGAAGCAAAAATAGGATGGGAAATGTTAGAACATCTATTCTATAGGTGACTTTTTTTTTTTTTGATGCAACAATGAAGCAGTGGTAGCATTTGTGTCCCAATTGTTTTTATGATGATGCATTAAAAAACTCCCTATCTGATAAGAAAAATGTATCTCCAGAGCAGGAGAATGTACAGAAAAACAATATATTTTTGTAAGCTTAATTAAATAAGTTAAAACATTTTTTGGAAATGAGACCCGTTTATATTTGATACATCTATGTATCAACAATGGTTAAAAGATTACACATTTTTTAAACCTATACCCAAGAGTACTGTTGATATGTGGCCCTCGGAGGACTGATTCGTAGAAGGAGGGCCATCCTTGCACAACTCAGGATAGGCCATGCGAGGTTAACACAAGGTCACATTTTTATACCCGGCATGTAGTGAAACGTTGCTCGAAATGTCCACGTTAATTGAAGAGTGTCATTCCTTATAGAGGCTCCATATAGAGAGCACATATACCACCCAATAAGAAGAATTGTGCTTGACCATGGGAGTAAATACCTGGATCCCCTCTTCCAATTTTTGTAGGAGATTGTGTTGTTTTATATTATATTTTATATTACTGATATAAGTACTGTTTAATGTCCACGAGTATATTAAGAGTGAATGTTTATTAGCATGAATGTGTACTCTGAATGGGTCAATGGCAGAATATTAAGTATCCTAGCGACCCTCAATTAGGTTAGTTATTGATATGTGCAAAGGGTGATGGAAGAATATAAAGTTCTCTAGCAACCTGATTGAATGGTATGTAATTAGGAAATAATGTAATTAAGAGTAAGTGAGAGTGAATGGGTTTAGATTTAGGGAACTGATTGCATTGGAGGCCTAAATAACCTAGCTGTTGATAGCCAGGAAAAGCCCAATCTTGGCGGCTGGTAAGATAGATCTGACCCCACACTGACAACACCCAGGGTGATTCTCAAGGACTGGTAAATTACAAAATAGCTGGAATTGTTGGTAAGCTGCAAGAAGTACATAATAGGCTCAAAATTATACATGTGTGTATGTACGTATGCATGTGCAGATTTGAGCTTATATAAATCAGTAATTGGTCAAAGAGGTCGAGAATAAGGTTAAACCTAGAATTACTGACGAACTGTGAGAAGTGTTAGGCTCAACCCTATACACTCTTGTATAAAAAACTGAAATTTTATATTGCCTTATTTGATGTAAAACGACCTGCTGGGTTCATTGGAAAAAAAATTAAGTCCTTAAACCACATAGTTTTTGAGAAAAATGAAAAAAATTGTCTTATTCAATGTAAAACCATCCTCTGGCTTTATTAGAACAAGAATTATGAAAGAAGAAAAAAACGTACATGCTTGGGCGGATTGTAGCTTATATAAATCAGTAACATATAAGAAGCAATTTAATATTTATTTTATTATTAGGATATTAATTTATTTTTAAATAAAACAGAAACGTGCCCATCCACATATTAGAAAAGTGACTTTCCCAACATAGAGTTATTCTTAGGTCTAACAGACTACCATTATTACTCAAAAGATAATTAAATTAAATATACTTGATGGTTAATAGAAAAGTTAGAAAGAAAATAATTAAGCTTTCACCACCAATAGTGACCACTTACTTGATTTCTACGACGTGTGTTTGGGTTTGGAGCATATCCTACAGTGCCTTGCATTTTCATTGTCCTTAAAATTTCTGGATCGATAGGAGGAGTACGTCTGAGAAAAAATTAAGATAAATTAGTGAAACTGAATAAAATGCTAATAAATAAAGTAAAAAGTAGATTCAATACCGATATCTCCTTTTAACAAACTGCTCAGGCCAATTCGATAGCAGAGGACTGCAAGTGATTGGAAGAGGGATGGCTGCATATACTGCCATCGGATCATCTACATCGACCGGGGTTTCATATGTTTCTGCGGTGTCTGCGAATTCCGTCGGACGTGAGAAAGGATTATAAACAGGTGTGTGAACTGAAGTCATTAAATGCAAGGAGCCTCCAGTTTCCCCGATGCAAACTGCTTGGCTCGAAGAGGAAACGTCAAGAGCTGTGACTATTGCAGCACCGTCACAGTTGACCTGCCAGTGAATAGAAAGCCGTTATAATTTTATTTATTTCAATCAGAAAAACACAAAACTCTTACCTGATATAATGTTAAATCTGGTTCAGATAATGCAACTGTTTCAACAAATTGTAACTGTCCTGTCGGTGAAGCCACAGCTAATCTTGAGGAATACGATGGCATGAATTTCAGTAGTAGCGGATCTATTAGAACATTTATTGGTGCAACTGGTCTAAGCATCCTCAAATCATATGCCAAAAGGAGAGGATCTACCACCAACGAACCATTCCTGAAATAATGAAAACACTTATTTCTCAATTTTTAAACTAAGCATTAAAACATAATTATCTGTTACTCACATATCCCACCAAGACATTGTAAAAGTTAAAAAACTAGTCTAATGTAAAATAAAAAAATGTAGGTTTCAAAAGGTCTATGCAATGCCAAAGCAATAAACTAAATTTTAATAAAAGGGTCTAAACAAATGGCACTGAAGAAAAGAAGGTGAAGACTTTAAATTAGTTTTAGATTAAAATTTTTCATTTAAAACAATTTTTATCAACTTTATACTATAAGGCCTAAATTTAAGAGAGATTTTTTTCCCTAAGCACAAATAAAAAGTAAAACAAAGGTTGAAGGTAGATTATCTAGTTAGCATTGTTTACTAAGGCAAACGGACTAATTTTTATATTAAACTATATTATATTAATAGGCTTTTACTTTACTTAATGTTAATTCATTAACACATTTTACATAAAGAGTGTATTTATTCTAATTTAACAAATTGTAATAAATACTACAAATAAATTTCCATTTTATACAATAATATATTTAAAATGACTACCTTTTCATTATTATTTCATAATATATCTTAAAAATTTGTATTTATAAATATAAAATAATTCAACTGACCTATTTGAAAATCCACAAGTAACTAAGAGGTTGCCGTGAACGTCAAAGTCCGAAAGTGAACCTGAATGTGATTCAATTGAATGCTCTATTTTCAGCGAGATAGGATCCCTTAGATCTATTTTGCCCGAGGGATCTCCACAGCACAGGTAGTGGGATTGCTGGCGCATTATTGCACACCCACTTTCGCCAACATCTATCTAACACAATAAATTTTCTGAATACAAATACAAAGAACAAACGAGACCGAAGACAGGTACAAAGATAGAAATCTCACCAGTTGCACTTCCCTTCCTTCAGCAAGGTTAAGTTCGATTATATTTGAAGTATGCCCTCCAATAAGAAAGGAATCAGGGATATGTTTTAAATTGATCAAACACTGCATTTCTTCCATGTTTGCTGAACTGGAACAAGAATGTTAACAGAATTAGAGAAAAAAATTAAGAAAATTTCTCAAATAAAATAGAAATAAAAACTAAAATTTCACCTGTATGTGTAGATAGGGAGACCTCTCCGCATCTGATACCGCAATGATGTTGGGCTGAGAGCAAGGATTCCCCCTTCTATAGGATGAATGCATCGAATTTCATCAGTCATATGAACTTGAAAGGATGTGTATTTTTGCATATCTGGGCCATAGTAAGATGTGATATGCCCCTATGAGACAAAAAATATATTAAGCATAAAAATAATAAAATATAGTTTAAAAAGATTTACCCCCTGATTCCCCATCCAAATAAGCTCCTCAATGGTGTCAAATGCAACAGCACTAACACCAAAGTTATCACCTCCATCTACCAAGATTGTTCCTCTCTCATGGAACTCTGCATCGTACTCGTTGGTGAAAGGTTCACTTACAGAAACAAAACTTTCATCTCCCAATGCAAAACCTCCATCTTCATCATAAACTACACAAAAAAAATCAATTAATTTGAAATATATTTATTATTAACTTTTTTTTGTTTAAATAAATTTTCACAACCCATTAGTGAAAATCTCAGAAGGTCAAAATTTAGTAGGTACTCTGTTAAGCACTTTTTCAAGAAAGAAAAAAGAAAAACTCCAAAATTGTAAACATTTTTAGTAAAGGTGTATGTATAAAAAAAATAACTTCAAGGTTGATGGGTCGACTACCTTAGACATGCTACATTAGCAGTTATCAAATACAAAAAATAAACAATTCTATTCACAGTTCTTAAATTGTCCAGTAAATTAATGATTTATTTGTCATAATTGTTACTGTTGTTATTTGTGTTTGTTGTGCTATTGTATTATATTTTTTCACAATAGACTCTCGTTATCTGCAGGGGACCAAGCATCATCGCAAAAAACGAGAATTAACCAACAAGGCAAGAATGCAGATTTTGCAAAGAAACAGAGGAGGTACCAACATACTAAAAAATTGTGGCACCTTATTTGCCTGCAGGTAGAAGATTTGTTTGGGGATGTACAACTTAATCGTACAAGAAATTCAACCGAACTTTGTTGAAATAAATACATAAGAGAAAGCTAACACACTTTTTTTGAACTTCAATGGTAGAATGAAAGCAAAAAGAAAGAAACCTTATACCCAACTTTACCTTCTGCTAGGTCCCAGGACATGTGGGAGTAGAAGGCAATGAGAAAGCAGAGCCCTTGCAAGAAAAGGGGCTGTTAATAGGAACTGAGCCCTTCTATGGCATAGGAATCCACACTATCAATGAGCACCTCAGACAAAAGGAACAATGGAACTGACTCATTCACACAAACACAAACAATCCAAGAACCTCCAAACAAACTTTGGAAGGAAAGAAACAGAATGGAAAAAAATTGGAGGAAAAAATCAAAAGGTGCATACACACTAAGCAAACCTCGGCCAATGAAAGATAACCAACCGCTTCATTGCCGTGATTTGCTTAGTGTGTATAGGCAGAGCAAACAAAGCGGTTGGCCTTGGTCACGGTTCGGACTGCAGGCGGTAGCTTCAAAAGATTTGACGTTGGGTTGGTCTAAAGACCTTCTCCTAGTGTAGACACCGGCTCAATCATTCATTGGTACATTCTTTTTATGCTGAAAAACGATGGAATATAGAGGGGAATAATAATACTGCACTAAAACTGATAGGATTTTATCGTGAATGTGAATATTTAAGGGATGAACTATGAATATAAAAACAAATTGAAAATATAAGACGCTTGAAGGAAAATACGTGAGCTTTTAGAAGGTAGTGTTGAATGATGTGAAAAAGAAAATTGAATTTTTATTTGCCGTGAAAGACAAAGAGAAGATAAAACTGGACATGGTGCTGATGAAGTCTAAAACCTACATGGTTTGCTTTAAGCAGTATGGGCTTCCTGGCTTCCACAATATTACGTGCGAATGTTAAATTAGTAACCAAATAATACAAAAACTACAGCAACTTCAATGAGTTTTTAGATCCAACTGAGATTCCATATGGTCTAATCCCTTCGCCCCAACCAATTGGTTTGATGAGGATAAGCCAATTTGTTGGTGACAAACGTTTGGCCCAATATATCGGTTGTTTTTTGATTGAGATTTGCTTAGTGTATATGCACCTTTACAGAATTCTTAGCAGGACATTGCAGACTAAGTGAACATCTGAAGAAGATTGGCATAACCATAACAGCAAGAGCAGATTTTGCAAACAAACAGAGGAGACACCAACACACCTACTAACAAATTGTGACGCCTCATTTGCCTGCAGGAGGAAGTTTTTTGGGATGTACTAAGCTTTCTATTTTTTTAGAAATTACTAAATTAACTTTCACAAATTGATTTCTATCTTACAAATAAGATCTAAACCATGAGTTTTCAGATAAGGAGACAAGGAACAACTTTATCGATACCTTGGCCAAATCTAAGTATATTGTGTCACACCTGTTGATGAATAGCTAGGGCTTTGGTTGTGTAGGTTTGAAAAAGAAGATTTATTGTTGTTGAACAAGAAGGGTGTGGGAAGCAGTGGAGTGTAGTGACTGCAATAGTTAAGGCGTTGACATGGTAAAGGTCCCGGGTTCGAATCCAGTGGCACCCGACACACAAATATTGGGATGTACAATGTGACTGTAGAAGAAATTCAACCACTGAAACTGGGCCAATCAAGTGCCTTGATGAACTAGGACTCACCGGTGTGCTGCAAGCACAGAAGTAAAGCTCGAATGATACATCTACACCTACATAGTACTGTAGTCTAAAGTGCTTAAGTTTTGAGTCAGTTTCGTCAGAAAACGTTTGAATTGAGAATGAATATTTAGTACAAACCGATCGGGCTAACGTCGAGGGCAGTTTTCTTGAGAGGACCGCTTCTCATTAACTGGGGTTCCATGAAGGAAGAGGATCGGCCGGACTCATTCGATGGCAAATCTATCTTTTTAGTCATTTAAGAGGGTCGAGTCCTTCAAAGCGAAAGGACGAAAAAAGGAAATGTTTGAATAGCGAATGGATATTTGTGATTTGAATTGCGTGAATTGCGAGATAAACAATTGAAACAAGAAAATAAAAACTTTTTCATATCTCGAACCCAAATAATATTTTTAAATTTAAGGCATTTTTTTTTGTAAACATATGGAAGTGTCAATGACAGTATGCTTTAATATTCTTTCAAAGCTACTTACGGAGGATTTCTTCTTGTCCTTCAAAAGGCAAATTGGTCGCGTTCATGTCCAAATTTCCGTCCAGGCTCATATCGGCGTTCAAATCCATCACAGTCCGGCGGAAAAAAAAGACACAACTCCAACTCGAGTAGAGGGACGAACGTGAGCCGACTAATATACCGACATAACTGGCTTTGTTGGCATATAGTTGCTTCCTATCCACTGACACCTTCACCAGGTAGACATTGTTTACTAAATAACCAGAAACTCTCCGTCGCGAAGACCCTACCACTTCATCCCCTTCTACAACTAACAGTAAACACCTAGACTCACATGATCGCAGAAGATCGAAAAAGGATTGATATTATTTTCAACATAAAATTAAAAAAAGCTAAAATATTCAGACTCTTAGACCATTTTTATTATTTATTTTATTTTTAATTGGTGATATTTTTCATTTTGTACATTTTTGAAAAGAAAAATTATTGTTCTCTTATCATTATCAACATTAACGGCGATTCGAGAAACAAACTCCTATAAATTATTTTCTGCTTTAAATAAAACAAAAATAAAAATATACGACATAAAAACAATTGTTGAACGTTACATTACTCTATAATTTATTTGTAATTTAAAAAAAACATTCATCATGCCGTAATTAGAAGTAGGTTACGCTTTACCGGATGGACGGTTTATCACTTTATCCTGATCTTTCTGTTTCATGTAGTTTCTTGTCGATTTCTTTTTACCGGATCGCCCTGAAATGACTTCAAGTTCAAACTCTTCGAAAAGATCGAAGGACTACGGACGGAGATCTCCCGAAAAAGCTCCGAACGCGGCAAAAAAAGCCGTATTCGTGAGCAGCAATTCTTTACCAGAAGGGACTCCAATAGTCAAAGGTAAATCGGGGAATTACTCCAACCGATTCTGTCACGCCTGCACTGAAGATCGATAATGTTTTAAATTTACAGCCACTGACAGTATTGATTAAAAAAATGTACAGAACTTAACAAGCCTCCCAACTGGTCAGTATACATTATTTCACTGTACATACATTGTAGGAAATTACATCATAAAGTTAAGGTTTACGTATAAAACATTATGGTACCATGTTATCAGAATGACGTTGCCATATTTTCAACTCTCAGTAATCCATAAATCTACTACATCAAACCTCTCTCTTCAATAGAGATTGAACCCTCTCTCTCTACAAATTATAGATACGTATGTCTACAACTGGTAATACCAGAAGTCTTTGAACCTCTGATTTTAAAGACTATCAGTCCTTACAATCATACTTATGATACTATTTCAACTACAAGGTCATATCAACCCTCGGAGTGCCGGTGTTTTTGAAAAAAAAAAAAGGCCCATTTGTAAGTAAAGCGGTGAGTTCTATTTCATCAAGGGATTTGATTAGTAGGCCCAGTTTCAGAGGTTGAATTTCTTCTACGGTCACATTATATGTCCCAATATTTGTAAGTATGTCAGGTACAAATGCCACTGGATTTAAGCCCGAAATCCTTACCTTAGAATGAGTGCGATATCAACCCTAATCTTCTTTTTCAAGATTACACAACCAATGCCCTAGCTATTCATCAACAGGTGTGACACAATATACATAGATTTTGCCAAGGCATTGATAAAGTTGTTCATTGTCTCCTTAAACGAAAACTCATGGTTTAGCTCATATTTTCAAGTTAGAAATCCATTTGAGAAACTTAATTTAGCAGTTCGTAAAAAAATAGTCTCTTCTGGTGTATCTTAAGGGTTGTTACTCAGCTCATTTCTTTTCAAAGTATTTATTACAGTAATCCATTAACATTTGCGGGTGTTTGATTCCAGAAAATTGCCGTGAATGTTAAATTACGTTCCATGATACCAAAAATTGAGATACAATTTAGAACTAAAAAAAAAAAAAAAGCTTTATTCAAAATAAAGTAATAGAAGACATAAAATGTTTGAACATGTTAATTGTTTGTATTTTTTGATGTACAAGGAAAGAAATAACTATTAATTGTTTGCTGTTTTGCCGAATAATTTATTTCTTTAAGAATTTCCACATAAGAACTTGAAGCGGCCTCGACATCCCTTTTAAACTTAAAACTTCAATTTTAAAGATGGGTTGAAATCCATTGCTTTGTTAATAAAATTGGTCCTCAAGGTTACAATTTCCCTGAGCTATTTTGAAGAAAAGCTTTGGTCTGCATAAAAAATGTAATATATCCAAAAATTTTATTCTTTCATCAAGGGTCAGGATGGTTTTTTACTATTTTGGAAGAGGAGGCATTTTGCGACACGACAGAATAAACAAACTGAGAAGAGAGAAGGAACAGTATGTTCAAAGCAGGCCAAAGTTTTCTGAGAATCAATTAGCGGCTCCAATCTATTTTTTTAAAGAATTATTTTTGATACGAAAATAAAATTATTTATGCATTTTTTTTCTGTGAATAAAGAACTTCCGCAAATGTCAAAACTTTCCTCATTTTTTCATACGTGAATTGTAAAAACCGCAAAGGCTAAGGGATTACTACTACTAAGGTATTCACATTTCTCCTTGTTTTTACTCGGTCAATTTCTCCTTTGCTGATAACCTGAAGGTCTATACCGCTATAACTTTCATTAATGATGCTAAATTTCTGCAAAAATATAGAAATAATCTTGTTGAGTGGTGTTCATGCAACGGCATGCAACTAAATTTAAATAATTGTAAGGCTGTAAGCAATAGCTTGGACATAGTGTTGTCTTCTACAATTATGCCATACAAGACATCTAATTGGACAGGCAGACTACCATTAAAGACCTTGGAATCACGTACTGTAACAACCTGACATTTTACATGCATTGCACCCCAATAATTAATTAGGCAAATCAAGTTTAAGGTTTGTTATATATAACTACAAACAATTTTAAGGATGCAGGAAAAAATGGTAGTACGGTTTAAGGCTATGGCTTGTTCCATTTTAGAATACTGTTTAGTCGTTTGGTCACCACATCAGAAAATACTAAGTAATTTGATAGAAAACGTACAGCGATGATTTATTTGCACTCTGATCTGGAAAATATTTGGATACACCATGTGAACTTATTACGGAAACCCTGCGGATTCTGCTAAACATAAGATGACATAACAATAACCTGATATTTCCTTACAAACTCTTAAATAATACGTTTTACTGTCCACAATTAATCAATTTGATAAATTTCTATGTTCCACAGTGTAACACCACAAAAATATTATTTTCAAAATCTGATTATAATACAAATTATTTAAAATTTAGTCCGATTCGTCAACTCATGTGATAAACTTCCTATACATTGTGACACTTTTTATCTTCGATTTAAACATTTTTTAAAAGTATCGATCATGACAATGCGTGCATAAAGTTTATATCACTCAGGAAAATATGCACAGCTATGCACCATGTACAACATGAAACAAATGATTAAAAAAATTATTAGGAGCCTAAAAGTGATAAATTAGAATTCCTCACTTAAAAGTAAAAATTAAATTAACTTAATTAGCATTTGATAAAATATAAATAAATAATAATAATTGTCTTAATATGTCTTAATGTATGTACATATTTATAAAGTATACAAAATGTTATATCTATTTTCTATTACAATATGGGTTAGTTTTTAATTGTAATTTACTCTTGACTAAATATGTTTATTTCTTAATGTATGTACATATTTACAAAACATACAAAATAACATATCTATTTTCTTTTCCAATCAGGTTTAGTTTTTTAAAGATTTAGTTTTTTTATTGTAATTCATTCTTAATTGACTTAATATGTTTATTTCTTAATGTGTGCACATATTTACAAAGTGTACAAAATAACATATCTATTTTTTATTACAATAAAGGGTTCGTTTTTAATTGTAAATTGTTAGTTAAAACTGCAAGAAGTAGGACTTACAACTTTTTATCTACCTACCAATGAAAAATTTGCAATCTGTCCTAGTGGGATTAGAAAGTTACTCTTGTTAGTATTATGAGACAATAGTGAAAGGATAGGATAGGACAAGAGAAAAAAAATATAACAAAATTTGCAGGTAGAAAAAAAAGGGTTTTATTAGATAGGTCAATAGAGTGGCAAAGTTCTTTCAATATGGCTTGGAATCCCTTTCAATAGTGCGATTCTTTCTAGTCAAGAGTATATTAAATTTATTTTTATCTTTTATTATTACAAAGTATACGTACATACATAAAGTTTATTCCATGCAGAAAAACTATGTGTCAACTATGCACAACATAAAAAATGAAATTAAAAAAAAAAGAAAAAAATTATTAGGGACTTAAAAAAGAAAAAACATAAAAAATTAATAATAAATTAATATTCTTTTTTTAATCTAAAATTTTCTAGCATTGTATAAATTCATTTTTCACATCCTACATGTATTTGTAAAATTTAAACAATGTTTATAAATCCCAGGCCCTGAAAATGATCTCAATAAAGATCGAAACATTAGCACGACAAAGAAAATGTTTTTCTAAAACCTACATCACACCAGACTGCATCTAACTATCTCCGAATAATCATTAACTAACAGTCACTAAACACCACATATTACATACTTGTAATTATGGTTTTATTTATAGCATCAGAGGGCCACATCATGGTTGTTAAGTCCGGAGGTTGGAATGTCCCGGACTTAGCCACCTTTTTGTTACCCTCCAAACCTCTGAACCAAAGATATCTACCTCTACCTCTTTATATTCTTTCAAATTACTAATTCTCATTTTATTGAATAATCTTTTCAATTCAAGATCTTTATATATCTTCTTGAAGTCATGAGGAGTGGTGAGAAATGAAGTGGCCTAGGTGAATTACATATTTTGATTGAAAAAAATTCAATACAAAAGTGAATAATATAAATTTTGAACCAAGTTTTTCTTCACACTTTATGTGAAGTGTGAATTGGAGTAAAAATTACAACGTTTGCAGATGACACAGTGGTGATATCACTAGGACCGACTATCACCCATTCAACCAAAATCCTCCAAAATGCTTGTAATAAAATAAACGAATGGACAAAAAAATGGAAAATCAAGCTAAATCAGCATAAATCAGTTCATATAATCTTTACACAAAAAAAAGTGGACCATGTTCCGTCACTCACAATCGATGGAACTATTATACTATACAGCGATACAGCTAAATATCTATGCCTAGCTGAGATGGAAAGAACACGTGAAGAAAAAAAGGACAGAAATAGGTTTAAGGTATAGACAACGATACTGGTTGATAGGACGTGGCTCCAACCTTGCTATACAAAATAAAATATTATTATGTAAACAAGTCATAAAGCCTATGTGGACATGTGGTATTCAACAATGGGGTTGTACCAAACACAGCAACATCAAAATCATACAAACACTCCAAAATAAAATCTTAAGTAACATGGTCAATGCACCTTGGTACGTAAGGAATAAGGACTTACATAGGGATCTTAAGATCCCTGAGGACACGGTGGAAATACAAAGATTTGCCACCAAACACTAGGCTCGCCTCAGCCAGCACGAGAATGTGGAAGCGACCAAACTCTTAACGGTCAGAAGATTAAAAAGAACAAAGCCATATGAACTTGAGTAGTTAAAAATGAGTAGTGAATAGTGAAATGTAAATCTTATTGTACCAATGGGTTTATAACAATGTAAACATTCATTTATTCTATAATATTATTGTAAAATTAATGGTTGATCTAATAAGGCCAGTTTTAATAAATAAATTTAATTTAAAAAAAACTTTATGTGTACCATAATATGGTACACATAATACTTTATGTGACCCTTAAATACTTATTAAAATATAAATAAATGTTTTTAATATGTCTTAATATGATTATTTCTTAACATATATGTATTTATTTACAAAGTTTACAAAATAATATATAAAATATAAATAAATATTTTTAATTGTCTTAATATGTTTATTTTTTAACATATGTACTTATTTACAAAGCATACAAAATAATATATTTATTTTCTATTATAATAAGGATTAGTTCTTAATTGTATTTTATAGTTAAAACTGTAATTTATAGTTAAAATTGCAAAATTGGACTTAAAACTTTTTATCTACCTACCAATGAAAAATTTGCAGTCTAAGCTGTCCTAGTGGGATTGGAAAGTTACTTGTGCTAGTGTTAGGAAACAATGGTAAAAGGAGACAATGGGACAATTGGAAAAGGAATACAATATAAAATTATAAATTCACAGGTAGAAGAAGAAGGGTTTTTAGGTAGATCAATAGGGTGGCAATTAAAGTCCTTTCAATTTGGATTGGAATTCCCTTCAATACTAGAATTTTTTATAGCCATAATATACTAAATTTATTTTTATTGTTTATCATTACAAAGTATACAAAATATTATAAATGGCTAGAGTTTTATTTACTAAATTATTTATAAACTAAGGAAATGTACATGTAATAATTAATTGTTAAGGGAAAAAGCTAAATTAAAAAAATGGTGTTAGATTACAAAGCAAAACATTGTTACAAATGTCATTTACAATTGTATCACACCATGTACCATTTGTAGTTTTACATTCTGTCCTACTGACTTTTTGACCTTTATTCGGGTCATCTTCAGGGCCTGGGTGAATTACAAAGCTTATATTAATTGGAAAAAAATAGATGTAAGTAACATAAATTTTGAACCTCGTATTTCATAAGGTAGTGTGGTGCTGTTCTTGTTGTGTCATACTTTATATGAGGATCAAATACATAGTTCAAAATTTATATTATTTACATCTGTATAGTATTTTTTCCAAACAATATGTTTTGTAATTCACACAGGCCCTGAAGATGACCTGAATAAAGGTCGAAATATGAGCAAAAAAATGAAAAAGGTGTTTTTCTAAAATAATTAGTCCTGACTAGTCCACACAACTTCAATAAACTATTGAACAACCGATCGCTAAAAAAGGACACATATGCACTTTGTAGACACCACCCATTGGTTGTACTAGATGACAACTAGGCTACAGTATTGTAACTCTCTTCTTGTACAGCTATTGTACTATAATGAGCATATTAATGTTGCCCCCTTTTTGAAGGCAGTCATGAATGCTTTTTCATAATGTGTTTGGTGCAATTTTCCTTAATTTGTCTCAGTTTTTCATTGGGATTCATTCCTCACAGGATGTGTTATGTGGTTGCTGTAGGTCAATGGTTGAAGAATCATGCTCTTCACATTCAAGAGCTTCAGGCTCTTCAGTTCTAGGACTTTGATCTTTGCTTTGATTTGCCATTTTTGTGGATAAATTTCATCTTCAGCTTAACTTTATCACTATTGACATTGGAGTGTTCATCTTTTGTGGGAAAGAGAGCTAAAATCTTTTCGACAAGTTTTACTAGGTGTTATAGCAAATATTCAAAGTACTTCTTAGTAAAGATGCATTGCAGAAAAAAAATTATGGAATTCCGAAACCTCTGTAGACTGTATATATCACCTGTGGTGCATCTATAAAAATGGTCAGAAAAACAATATTGACACCAGACCACATGTCACAATCTCCAAATAATCAGTAATTAACGGTCACTAAATACCATACAAAAATTCTTTAAATATTGAGTAGTAGAAACTATTAGCGAAAAAAGAAGGAAATTTAAAATTGTTAGAGATGATGAGTTGGTGTCTCAGAGACCAAAGTTGTGATAGCTCAAGTGGAAGAGCGCCGCCACGGTACTGATCCGGATGCTATTAGCTTGAGTCCATCTCATGGCACTAATTTTTCATCTCAGCCTCACAATTTCCATGTTGTTCCTTCTTTTTTCCATGATGTAGAAAAAGGAGTATAGTAAAAATAAATTTCAAAATTTATTTTGAACATTTTATTTGTAAGATTTTCATAAGGGATGCAAGTGCTTACTTTATTTTTTATTTTATATATTATTTTATATTTTTTATATATATTTTTTAATTACTAATTACAGGTTATGATTTCAACCAAGGAGTGGACTATGGAAAGTTGCTCGGATCATATTTCCATAATGGGTTCCAATCGACATATTTTGGACTCGCAGTTAAAGAAGTTCAAAAGATGGTATTAGCTTTAATGTGTACTATGCTCTAGATAAATACAAAATAAATAATTCCACATTATTTTTAAATCAGAAATCATACGGTATCAGTTAAATTATTTCAAATAATTAATTAAAAAGTAATTACACAAAAATGGGTTTTTTGCTTACGATTTTTTCTCTAAACAGTTAGATTGTCGAAAAACACCTTTAACTTCTGATCAGAAGGACACCTTGGAAGATGATACATTTATTGCTAGAAAATCTAATTGCACGATATTCCTTGGGTTTACTTCAAATATGGTGTCATCTGGAGTTAGAGATACTATTAGGTTAGTGGTTAAGTTTACCTGTCTGACATGAAATAATTTTTATTTTCAATTTTTTTATGCTAAAGATTTCTTGTGGAACACAAAATGGTCGACTGCCTTGTGACTACTGCTGGAGGCGTTGAAGAAGACTTAATCAAGTGCCTAGCTCCGACATACTTAGGGGATTTCAATCTAGACGGAAGAGAATTGAGAGACAAAGGAATCAACCGTATTGGAAATCTTCTAGTGCCTAATGACAACTATTGCAAGTTTGAAGATTGGATCAACCCAAAATTAGACATATTCCTAGAGGAACAGAGGAAAAATGTAAGCTCAAGAATTATTGTGCAATTTTTAAAGTGGTCACATATAAAATTTATAATAGGGTACAATCTGGAGCCCGTCAAAAATGATAGAACGCCTTGGATTGGAAATCAATGATACCAGTTCTATTTGTTACTGGGCAGCTAGAAACCAGATTCCCATATTCAGTCCAGCTCTTACTGACGGCAGCCTCGGTGATATGATGTACTTTCATTCATATCGCAATCCAGGACTGATAGTTGACATCCTTCAAGGTTTTTCTTTTATTCTTAGTTTTCTTGTGTTCCAGACAAAAACTGGGACTTCTTGCACATTTTTGGTTGCAATTGACTATTACTGTTCTTTTTAGACCTGAAAAGGTTAAATTCTATCGCAGTAAAGGCAGTTCACAGCGGAATGATCATATTAGGTGGTGGAGTCGTCAAGCATCATATCTGCAATGCAAATCTAATGGTGAGTTGTATTAAACTAAACCGAGATTTAATATATACCTATTTGTACCGTAACCGGTCATCTGACCGGTTTTTAGTTAAGGACTTTTTTCCTGATTAAATGGAGAAATATTGATTTTGGTAAGGAAATATTGGGTTGTCCGGAAAATAATGCAGGATTTTGGTATTAAACAAAAAAAAAGAAACTAGTTACTTTAAAGCAATGTTCTTTAATCAAAATAATTTCCCATACNACAAATGAGTAATCCTGTAAACGTAAACAGAATATTTTATATAGATTTTTTTTAATGAAAACTTAAAATCCTGCATTATTTTCCGGACAACCCGATATTTAAAAAAAAAGTAACTTTAAAGTAATAAACAAAAATGTATTTCTTTTAGGGAGGTACCCATGTACATTTTCCACAAATATACACTTAGTACAAATTTTTATTATTTTATTATCTTTAAAATACTTTATTTGACATGTTTTACGTTTATTATATCTGTCATAGAATTTATGTTGTTTTCGTATTTGTTATTCTTATTTGTTCTTTTCAGGCTTCTTGATAACCAGCGGCAAGTCCTACTGCTAACTGGAGTAAAAAAATCAATATATTTTCTCCAGTCATTTCCTTATACATTATCCAGGCATTTATGCCTGTTAAATCAGGATATTAGAAAATACTTTCTTTTTTTAAGTTACCAGTCGTTTAATAATTTGTTGGATTTGTGAAGTGCAGTCAAGAATGAGGTAGTAAACTATCTTCTAAAGAAAAACACTTTTTTCATTTTTTTGCTGACATTTTGACCTTTATTCAGGTCATCTTCAGGGCCTCGGTGAATTACAAAACAATGTCAATTGGAAAAATTAAAATTACGAATTCTACTAAACTACCTTATTCTTGACCACTCCTCACAAATCAAAAAATCATTAGAAAATACTCGGATGGGCTATTGGCAAGACTGATTTTATGCTAATTTCCTCACCATTTAATCAGAACATTCACACCAAATTTAGTTTAGTTGTAATATGAAATCGTAAACTTTTATTTACTTTTTCAACTTCTGTAGATCTATACTTGGAGCTAAGTAAATTTTTTTTTCTTTGGCTTATTTGTATAAATTGTAAGAGTACAATTATCTGGTTTGAAAATTTTCTTTGAAAACCGTTTCTTATCTTTCTTCTTCTTCACAATTTACAATTACTGTTAAATTAAGTACAATTTACTAAAATGATAACAAATTGAAATTTTAGGCACTTTATTGAAATTTCAATTCACTTTTTGATTGAGCTTACTAAGCAACAAATGTTTGCAGAAGTGTATCTTAAACTCATGTAATACGTAGAATATGAATTAGTATTAGATTTGTAAAACCAATGCTCTTATATAGCAGTAAAATATTTATCTTGGTGACGACCTATCGTGGTAAATAACATGTGTTTTTCAGATTTAACAAATAAAAATACAAATAAATGATGTAAAATTAATTGTATATATTTAATAGAAAAAGTCATGAAGTCAAATGTGAACAAGTGATAACATTTTATATAAATTTTCGAATCAAAAGTTTACAACCGGTCACTGTACGTTTAGCGTTAATTGATGAAACTAGCAGATATTAATTTTATGCATTTTGTGTTAAAGAGAAATGGTGCTGACTTTGCTGTTTTTATCAACTCTGCTTCTGAATTTGATGGAAGTGACAGTGGCGCACGGCCAGATGAGGCAATCTCATGGGGGAAAATAAAGAAGACAGCATCACCCGTTAAAGTATAATTACATCCACTGCAATATTTGAAAATTAACTGTAATAATGATTTGAAAATTTTCGATATTTTCACAGGTGTATGCAGAGGCAAGTCTTGTTTTTCCACTCTTAGTTGGGGAAACATTTGCAAAGGAGCATTTCAAGACAAAACCTTTGTAAACCTTTCATTTAAAAAAACTTTTATACCACAGTTGTTGTTTTTGCCTTTAAGTCCTTGGAATCCTTGCTGTTCGTTTTAAGTGGAAAAAAAATCAAGCGCAGCATTTATATTTTAGGCCCATTATTACCAATTCATCTACTTTTTGGGCAAATACATATTCATCTAATTATAATAATAATAAGCTTAAAGTTGTCGAAAATAAAGCTTTAAGAACAGTAGGAAACTTTGTGAAGTGGAATAGGATTGTGCATCACTGTTCAATTAGCCCCACTATATACGATAATGCATTAATTAATTAATATTTATCAAAGAAGTTAGCTCCTGTATTGCAAATGTATAAGGGATTGAAGTACATACTACTGGGATAGTATTAATTTGTAATATTAGTAATGATTAATATGAAATGTAATTATTGATTGTAAGTACCCCAACTGATACATTTTTATAAGTATTTATTGCTAACATTTTGATGGAAAATCCTCTTTAACAAGCTCAACCCCTTGGCTGACAGATATGGGAAAATATCAAGTAGGCTTTAGGAAAAATAAGACCACATAGACCAGGTTAAATTTCAGGCCACCATTTTATAGATTTTACAAGGTTTTATGTCAGCGTAAGATTGTATGAGGCCATACAAGAAATGAAAACACTGCCCAAGCATATCACATTAGTGAAAATGACATTGATGGAAAAATAGTCCTAGTTCCATGCATCCCCTGATTTCATGACTAGTCTGCCTCCTGATTACCATACCCTAGAAAAAGTAATCAGAAATTCTGGCATCCAGACTTCAGGAACCACACCAAATCCATACAGCTATTGTCCTATGCGGATGACGTAGACATAGCATACTCCCAGAACTAAAGGGTGCTTTCCTTGCTTTGAAGGAAGCAGCCTTAACCATGGGTCTTACCTTTAATGAGAAGACATGTCTTCTTAATGTTTGTTTATGAATAAGAAAAATAGCAGTAACAGTTTGAAATTGTTTAAGGAAGTTTAATTCTGTAAGTTTACACATGTTTAGAAAGAAAATGTTTATACAAGTTACATCCGCAATTTATGAAAGGACAAAAAATGCTTCCACATTTAACACAGAACAAAAAATGATGGTTCTCGATTAAAAAGGAACAAGAAAAGAGAAAAATATTAAATACGACTTAAATAATTAGGTTGGGAGGGGGGGCCCTTCTTCCAGTTACAGCTTTGTGTTTTTTGCTAAACCCTCCAGCTGGTCCTCAAGTAAGTGGAGTAAGTGGTAAAAGCTGCAAGCGGGACTTCAACAAGACTTCTTTCAGAGTCAACAAATTTAACTATCTCGACTCCCTAATTAACTCCTTTAATAATCCCAGGAAAATCATAGCCACTAACTGGAAATATTTTGACCTATCAAAATATACAAATAGCAGCTGAATCTCCAGGAACACGAAAATCAGGCTGAATAACACCCTCATCCTTCAAGTACTGACCTATGCTTCTCAAACTTAGACTATCCCCAAGACAGACGAAAAGGATCTCTTGGTCTTTAAAAGGAAAATCAATTTTTGGAGTCATGAAAAAAAGGGACGAATGGCGAAGATAAACGAGTAAGGAAGTGTATGATCTGTACAAAGAAGTGAATGTTATAAATGTAATAAATATTTATTTAGAAATCGATTAACAGTCACTAATCACCACCATTGGGAAATGAAATGATAGCTATATTATTTTTGTACCCTTTGTTCAAATTGAACTGGGTACATCTCTCACAATAGCATGTACTTGTGCCAGAAATATACTTGAGGTATTTTCCCATGGGTTCTGAATGTTTCCAGGACCGAAGCCCGGTACCTTCTTCCGTTCTATCAGAGTACCAGCAGATGGTTTCGTTCTCGATGGAGGGGTCAGTAGGGTGTTGAGTTCTATCTATGTGTGGTGTTTAGTGACCGTAAATTAATAATTATTTGGAGATCGTGAGATGCGGTCTGGTGTGATGTAGGTTCAGAAAAACATTTTCTTTATCATGCCTATGTTTCAATCTTTATTGAGTCATCTTCAGAGCCTGGGATTTATTTTCTAATTCATTCATTCTATACTGATTGGAATCCTTTTCAACACGGGGTTTCTTTATAGCCAAAAATATATTAAATTTATTTTTTCCTGTGTGAAGTAACTGAAACTTCGGTTTATTTTTTAAATTAATTGCAGACAGAAGGTTTTTTTTATTACTATTAAGTTACAACAGATGGATTTTTATTTTAAAAAAAAAAAAGAAGAATTCTCAATAATGAGAAAATCTGTTTTAATATTTATTTTAAAGGTTGCACTTTGTTACAATGGAACTTTATTATATATTATTGTTAGGTAATTTCAAAAAGCTTTTAGTTCCAGCAGATTTTATCTATTTTGTTCAATTTACCTAAACAATAATATAAAATCTGTTTTACAAATTTTACTTCAAAAAGTAAAACTTCCAAAATTATTATAATATACAATAGCTTCGAATTATTTTGGTGAAAAAATCGGGTACGAAGAAATTTAAATTCTTCAGAAATAAACTTAACTGAAAAGTACCATTTGCAATAAGAAGAGACAAGTTAAGTATAGCTATTACGATATCAGATCATGGTTATTAACAAAAAATGCACCTAATTTGTTTTTCTTTTTTTTATTCATATTAAATGTTACACCAGATGGGGAAGAGTTTTAACAGAAAATTATTTTTACATTTATCAATATTGTTTTATATAATCTGTGTGCAATAATCTATGGCTTCTAATCCCTTGAAGAATAATTAAATTTGAAATTACTCGAGGGCTGCAGCACCCGAGATGATTTCAATGAGCTCCCTAGTGATGACAGATTGACGAGTCCTGTTGAAAGTAAGAGTGAGCTTTTCAATCATTTCACCAGCATTCTTGGAAGCGTTGTCCATAGCCGTCATCCTTGAAGACTGCTCGCTGCAGGCTCCTTCCTTCATAGCGTAATACACGAGAGAAGCCGTTGAGAATTCGACATAGCTCTGAATTACATCGGCATCGAGAGAATCATAGACAGACAATTTTGGAGCGCTGGAAACAGACGCTTCGCTAAGGAGCGGTAATTCGGTTGTCGTATAAGAGACTACAGATTTGAATTTGTTGAACACAATTTTCCCCGATGAGAAATTCTGCTTAGCAACTTCATTTGCGATGCGTGCGGCGTCGAGAAAAGTCGGTGGCTTCCTTCCGATTTCGTTGGCGACAACGGATATGTTCTTGCCGAATAGACGCTGGAGTATGGCCCTGGATTTGTCTCCGACGCAGATCACCTTTGTGTTTGCGGGGTGTTCGCACAGTTCATTCCTGATATGCCTGGCCACCTGGGTGTGGACGGCACCGCAGAGGCCCCTGTCAGAGGTCATCGCGATAATTATCTTGTCGGTTGTCTCGTCAGCAGGTGTAGCTTCGATTTTTTCGTAAAAAGACTTGGCACCGTCTCCATAAGGGCGGGTCTGCTTCAAGTCCCTTTCCGCCCTCGAATACTTGGCGGCGGACACCATTTTCATACTCTGGGTTATCTTCTGGATGTTCTTGACGGACTTGAGCCTCATGGATATCGCCTTGAGGGTCGCCATACCACGTACCTGCTGTTGTCCGAATTGGACGGCGATAGGTCCCGCTTTTCCCAACATTTTCCTGTCGTTTTTATTATTACAAAGTCCTAAAGTGCAAACTTATCACTTTTCGCCCTAATCGGGAATCGAGGAACCTTCACAGCTGAGTCCGATTCCAGGTCGGTGCCAAGAAAAAAAATCAGGTTGTCCAACATCGCTTACTCAATCCTTCAATACATCATACTTTACAACAATATCATTACTTTTTATTGACTTAATAAAAAAAACTTTCAATCTAAAACTGTTTTATTTTAAATATATATTAGGTTTAAATTTAAATTAATAACAAAAAGTTTAATTTAAGCAAGTTAGAAAGGATGGTCCTTTCATATATCATTGTGTGGGGGGAACTCTTCAGATAAGCACAATACATTAATAAATTATATTAAAAGAAAATTTCATGGCAAAACCAGATTTGAACCCAGTGGGTAAATACGAAAATCGGACTCCCTTATAATTTTGCCCACTCTTTCCTTCTTAAATACAGGGTGTACCAGAGAAAGTGTTAAAAAAAATTGGGTGATAGTACATCCTATCTGCTACAACTTCTGGCGTATATATACCTATATATCTTCAGCCCCTGACGAATTACGATTTTTTAGGCACTTAGTATTTATAGTTGTGGTGATATATAAGTACTCACACCTAGGGCAAACAGTTTTTACCCCCTCCACCTTCCTTGTCATGGCGTCTGGCGAGACAGTTTTTACTCCCTCCACCTTCCCTGTCGGGGCGTCTGGCGAGACAGTGTATACCCCCTCCACCTTCCCTGTCATGGCGTCTGGCGAGACAGTTTTTACATCCTCTTTTCCTCCTTCCAGACACCCCCATCACTAGTGTCGTGCCTAATGGGGCCTAGGAGTGACGTCCCTTTTCAATGGGGTTTGACGAGTGACGTCACTGTTTTTCAATGGGGTTTGTCGACTGACGTCACTGGTTTTTTTCACCTATACTACTTGTATAATTTTGATATACAGGAGGTCCTAGAGATAGGAAAAAAATTGGCTGATAGTACACCCAATTTGCAACAATTTCAAACGTACTGTCCTATCTTCAGTCCCTGAGGAGTTACAATTTTTTGTTAGTTTTTCCATAGAAATGTTCCTTACCTGAGAAAAACACAAAATACCCTAATGAGTTTGATTGCTCATGTTTTGGGCTTGTACAGAAAACGCCCGATCCGGTTTTCATGCTTTAGATATAGACATGTCAGTAAATTTTGCCAAGTGAAAAACTGTGTAAACGAGGCCAAACTGGACATGACTACAAAGACTGCACAAACATCCAAATGTCTCAATTATGGTAGTTCACATCCTGCATATGACAGTACCTGTGTACATACGAGAAAAGTCCATTTTACAAATCTGTATGAATGAAAACTTCATGTATGAAGGTGAGTACGTAAAAATCGATAAAAAAAATTCATTTGCTCACTGATGAAATAAATAAGGAATAATGCCGACTTCTTCGCACTACGGGTCCACTGTGCGCCGGTTTCCTTAGATTGATGGTATTGAATATCGATAAAACACTTCGATAAATTTATTTCAAAATTAATTCATACATTTTTTCAAAAAATATCGATGTTTCATAAACATCGAGTACTCGATACTCATCCCACTATGTAGTGTGTTGAATGTTGATGCTTCCTCCTCAGACGACACGTAGACCTCCGGGCTTCGTCACTTTGTACCTTGTAGTTGTGTCCCCCGGCGGCTTGTTCGACGGGTGTATATGCGTGCGTAAGGAAAAGGCCAGGAGGAGGGAAGGGCTGGTCTTACTGACTGACACCATTCGACTTCCCGGAGTTGTTTAAGGGCCGTCGAATCGTGACATCCCACGTTTGGGACGCAGCTCACCCTCCTCGTCTCTTGACGCGCTCTAGGCATAACCATGGACGTCAAAAGGATCTGCTGCATAGGTGCCGGCTACGTCGGCGGGCCCACTTGCAGCGTTATCGCCCTGAAATGCCCAAACATTATTGTAACTGTCGTCGACAAAAGCAATGAAAGGATATCACAATGGAATTCTGACAAACTTCCTATTTATGAGGTATATCATTTTCATATCTTATTTACAAATATACTTCGACTTCTTTTTAGTTATTATTATTATTATTATTATTATTAATCAATTTCAGTTTTGCGGTATTGCAGTAATTAAACAATATAAAATTTATTGAAAAAAATTTGCACTAACAACTTGTTGCAGTCAATATACACTGATGACAAATTTAACGTACCACTCAATTTATTTAGTTTAAAAATTAAATCCATTATCTTTCTACATTAGTTCAGTTATTAAGGAGCTATTGAGTCAAAATAAATAATAAAAAAATCCTTTGATTACTTTGCACTGATTAATCCCATTTACACAAAAGTAAATGCCATTCCATTCCTAAAGATTGCTTTCAATTAATCTTTTTTCTTCATTAATTTCATTTGATATTACACTTATTATTTGGAGATAGTGAGATGTGGTCTGATGTGGCGTAGCTTTAGAAAAACATTTTCTTTATTGTGCCAATGTTTCGATCTTTATTGAGATCATCTTCAGGGCTCAAAGTGTTTGTTTTCTGTGTGTTGTGTTGAGTGTGCCCTATTTCACACCAGACTGCATCTCACGATCTCCAAATAATTATTAATTAACGGTCACTAAATACCACATTGTTCTTATTCTTAAACCTTTTTCAATGGCTCCAGGCAGGTATTTGAGTGAGTATGACAGTATCAGGGATCATAACATTATTTGAGGAAGGATACACTACGTAGCTCACACGATGTTGCCAGGGAAGGCTTCAAAACCACAGTATTACGGGAAATAAGATAAGAAATCTGATATCCTCCAGGATTGTAAGAAGATTCAATGAAAATAACCTCAGGGCTAGCACCCGACTAGTGAACCTCTTCTTACCTGGGATGGCATTTCTTTGGATGCCATTGGTTGTTGTGCAAGGAAGGTCTCTAACTACACAGAGGTCTTACAAGACATAATCAAAGACACTTAATGCCCTCACATCGGTGAGAGATTCTTGCTAATGCAGGATAATGCCAGGCCTTGTAGAGTGGGTATCGTGGGTGAGGTTGGAATTGAGTGATTGGTGTGGCCAGCTCGAAATCCAGATTTGAATCCAGTCGAACACAATTGGGACCAACTTAAGCATGCATGGTGAATCCCAGATCATAACACCCTAGAAGAGTCGGAAACGGCTGTTCTTGATGAATGAGAAAGAATTCCAGAAATCTTTTCCAAGGATGCAAAGGAGTTTAACAGATATAGTTGGTGTCCTAGGTGGAAATACTTGGTATAAAAGGGAATAAAAATTAATTAATTAATTAATTTTGTCCTTTACTATTTATTTTTTTGCTATGCAAAATATGAATGAACCTAAATTCATTAAAATATAAGGGTGGTGCATTATTTAATTTTGTTCAGTATATTTATAGTTTGGTAAAAAACCACTTTTCTCATCAATTTTATTGTATCAACATATAATAGAAATACAATAATTTACATATTATATACAATAAGTCAAAAAATTGCCTATAGAAGAAGAAAATAAATTTTATTCTGAGGCTTTGGGCATCCTTGAATAACAAAAAGTACACAATTTTGCACAATTCATGTCAAAATAAATAAATAGTAATTTTCATGTAATAGCATAAAAGTAAATGAAATGTACCAAATGATATAAGAGGGGGGAATTAACATAAATTAAACATTCCAGAAACAACCAAAAATTAACAATCCTCAATAATTGAGTTAAAATGGAGGGAAGGAAGTAATCAAAAAAGTCGGAACTTGATGGTGGAAAGGGTCGAGGCACAGTGAATAGAGTGAGAGAGGGAATTCTAAAATGGATAAGGAAGGAGTGAATAAAAGTAATGGATGTGTATAAGGGGGGGGGTAGAGATCAGAAGAGCAGGAATGAGTGTGGCGAGTGTGTAGAAGATGTTAAAAGAGGGTAATGGAAAGAAATTGTCTGATAGAGGAAGGAACCAAGGAAGTGCATCCTGCGTTAGGAGGGGTATAGCAATTTAAAACCATGATACATATAAGACACGAGATCTCTTTGGGGAGCTAAATATGAACTGAACAAAGCAGTTCGTTATACATTTGATTTTTTGATGGTGTCCATCCTGATTTTGTGGAACTCCATGATGGGTTGGAATAAATAGTCTTTTCCACAATAGTAATTTATACTATTACATGACATTTGAGCCTGTTAACTCGCTGGTGAATCCACTGTAGACTGTAGACAAAAGAGGCATAATCAAAATGGGGAAGCACAAGGGAGATGATTTGCTCATCTCATTGGAACAAGTTAGCAGGGAGGGTGGAGAAGCTGCAGCAGGAGGTTTGGAAAATTTGGGGTTTCCAGGATAGGGTTTGATAAAGGACTTTGGACTGGACCCTTATTGGGTCTGTTTTCACACGCTGGCTTGTTGAACTACACATCACGACATTTCCAGTGAGGAACTCACCCAGCATCAATTCTATATTGTTAATTAAATAATTAAAGGTACAAATAAATTCAACAAGTTTGTCATGGACTGTAATACTATGATGGGTGCCAGGGCACAGAGGAATTTTGGGTAATAAGAAAACGGCCAGACTGGCCAGAGGAGGATCTGCAAGACCATACATAGGCCCCGAACCTATACTTGGGATAACAAAAACAAATATAGAATCCTCCATTGCAGAATGGATCCAAATAAAACAAAAGGAGAAGTAGATAAACTCTAGCGGTGCTAGACACAATAAACTTGTGCTAAAACAACCCTCACCAAGACTGGCAAATTCACTGCCGCAATTGGAGAGGGCTAGACTCAGAGGAGTGATAGGACTACTAACCGGTCACTGGTATCTGAGAAAACATCTACAAAGCATGGGCGTATACAACGATGATCCCATCTGCAGATTATGTAATGAGGAGGAGGAAACAGCCACCCATATCATCTTCGAATGGGAAGCAACAGCTCAATGGAGATTTAATATGAAAAAACTTAGGGATGATATATTTAGTCTATTGCACTGAACTAAGGAACTAGGAAGGTACAATAAGCCAGAAGGCTGCAGTGCCTGGGGAGTGCATACCGCTTCTTAGTATCCTTATTACCATACCATACCTAAATTTTGAAAAAATTACCTTGTAAATCATCCTTTATTTACATATACATGTAGGAAATGGAGGTGAAAAAATGGATTACTATAATTGTAAAAGGCAATTAAAAAACCAAAGTTATCAACATAAAAATTGAAGTACTAGTTAAAGTGGATTTAAAAAAAGGCATTGTGAGAGATGTTCATTAAAAGTAAACATTTACCCTTTTTTCCCCCTATTCAATTTTTATTTACACTTGAAACAAATAGAAATTTTGAAAAGCTTTGCAAATATTGTTGGTGTAAATAAAGTTGCTTTCACAACCTTTTTACAGGCGGGAATCTTGTCAAACTAGCTAGTAGTATAACCATGTTTTAAATGTTCACCTGAAATAAGTACGAAAACTTTTGAACTCCAGCAAATATGTTTTGAAAAATTATTAGTTACTTTTTATTATCTTTGCCTTAGTTAGTCACTTATTTTATTATTTATAGCTGTGATGATATATACTTTTAATATAAATGGGGTCCCAGAGATATTGGGAAAAAATTGGGCTGATAGTACACCCTACTTACAACAACTTCCAACGTATAGTACCTTTAGACCTTGACGAGTTATGATTTTTTGTTAGTTTTTCCATAGAAACATTACCTTACTTGAGAAAAACACAACTGTCTATCATCAGTGCTACAACTGTTTTGGATTCAGAATTAAATTTCCTTTATCCTATTTTCGTCTGAAATAATTTTCAATTAAGAACCTCAATGAATGCTCAAATTTGAAAAATACCACTTTTGGATTTTTACGAAATATTGTTTAATTCGATATGCCCTTATGTTTAATACCGGAGATTGTTAACCTCACGATAAGTTCATTATTAAGGTTTCAAACAGTGTTTCAATTCAACCCCTTCTGATTGTAATAGTCTTACTGTGTATCAATTGTTGCAGAACATACACAAGATCAGCCATCTCTGCTCAGGAGATGATGATAAATAGAAGGTTTTGGTTTTCAAGTTTTATAATTTTATCCAAAATAAATTATTGAACGATTTACAACCATTAGATATTTACAAATTGTTTTCAAAATTATGACCTCAATGTCTGTCACACATCTGTGCTCTTTTTCTCATGGCACCTACAGTTACTCGTTCTAAGTTTATCAAATGCTTCGAGGATTGTAATCCTTAAATCTTCAGCATAGTTCAGCACTGAACTGTATACCTTCTTAAGTAAACCCCAAAAGTAGAAATCCATGACAGTAAGATTAGGGAAACGAAGTGGCCACGGGATGACTCCTCCATCTTATCCACTTGGGATATTCATAGTTCAACCAGACACATACTTGTTTACTTAGTGATACTTAAGAAAAACACAAATGCCCTGATGTATATTTCCGTTTTTCTCAAGAAAGGTTATCCATGGAAAAATTAACAAAAAATGGTATCTTGTCACGGACTGAAGTCAAGTGTAGGGACTGTACGTTGGTAATTGTTGCAAATAAGGTGTACTATCAGTAAATTTTTTTTCACACTATCTCTTGGACCCTCTTTAAAAAGAGACATACTTCGTTACAGTAAATCTTGTTTATTGTGGGTCTTGTTTCACCGTCTTCTTTTCAGACCAATTATGTATAGCGAAGCAATGTAATTCTGTTTAAGTGGATCAGTATGACAATACGTGATTAGGCAAACAATTGTAGATTTATTTGGCTCTACCATTGTACTGATCCTCTCAAACAGAATTTGAAAAATAAGGGTAAAATTATTTTTCTGAACTTCTGATTTGTGAAACATTTATGCATATATTCCGCTCAGACATTTTTTAAATCTTTTTTAATTAATTATATATGTTATTTGATGAAAAAGCAAGTGTGACGAGTAGGATTTGAACCGACATTTGAAAATATGGCAAAAAGAGGGAAAAATTCGAGGATGAAGAGTGTCCGGGCAAATCAAAATTACGATAACTCAAGTGGCTAGAGTAGTGGTGTATTGAGCCTAAGGTCGTGGGTTCAAATTCTGCTCTGACACTTGCTTTTTCCTATGACCTTACACAAAAAATATATTAATTTGAATAAGTAATACAGCGGATATATGGATTTTACCTTATTATTTATTTTATTCCATAAACAAAGAAATAAACAATAAGTTAGAAAATATATTATCAAAACAACCTATTTAAGAAAAATAATGTCAATTTGATTTTTATAAATTTTTAAAATTTGTAATGAATTTTTTAGCCTGGCTTGGATGAGGTTGTTAAAAATTGCCGCGGCAAAAATCTTTTCTTCAGCACTGATATCAACAATGCCATACAAGGAGCAGATCTGATATTTATATGTGTGAACACTCCAACCAAAACTTTCGGCAATGGAAAGGTAAATTTTAAAGAATTTATTATAATTAATAAAATATGTTATTTAAGATTTTTCTCTGTACAGGGCAGAGCGGCAGATCTTAAGTATGTGGAATCGGCCGCTAGGATGATTGCGGAAATTGCAACCAATAACAAAATTGTAGTAGAAAAGAGTACAGTACCTGTAAAAGCTGCAGAAAGCATCATGAATATTCTCCAAGCCAATCACAAACCTGGTGTCAAATATCAGGTAGGGAGATTTGTCTAGAACATAAACTTAAGAAAATAACATGCATTGCTAGTTGCAAAAGAAATTTTTTATTGATGATTGTTTAGATACTATCAAATCCAGAGTTTTTATCTGAAGGCACGGCCATTGATAACTTGGTGAATGCCGACAGAGTGCTGATAGGAGGAGAAGATTCTATAGAGGGTGCTGCAGCTATTGAAGCTCTGAGCCAGGTATACCAACATTGGATTCCAAAATCGAACATAATAACAACAAATACCTGGTCTTCGGAACTCTCAAAACTGGTATGCAATGTTATATTTAGCAGTTTCTCATTGAATTCACATTGATATATTACTTCAAATAATTAGGCAGCGAATGCATTCTTAGCACAAAGGATATCAAGCATTAATTCCCTGTCAGCTGTGTGCGAAGCGACGGGTGCTGATGTTTCTGAAGTTGCTAATGCTGTCGGCAGGGATTCGAGGATTGGGCCGAAATTTCTTCAAGCTTCTGTTGGTGAGTAGTCAACTTAGTTACACATGTGTATTTTAATTGAACTGTGAGATAATATCTTATCGGTATATTTAAAGGTTTTGGGGGAAGTTGTTTTCAAAAAGACATTCTCAATTTAGTTTACATCTGTGAGTGCCTTAATTTATTAGAAGTTGCTGCTTATTGGCAAAAGGTAAGATTTTCATTGAAATATTTCTTTTTTTCTATATTAATTATTTATTTTTTAAAGGTCATAGATATTAATGAGTACCAAAAGAATCGGTTCACAACCAAAATTATCGAATCACTTTTTAATACCGTGACTGATAAAACAATTGCTATGTTGGGTTTTGCTTTTAAAAAAGATACCGGTGATACTAGAGAATCTCCTGCAATAACTGTGGCGAAAACACTTTTGGACGAAGGTGCCAAACTTCGCATTTATGATCCTAAAGTTGAAGAAGCTCAAATATATGAAGAATTGACTAGTCCTTGGATCACAGAGGAGCCAGAGTTGATAAGAAAATCTATCAAAATATATTCAGATCCCTACCAGGCGATAGCAGCGACACATGCGATTGTAGTGTGCACTGAATGGGATGAATTTATAGTAGGTGTTCTTCATGACTAATTGTCTAATATCTTACAATGCTGGCTATTAATTATTAATTTTTTTCTTTCTTACAGACTCTAGACTATCAAAGAATTTATAACAGCATGATGAAACCTGCCTATGTTTTCGACGGTCGAATGATTCTTGATGACAAAGCTCTTACAAGAATTGGTTTTCAAGTATTTATTTTTAATTTTAACTTATAATTTTGTTACTTAAAATTTTATTTGATTTCATAAAAATGTTTTAGGTTCATACAATAGGAAAGAAGAACCAGAGGGCAAATCTGAAGAGGTGTTGGGGTGCTCCGAAGCATCTGTAACAAAACATTTCATGTACACTGGCAATTACCTTCTAAACCTTTTTTTTAGCTCATGGGGCTGGATTGTGTATAATAATAATAATAATAATAATATAATATATGCAATACAAACAAAATAGTATATTTAAAAACAAAGTTGTTATTGTATTGAACTCGCTGAGGTTTATGTACAATGAACAAGAAATTCTCATTTCGTTGGTCAAACAATAATCATTAACCAACAAGTTAATAATTAACCATTAACAAGGTAATGAATGGTTTGAGATTAAAGGTCAAATTCAAAATTATCAAATTAAATTTAAAATGTATAAATCTTAAATTCATCAAAATGTCACAAAAGAATATATCCTTCTTCAAGTGCACTCCTTTCACGATTAACCCTTATATCCTGCCTCTAATGTATTTGCGATGATTGCCCCCTCTCTTCCACAATATAGGTTCTTATCTTAAGAACGATCATCGAAAGCTGTTGACTTCAATATTGAACTTGGTAACGAAGCATTTAATAAAAGCTTTAACATAATGTATAACAACAATACAATCTGATCTTATAGAAATTAATCTGATTTGCTCATGTATATGATTCAAACCTTGTGCAATAAAAATAAAAAATAACAAAAGCACGTCCAATTAAGGATCCACGTGCATTGTTAAAAGTGTGTTATGATTATTACAAATATAAAACGTTTGTTGTTTTGTAAATAATTCAGCAAAAATCAAAAATAATTTTATTAATGTATTCAAATATTGAACTAATATTTAAGAATTGAATAAATATAGATAAAAGTCTGAAATTATAAAGTATTTATTAATGTATTATTTATATGTACTTTTATGCCATTTTATATTTATTATGTTATGTGTATCTTGTGTTTTGTGCAATTGTATATTGATATTAAGTATTAATAGAAATGTTTTTTTAAAAATATATTTGTTTTGTTAGTGTACTTTAAAATTACAATACAAACTGGGCCATCAGATCATTTTACCTAAATTTTTGCATTCATGTTTCGTGAGTTGTAACGGATTTGAAAATTTGTCCTTGTGAACTATATTATTATAAACAAAAATTTAATTTTGGGATTTAGTGTGCTAATGCCATGAAATCACATCCACACACTGGTTGTGTGGTAGCACCAGAGGGACCTAATTACTTTTTTTGGGACTGATTTTAGGATACTAAAATGCTTTCCCCTTCCTATATTCTTATCTGCTATGACCCCCTAGCCTTATTTATTTACCATGCATATTGGAAGCATTCACTCCAAATCGCTGTTATTCTGTTCGAGGTGCACCAATTCCATTCAAAATTTGACAGTGCTTATCTGGGTTCAATTTTAACTTCACATAAGTAGAAGATATTAAAGCAAGAAAAATAGGAAACAGAGCGAAAACCACACTAGCACTCTGAATTGCATTACAAAAGGTACATTAAAACAGAGTTCTGTATGGATGAAGTTGCAGGTAAAAGCTAGTCATTAATAAAAATGTTAGAAAGAACTGGTCTTACATAAATTCCTTGCAAAACTTCTGAAGTGACCAATATTTCTTTTGATTTATAGGATGGCACTTTAACCAGTTGACAACTGGAGTCAAATAACTTCAACCATTTTATTAGTTAACATGAACACCATAGGAATCATGTTTGACTTTGTTGAAGGCCTTAGAGATGTCTGTAGAATCAACGACCTTTATAGAAATAATGTAAAGTGTAAATATATTGTTTCCTATTATTATTTGAAAGTTTTTATATTTAAATTTGTCCGCAATGACAAAAACTTAGTTTCAGGAAAGTGCAAGAAGACAAATACAAGAAATGGATACTCAGAAGATTCATGATGATTGATCCAACTTATTTTTTATCATGAAATTGTACATACTTGATCAACCGTCATGGACGTCTTTGGTGTATCCATTTCTTGGATTTGACACTAAAAACTAAGTTGGATCAATCATGAATCTTGAGTATCCAGTTCTTGTATTTGATTTCATACCCCCTTCCCGAAACGAAATCAATCAATTTCTTTTTAGATAATGGAAGTGTTTTGTCATTTCAATGAAATGAATTTTGCCTAACGTGGAAAAAGGTTGTTTTCTATATATTTTGAAAAAAAAAATTCTCCCGAGTTTATTTTTAAGGTCAATTTGCAAAGGTTTGAGATCAACACTGTCCAGCCAGATAAGTGAAGATGGCGATTTAAAAGTTGTGCTCAGCTTTTCTTGTCAACCCACGGGTGAAAACCTCAACACGTCTTTCGTGCCGAAGCTGTTATAGATACAACACACAGTTATGAAACTAAGGCAGAGCCTTAGATTTAAGGAAGTTTTTAGAATTAAACAACCCGTTTTATTATATTCGACAACGACTATGTAGAAAAGGCTCGTGTCCTTTCGCACAAAATTCAAACCTTTTTATTTTTTTTTATTTTGTTTTCTCGTACGGAAAATCTGGTGATTTTTTTTGGGTCGAAACGATGTCTTCTTCTCTAACACTCCTATCTGCCATCTGTGCCCTTATCTGCTTTCGTCCTTATGTTCAAGGTAAGCATAAACAAAAGGGATTATTTATTCCTGCAAACAAGTCATAAGATTGTTTATTTCTAGTTTTTCTTTTTCCTTAAAAAACCAATCATAATATGCAATATAATTATTATTTTTAAAACTTAACTTCAGAGCCTTTATTACAGCTGTAATGTTAACTCTTGATGTTTTATTCATGAAAATCCCATGCCGAATAAGAAAAAAAACTTCAAAAATTGTTTTAAAATCGCCTGTTTTGTTTATTGTATGTTCTGTCATGACGTTTGTGTTTATCATTTTGCGAGGGGGTTGTTAATTAATCTTCTTCGTCATAGATGTTATCTCTTAAAACAACACAATTCTTACTTTAGTGCATAAAATAATTAATTTTAATCTCTTGTCAAAGCTTGGTTCAAGGTCGGCGATTATATACTAGTGTGTAATTTAATTATACCACATACCAAACATGGTCCATATTTTAGCAATCTTGGTATTTTCTTCCATGTGCTTGCCTCACTTATTTGCATAAAAGATGTCTTAGAACATAATTAGACATTTTATATAATTTCATCACTGTGATATTTTTTCGGTGTACACGGACATATTTAAACCTAAATTAAGATATGGGTACTTTCTTGGTAGAAATAAGTTAGCGAATTGAAGCCAATTAAATAGAATTGCTGACTGGTTTGTTTTTCATTAAACAGGGAAAAATGTAGAATTTGCTGTAAACAGTTCCATTTCCCTCCTTTATTCATTCCATTATTCAATGAAATGTGATGAAAAAGAAAAAGCTGCACCAATTTTTAATGCTTTCACTTTCATTTATGATTAATTCACATTTGTTTGTTTATGACCATTTTCCATTGTTCTAATACATTAAAGGTGGATAATTAGTCTTGTATTGTCATTGGTAATATTGTAGTTTGAAAGTCTACGCTCATCTTGGTAACGTCTTTTATTTGATCAGATTTGTCAAAAATTTTGGTGTTTTCCCATCTTCATCGTTAGATAGGTGCATGTACGTATATCAAGGTGACCAAAGCCAAACAAACTAGAGGTTTTCTTCTCTTGTTATCTTGGTCTTTTCTGACATTTCGGTTGTCAGGATGTTCAAAGTTAGAGGTTTTTGTCTACTGACACTTGGATTTTTTTGACATTTCAGTATTTTCCCGCTTTCAAAGATGTATGCACGTACATCAGGGTGATCAAAGACAAAAACGTTAGAGTTTTTTTGTCTCCTATCTCTCAAGTCTTCTGTGGTATAGGAACCCACACTATCAATGAGTACCTCAAGTACAAAAAGAAACTGAAGGAATGAATTCACTCATTGGACACAGCAATCCAAGAATCTCCTAACAAATTTTGGAAGGAAAGAAGTTACAGAATGTATTAAAGGAAGCAGGAATAAACTGTGAATTCTAACAGGATTCTTAACAGGACATTGCAAGCTAAATGGACACTTAAAAAAGATTGGAATAATCCAAGACGGCACATGCGATTCTGCAAAGAGGCAGAGGAGACACCAACCCACATACTAACAAACACACACAAGTGGCTTTGGAATGTACAATGTGACCATAGAAGAGATTCAACCACTGAAACCACTGGGCCTACTAATCAAGTTCCTTATTACACCCCGACTAATACATCTACATCTCCTATTATTCTCTCGAATTTTTCTGACATTTTACCATTTTTCCCGCCTTCAGAGAGTGATCAAAGACAAACAAGCTATAGCTTTTTGTCTCCCAGTCTTTCATATTTGTCTGACATTTCGGTATTTTCCCTGTTCATCTTAAGAGTTGTGTGTGCATACATCAGGGTGATCAAAGACAAACAAAGTTGTAAGTATGTACATTAGGGTGATCAAAGACAAACAAGCTAGAAGTTTTTGTCTCCTATTCTCTGATATATCTGATGTTTCGGTGTTTTCCCATCTTCAGAGAGTTGCACGTGCATACATTAGGGTGAACAAAATCTAACAAGCTAGTGTCCTATTTCTTGGATTTATCAGATATTTTCCCATCGGGAGGATCAATGATGAACAAGCTAGAGGTTTTTTTCTCATATTTTGCTCCGATTTGTCATCCGCTTGAAAAAGCTTGAGTGGCAACAGTAGTAGTTGATCTATTTATTTTGCCAGTCTTGTCCATTTTATATATTGTTTGTCTTTGATGAATCTGGAGACAATCAAGCAATAGGCTGCGTAAGATCATGTATTTACTTGGTCTTCCTTCTGATGCAGCCTGAGTTCTTCCAGTGGTTGTGTGGCTTATAAGACTTTATATAATTAGTTCGGATAAATTCATTTTAAATTGTACAAATACATTCATTACAAGAAAAAACCTTTTTGATTTCAGGATTGAAGTGCTATTGCGATATATGTGGCCAAGAGACGAATTATACATGCGAAACAGATGGATATTGTTTTACGTCTATAACTCTAGACATGAACACGCAAGAAAAAAGTCACTCTTTCAGGTACTCCTCTTAGTGCAATGTTTAAATTTTAGCCTACCAGTTATTTTATAGAAATAAATGTGTATATTTGAATATTTAAATCAATTTTTAATATAATCGTTTTGTTTGACCATTTGAAAGTCAACCAAACAAATCAATGTATATTTTTGTATACAAAAACTAGTTTATGTTAGATAAATTGTCATATTTTATTCCTTTGTCAAAAAATGACTTATTAAAACAAACAAAAACTATCCTGACTAAAATAGAAAAAATAGTTAATAATATGTAAAATTTCTACATTCTAAACTGGGGGTCATCTGATTTGTTATTTTGGAAATTCGGCTGTCTTCTAATTGTCTGATTGAATTGACGTGATTGAAAAGATGCCTGGACAAGAGTAAGTGGTTCCCGCCCGGCAACCCGAGGCAATGCTTGAAGCGAATCAGCTGCTGTTCCGAATATGACTATTGTAATGCAAAGCAAGATGGCAAACCGAGAGGTTGGAATAAAGAATTATACCACAAACCGATTAGATTCCATTCTAAGCCTACAAAGCGTCCAGGTAAAGCGATGAAGACACCTTTTTTCATTGCGTGCAGACTAACTCACTGACTCAATAAGTCTGCCCTAGGGATTTTGACATGTCAATTTATCAGCTTTGTTTAGAAAGTTTTATGTACACATATGAAACATTATTACATTTTTTTTACGTGTCAGAATTAATTTTATTATTTTTAAATTCATTTTAAGCTTAGAAAATTAAAAGGATAATAAGAAAAAATATTATAATAGATTTCTGCAAATAGTTAACTTTTGACATGTGAGGTTCCAAAATTCAAGGATCCTAAAATTTTCTGACATTGAAAGTTTGACTTGTTGATTTCATATGATATATTAAAACCAATCATGCTAGTAGTGATTGTTTTGGGACTTGTATGTCCATTGAGGGAAAATAGAATCCTTTGGAGCTGGGGATGTTATAAAAAAGTCAAACGCTTCATTTTATATAACTATCTTAAAACTAAATATATTAATTTATTGATTAAACAATTAATTTAGTACTGGTACAAATTTTATTAAAAGCAGCTTTGTGCTAAAGGTTGATCGAATAAATGCTTTTTATCTATTTTTAATTTTTAAAAGGGGGTTGATTGTACTGTAATGCCGTTAGTCATAAATATTTATTCTATAAATGAGCTTAATGTTGCAACAAAATAGATAAATGAATAAAAAAAATCAACTTAAAAAAATGAAAAATATTTAAAATAATTATATGATATAATTTTTTAAACCAAAACCAGAAAAACTTATTTTTTTTTTTTTGCTTTTGAAGAAACAATTCAAAATTCATTCTAAACTTTATTCATGTGTAAAGTTTTCTATTAAAATTGATTTATTGACATGTTTTGTATAAATAACAATCTTTTGACCCAAAGAATTTAATCTGAATCGTTTAATTAATTTTTTAACAGTTTGTTGTGTGTGTTTTGAGTTTTTACTTTTAGTCTGTGTATTTTGATTTAAAAGAAAAAAATAACTGTACAAAAACAAAAAAACAATTTTCTCAGCAGTTGAGATTCAATTTCTCTGACATATCCGATTGCGTAACGTAATTATATTTTTTTCTGTACCTGTAACAAAATGGCTCAGGTGCTTGGAGAAAGATGTTACACACCCTCCTGAGAATCCCATTGCCTGTCATTACAATGGTAAACGTAACGACTCGTTTGTCATCGAATGTTGCAAGGAGTACGACATGTGCAACAGGAACAGAATACCTAGCTTGCACGTCAGAAAGAAACCAGGTAGGTTTGCCAGTGAGTGGAGGGCCATCAATGTTTCTGACTCTGCATGACCCCTTCGCTCTCTAATGTTTCTTCACTGTTAAATATATGGAAGCACTATTTCTTCAAACCTTTTATTGAATAACAAATATACAAATAGCTAATTCGCTTAGTTGTTCTCTATATTTCCAGGCTAATTTCTCATCAAATGGTATTCTCTTGTAAGTTCAAGTGTTTAAATATATTGTAGGTTTTTTTTGAAGGAGAATATCATAAAGATGGTGTTGGCATAATTATTTATCAGCTGTATCTCTTCAAGCATGAAGCACGAAGTAATACTAAAAAGCTATATTTAATCTTATAGTGCTAAAAATTATGTTGTTCTTCAGTAGAGTAAAAGAAATCCTTTACATTTCAATTCTTTTTTTTTCTTTTTATATGTTTTTCTTCTGGCCATTCGGATTTAGAAGTTGCACGAACAAGTCTGGTCACATTCCTCCTGAAAATCCTTTTTGGTGTATGCAAGTGACTCCTGAATGCACCCCAAATATTTGTTTTTTGACTACCTGTTGTAAAGATTTTGACTACTGCAATAGAAGAAACGGAACTTTGTTAATCCCAGGTAAGTTACATTGGGATTTAATTTGGACCATGTACCTTGCGTTACATTTCAATAAGGGCTTTCTGTCCATCACTATGTCACAAAACTTCATATTCACTTGTCCAGTTTCATCTAAGCTTATGATATTATTTAACAAGGAAGATATTGATATTCAAACATATTAACAACCCTTCTGTACAATTTTTCAAAGAGAAATTAATGTTTAGCCTGATTTGGTTAAATTCATAAAAATTACAGAATCTAATTTATAATCCATCTTTTAATTATGATCATATATCTTTTATAAAAAGGTTATTTTATGAAATGGTGGCTTAATAACTGTTCATGAAAGTAAAAATCAGTCAACATTGTTAAAAGAGTTAATGAAAGGAAAAAGCAAATTTTATAAAACCTAACATCAATGCTCAAATCATTTTCGATCATACTGGCCTGCTTATCCTCGCTGATGTGGTCTGCGTTTTTCAGCCTTTCATCGTCTTTAGTCCGTCACCTTACAGATCTCAACAAAAAGTCTCACAATTTTAGAATTGCTTATAAGTTTCAATTCCAGTCATGGTTGGAATGAAATTTCTTTAACAGATGACTAGAGGAAGTCTTTCAGAGATTGATATAACTTGAAGCATATTGTGCTTTGATGAAATTAGAATATTACGGATCTTATTAACGCTAAAATAAAAATAAAAATTTGGCTTACAACATGCACTGTCCTATTGTACTAGGTTTGGCAGTCCACGTTTTAACAAAAAAATTCTCTACTTTAGTAAGATATCTCTAAGATGTTACACTAGAATATTTTTTAAATTTAACTAGTACATTATATATGTCAATTGATCATTGTGAGAGACAAGTTTGAAATTATTAAAATTTCAAAAATATCATGTGTAATGATGTATGTGCACTTAATTATGGTTTGGCGAATTCTTTTGTTCTATTTGTTATGATTTTTATATTCTATTGTTTGGCAGGCTAGCTGCCCTGAACTGAAATCAGTGTAGGATCGTAGACAAACTGAATATTGCAATTTCTAGATTGAATCTAATATCTAGAAAGATTTGTGAAAAGCAAAACTATATCACTTTGCTTGTTATTTTAATTTTTTTTTTTTTTGCATTTCGCTCAGTGCAAAATTATTTGTAATTTGTATAACTTTTCAGTTCCATTATAAAATAAGTAACACACATCAGGAGAATAAGGTAAAATGTGTGATTTTTTAAAACTTGCTTTAACACATTTAGTTTTCCTGGTTTTAACAAGCTATTGAGTCAACTTTTTTGGAGATTAGGATAAGCCAAGTAGGTATACATTACCCAAGAGTTGTGCAAATTAATGCTTCCTTTTCACATATCTTAAATCTGTACGATATTTACACATAATAATAAATACTAATAATGTTGTACTGATGTTTAAACATTTAACACCTTAAGTTTGCTGCATGATTAAATATCGTATGCATGTTAATATAATGCATAGTGTTGTTATAAATACATTAAAAACATGACTATTTGCTATATAAAATCATTCTTAATTTGGTTTTATCAATTTTCAATTTTAAATGTAAAATAGAATGGATAGATGGAGCTGGAAGTGTAGCCGGCAGTTTAGGAACTTGGGAGCTTGTTCTTTTCATAGCTGGGCCGACGTGTATGATCTGTTTGATCATCATGCTTATCCTCACCCGTTGGAATCCTTACAAAAGATCAAGGATGCGATATCATTGTCCCGAACCGATGGAAGGCCCAGAACAACCGATTCTCGGTTCTGTTTCTCTGAGAGACATGATAGACATGACAACATCAGGCTCTGGTTCAGGTGATTAATTTTCATTAGGCTATTATTTTGAAAATGGTAGGGTTTTATGATATACGTCATGATGGTACTTTTAAACTTTATAATAAACTTAATTGCGGAAATAGAAACTAAGAAAGACTGATTAAAATAATTTGTTTAATTTGTAGGACTTCCTCTACTCGTACAACGAAGCATTGCCAGGCAGATACAACTTGTCGATACAATAGGTAGAGCTTACCTGACGGAATAGTTAAAAATTATTTACTTATTTCTGAATTTTTTTTAGGGAAAGGAAGATTTGGTGAAGTTTGGAGAGGAAGATGGAGGGGTGAAAATGTTGCTGTTAAAATATTCTCCTCGAGGGAAGAAAGATCTTGGTTCAGGGAAGCAGAAATCTACCAGACAGTTATGCTAAGGCATGACAATATTTTAGGTTTTATTGCAGCCGATAACAAAGGTAAAATATAAGTCTAGAAAATTTAGAAAATAAAAGTTATTGAAACAAAAGAGCTACTTGAAGAGACAAATGTTTTCATATTTATTAATAATCAATTTAACATGTTTTCAGATAATGGAACATGGACACAATTATGGTTAATAACGGATTACCACGAACATGGTTCCCTTTTTGATTACCTCAATAGAACAACAGTAGATGTGCCAGGAATGATTCGAATGGCTCTTTCTATTTCAACAGGATTAGCTCACCTCCATATGGAAATTGTCGGAACTCAAGGTAACATTGTTAAAATTTGTAAATTCTAACAATCTTTTAAATGAACTATTTTGAATATATCAGGGGGTTTGGTTTGAAAGAAAAAACCATTGTAATTTTAATTTTTTGTTTCAGGTAAACCGGCAATTGCTCATCGTGACCTTAAATCCAAAAACATACTTGTCAAAGCAAATGGAACATGTGCCATCGGCGATTTAGGCCTAGCTGTAAGGCATGACGTCACAACTGATACTGTTGACATACCTCTTAATAATAGAGTTGGTACTAAGAGATACATGGCACCTGAGGTAAATCATAAGTTTTAACAAATTGTAATACACTGCTCCCAAAAAAACTTGGAAATTTTGATTTCTTTTTTTAAAGTGACAATGTTTGGGCCATTTATTTGTTTTTATTCTTTAAAAATAATTTAATAATTTTTATTAGGCAGAAAGATTTGTTTTTGCTGCCAGTTGTGAAGCAAACCTGCTTTGAATGTGTAAGTTGATTTAAAATCCTAGATACTGTCAATCATCAAAAAGGGCATTTAATTCTTTAAAATTGCCTTTATTCATTTTTATATTGGTGATACAAAACAAAACAATTACAAATGCCTGTAATCAGTGAGCAAGTAGAAATTGGGTTGCCTGAAATTATGGTCTGTTGGACATTCAGTGGTTCTGAAAGCTAAGTGTACTCGAAGACCAGGATTGTGGGGGGATCATCCGACAACCAACTTACTAGATTGCACACTCTAAGAAATCATTATTACACTGCTTCCACAATGTCTAAAAGACTTCAAACCATGAGGGATGTGTGTGTTAGCACTGAAAGAGTAGACTTACAGAAATGAACATCTCAGAAGGACAGAGAAAGCTTGGCCCATAGGGCATAAGCTTCAAATTGACAAAAAAATATAATGGATCTTTCCAACACTCTTTAGCAAATTCCAAAATATAAATCAAATAAAAATAGTTGACCGCAACTTTCAAAAGTAACCAAAACGGATTTTCTGTATCAGACTATTTTGCACAAGCTGATCGAAGTTCCAAAAAATGCAGGTCTGTCCTTCTCCAAACCTGGTCCAGAAAAAAATAAGTTCTTTCATTGTCGTGAGTGGGCTTTGAGCCGATGATGCCACAAGTATACAGTAAGGCTTAATATGGCCATGCTGAGAAGATTGGAGTGTGTAATAAGATCAAGAGGAGGTAACACAACCTATTAAAGATTGTTAACTTGGCTTTGTAATGTTTTATGTTCATACATAAAAGTGATTTTTTATCAGTAAATAGTTGCTTTCGAGAAGTATTTTTACTCTAACTAAATCTTTTAATAAATATCTGAATTATAAAAAGGAGTGTTTATATTACCGAAAAGACAAGTACATACAAAAATCAAAATTTCAAAATGGAAACATTTTTTGTGGAGCAGTGAAGTTGTAAATTGTCAAAATTTTACTATTAAATAAAATTTGTGTATTTATGCTAGGTGCTTGACGAATCTATGAACATGAATCATTTTGATTCTTTTAAAAGAGGTGATGTGTACGCCTTCGGTCTCATACTATGGGAAATCGCGAGGCGGTGTAATGTCGGTGGTGGAATTTATGAAGAATACCAGTTACCTTTCTTTGACCTCGTCCCCTCAGACCCTACAATTGACGAAATGAGGAGAGTAGTCTGTATAGACAGGCAAAGACCTAGCATTCCCAACAGATGGCAATCCTGTTTGGTAAGACTATCTTTTAATTAAAATAATTAATCATATACTATAAATTACATTTCACCTACTAGTATATAAATACTATTTCAAATACTATATACATACTATTTCACCCATTACTATTTCAACTATTAAATACTACTATTTCAACTATTATGTATGTACTATTCCATATACTGCTACTTCAAATACAAACATACTATTTCACCTACTACAATATACTTTTTCAACTACTATATGTATACGTACTGTGTTAATTGCTATTTCAACTACTAAATACTTACCATTTTACCTACTACTGTATACATACTTTTTCACCTAGTACCATACACTTACTATTTCAACTTCAGTATGTAAACGTACTATTTTAACTACAATGTGCATGTTATTTCAACTACTAAATACTTACTATTTTACATACTACCATTTCACCTGCACACTAAACTATATACTTCCTATTTCAACTAATATATACATACTATTTCATCTACTACATACTTACTATTTCACCTACTACTATGTACTTACTATTTCAACTACTATATGTATATGTACTGTGTAAATTGTTATTTCAACTACTAAATACTTACCATTTTACCTACTACTATATATATATTTTCTCACCTACTACCATACATTTACTATTTCAACTACAGTATGTAAACGTACTATTTTAACTACAATGTGCGTATTATTTCAACTACTAAATACATATTTTACATACTACTATTTCACATAATTTACCTACTAATATATACATACTTTTTCACCTACTACCATACCCTTACTATTTCAACTAGTAAATACTTATTATTTTACATACTACTATTTCACATAATTTACCTACTACTATATACATACTTTTTCACCTACTACCATACACTTACTATTTCAACTATAGTATGTAAACGTACTATTTTAACTACAATGTGCATATTATTTCAACTACTAAATACTTATTATTTTACATATTACTATTTCACATAATTTACCTACTACTATATACATACTTTTTCACCTACTACTATACACTTACTGTTTTAACTACAGTATGTGTATGTACTATTGTAACTACAATGTGCATATTATTTCAACTACTATATACTTATTATTTTACATACTACCATTCCACCTGCACACTAAACAAAAACTTACTATATCAACTAATGTATACATACTATTTCAACTACTACATACTTACTATTTCACCTACTACTATGTACTTACTATTTCAACTACTTAATACTTACTATTTCACTTTCTATTTCACCTTAATAATAAAATGTCTTGGATGTTAGGCCCTTCAGGCAATGTCACGTGTTATGAAGGAATGCTGGTACCATAATGCTGCAGCACGATTGACTGCTTTGAGAATAAAGAAAACGTTAGCTAACCTCGCAGCAACGGAAATACTCAGGATGTAATATATATATTATAATATATATATACAATTTTATTGAAAAATGTATAAAAAAAAGAAGCACAAATGAAAACCAACTAAAAACTTCTTTTACTTGGGCGATTGGTTTTCGTTTGTGGTTTTTTTTCTTTTAATCTTGTAAATATGAGCAGTTGTGGTGCTTTTTATAAATATACATTTATTGGGATAAAAATTTGACTAATAAAAATAAGTGAAAATTCAAAAAAAGCCTAAACCATGTCCATTGCTCTATGCAGACGCAATGTAAAATACTCTAGACTGTGTTTTTACAAATTGAATTACTTAACATTTTATATATGTAATATTTTGTAAAAGAATTTTATTATACAAAATAAGATCTCTTGTTTTTAACACATTGATTTTTCTCTAGTTTACAATTTGTTTAGTACAATTCTGTTTTTGAATTGATACACTTTTCTCTTTTTATGACTATAAATTTTTTATAAAGATTCTACGTGTTAATTAAAATTATATTTTCTAAAAGTTGTTAGTAAACACAAAAAAAGTTATCACTTTATTGACTTGTTGTATTGTAAATAATTAACCAGCTTCTTCCATTTTTTAAAGATATTTATAAAAAAAAAAAGAAAAAACAATATAGCATATGAATATTTGCAGATAAATTTAAAAAATGCATTGTAATTCAATAATCAATCTGGTCATTATAATAGTTTTCTCCAGAAAAATTTTCCAGAGTAAGCGCAAATGTTTTTATAATACTTTTTAATATTAATTGTATATATCTTTACAAAAAAATTAAAAATAAACCCATTTCATTTTTTATTGTTGTAAAACATTGTTTTTGATCCATCCTTATGAACAAATGTGTAGCAGTTTAAAACTGCGTGGATTTTTTATTTAAATTTTGCTTTATGTAAAGTGCCATATTTATTTAAATAATAATTTCAAAAAATCAAATAAGAAAGCCAGTTTGGTTTGTGTTATTTTTCACCAAACTAGCTATACCTAATCCAGTTTTTTTGCAATATCTTAATTTTTTTGAATAAGAAGCCGAGAAACCCAATAATTATTTATTTACAATGCTCAGAGGCTAAAGGCCTAAGGGGACAAAAGTAGAATGATAATGGGACACCGACGTGCAGTGGATTTCAGTCTCTTTTGTTGGCTACAGTAGGAAGATTGCTTTCTTTGTAAATAAAAAAGAACAAAAAACAACAATGCTAAGGATTCCTGATACAGATCTTAAGGGATGTCTGTCTTAAACGTTACTTTCTTAAAAAATAAAAATTGCAGAGAATTTTTAAAAATTATTGTGGATACAAGGAACTAGAGGAGTTCCCCTGAGCACCAGCTTTACAAGTTATTGTACTTCTTCCTGGCTCCATTCTTGAGAGCTCACTTCAACACAATTCAATTTAATTGAACTCATTAGAAACTCATTTTCAAAAGGGGTTGAGACAGATTCAGGATCGCCGACATCAATTCCGTCCTGGACTTTCCATTTATATGATGTAAAGGTGATCGAGGCCAGAGAACCTCCCCCAAGATGCACAACTTGTGGTGAAATAATCACCATCAAGCATATTCTGTCAACATGCAGAAACTACGAAGACCTTCGTGTCAAACATAAGCTTGGAAACAATGTGACCGAAATTTTGAAAGATTCCCCAGCTAACATTAGAAAGCTTTTTGAGTTCCTAACTGAAACTGGGTTGACCGATAAGGAGGGCAGGGCGGCTTTGGGTGTGGGCGTGGCTCCTGGGGGCTGGGCACGTGGGCTGGCCTCTGGGTTGAGTTTGAATCCCGGAACTTGGGAGGGCTGCGGATGCTGGCACACCATGCGCAGCCCTCTGAGAAGTCTGCCACTGTCTCAAGGTCTTGTGTGGAGAGGAGCTGGTCTGGGTGTCTGGTTCTTGCCTGGTCTTGTGGTGTCCAGTTCGCTGTGGGGGTGCGCCCGCTCTTGATGTCCCTGCCCCTCCTGGCTTATCGCTCTCTGTTTTCTTCTCTCATCGATTAATTCATCATCAAGGCAGTTTTGACCCATCGTTGTTGTATGCCTTTATAATTAAATAAATTTAAAAAAAAAGGTGACCGACCAGCTGTTATTCAACAATATATTTTGTAGGATTGGGGATGTGGTCCAAAGAATGTTCTGGTGTTGTGATCACATATAGAATTGTATATACTGTGATATGTACAGTTTATTAATTTGTGTATGTATGTAGATATAAATGTAATAAGGCATGTAATTGTGCCCTTTGAGAACTATTTGTCCCCTGTTCTGTACCTATAGCACACTGAGATCTGGTTCATCAAGTAACCTGGTTAGTATGCCCAGTTTCAGTGGTTGAATTTCTTCTACAATTAAGTTGTACCTCCCAAAACACTTTTTCCTGCGGGTAAGTGTAACACCAGTTTGTTAGTAGGTGTGTTGGTATCTCCTCTACTTTTTTGCAGAATCTGTACTTGCCGTGTTGGGTTATGTTAATCTTCAGATGCCCATTTAGCTTGCAGAGTCCTGTCAGGAGAGGATCAATGGTGGGATAGCGAGAACCCATCGGCAATAAGTGTGAGGGGCTGAAACTTCATTGTTTGTAAGCTTCAAGAAAAAAAAGTACCATTATCCATTCCGTGAGCAAAGGCAGTCAGACTTCCTTGCATGGTAATCTTAAGCCCAAGTCTGCTACTATTTTTATTATTCTTTTGATACAGAGGACTACAATGGCTGATTAGTTAGGGCGACACTTATTTGCCACTACTCACACTAGGTTTGAATCCTGCCTCAGCCCTGTGATTTAATGCTTTTTAATTGAGAATAGCACAAAAAAAGTAATGTAAATTGGTTTGACACCTCATCGACAATACATTCAGAAGTTGTGCTTAATTAAGCCCTCCTGTATGATCTCATTTGCTGTAACAATATTTTTCTAAATGAAAAGTAAAAGGAAAGCAAGTCAACAAAACATTGAACAATTAACAATATATATTTCTTTATACCATCAGTTTTTATACAATTCACCAACTTTCAATTACAATTTAATACAATTTTAATGTTATTTCATGTTCATTGAAACCTCTTTCCATTTAATTTATGAGTTTTGTAGTAAACTGACATAATTTGGATTTAACACAAACTCCAATATTTTTTCTGTTTAGGAAAAAGGTCGTTTACTTCTGGATAAAGGCACTATTCATCTACAAATTTTCAATATTTCTCTTTTGCCGTTATTTAAAGTAAACAATCTCTACTCAAATACTACTTACAAAATGTTATTTGGCCACAAAAAAATACATTCAAGGAAATTATAATTAAAAAGAAGGCACTGCACACAAAAATTAGTTCATTTTTTAGAGAAAATATGGCCCAAGTAAAATATATATATTTACAAAATATTTATTTACAAATTATAAATATATAGTATAGAATTCATTTGTGAATAACAATATTTTTTTTTTCTTCAATATTATTAAAATATGTTAAAAATCTGTGTGCCCAGTCCAGTCACACACGAGGTACAATATGTAAATTAAATCTACCAACTTTTTGCCTTATTTAACACTTTCAAAAATATGTTTGAAGCCAGACTTCAAAATTATTATTATTTTTTAAATAAAGGGAATGAACATTTTCAACCTGTTTGAAATGGAAATCAATGATAAGAATATAGCTATTTTATATGAAAGAGTATATAGAAAAGTTTATTTTATTTAAAATAGCTTTGCCTGACTTGACTGGACTATCATAATATACATTTTAATTCTATTAAATAAATAATAATTGTTGTGTGTGAGAGATAAAATCTATTTACAATTTTTCTAGATTTAATATTTTTATGTACAAAAGACTTCGGTTGTAATAAATTAAAACTAAAAATATATAATAATAAATAACTATTAAAAGATTGAGTGATTTATTATTTATATAATACTTATAATACAGTCTATGTACATTCCTTTCATATAAAATAATTATTGTAATGCAGCATAGCAATTACAAAATAAACAATTTTTAAAAGCACAATTATGAATTGGTACTTGGAAAGATGGGAGTAAAAGAGGAAGAAATTGCTGACTTTTTATCACAGATATCTTCATGTGGGTTATAAATGTGTAAACTTGGAAACCGATTTTTGTTTTAGAAAAATCACCTCTGAAATTAATATCAACAGGTCTCCAAGGCCACATGATAAGCTCATTGTAATTAGCATTTTTTTTTTTTTTAAGTTTAGTGTAACTTGTAAGGATTGTCCTAAATAAACATTGCAATTCTTGTATATAAATGTAAACTATTTAGGCCGATTTTTGTTATTCTCGTTCAACACCAGTCAGCCATATAAGTAAAATCTTTAAACAAGTCCTGTTCTTCGGTAGTTAACATCCGAGGATCTTTCGGTGGTGTAAGTTGGGGTATTTCCGACGTAAATTCTTCATCAAAATTACTCACATCCTCAACTGATGTCTGAAAAACAGATCAAATAATCAAAAATAAGTCATTATAAGTTTGATTTGTACAACATACCACTGTTGGAACAAAAGGCGGTTTGACGTTTCTCATTAAAAGCTCTTCCCATTGGATATTTTTAAAGAATGCCTGTCTTTTAACATCTTCTGCGTCTTTATCGCTTGAGCCTAACCTTCTATCTGGGTTTTTCCTTAATAACTGTGAATTAATTAACTTTTAATTAATTTCAATTTCTTCAATATGAAAACCTGGACGATAAAAAATTTACCCTTCTCATAATTGATATTGCTTCTAATGATAAAAACCTAGGGTATCTGACTTCATCATTGACAATTGAGTCAAAAACTTCCTCCTCGTCGTCTCCTGGAAACGGAGACTAAAAACAAAACATGATTACGGTATTAATTACATTGTAAAATTTTTGAAAAATAAATGAAATCCTACCTCTCCGACAAGCATTTCAAAAATTAAAACACCGAGTCCCCACCAATCGACAGCTCTAGTATAGGACGTTTCTGTTAGAACTTCCGGAGCCAAAAATTCAGGGGTACCACAAAAAGTGCCAGTTCTATCGCCGAACCCCATCCCTTCTTTACAGAGTCCAAAATCGGCTATTTTCACATAGCCTTCGGTGTCAAGAAGCAAATTATCCAATTTCAAATCTCTAGAATAATTATTGCAATTTATTTAACGAGTAATATTTTTAAAAAATGTGATCGAATTACCTGTAGATGATGTTGCTTTCGTGCAAGTATTGCAAACCGAGGACAACACAGGCTGCATAAAACACGGCTCTCGGCTCGGAAAATACATCTGCGTGTATGTGCATCATAAGATCACCTCCAGCAGCATATTCCATAACAAAGCACACATGAGCCTGAAATTTAAAAAATGGTTAATTGATAGCATAAAATAATAATAATAGCAATGTTTGTTAATAAAACTATTTAAAATTTACCAGGGTGTAACAAACATCTACATATTTTGTTTTTTAAATGTCACGAAGGTTAAAGTTTAAAGCAGTTTTGAGTCAATGACATTTAGAATGATACAAACCTAAAACTATCATGCATAATATGTGCATTTTTATTTTATTTAAATTTTGACTTTCAACCAACTTTCAAGGCATCTTTTATTACCTGCTAGCCCTGTTAGCTCTAGGGTGGAAAATTCGTATTGAAAGATGACCTTAAGAAAGAGGTAATTGATCCCAAAAGTCAATCTAGGGTAAACTGTGACTGTACAACACAGAAGCAAAATAAAATTAATTTGAGGCATTGCTCGGATACGAGTTCGATAGAGTGGTAATGCCTGTCGAAATTTATGACAGTAATAATTGAATATATGGGTCATAAATGGTTCTGACGTTTCTGTAATGGAGAAGAGAAAGATCAAAGACCAGCCTCGTTGTGTAACGCCTAAAAGTGATAATTTATTATTGGCATTGGAGGATGTGGACAAATTAACTGTAGCAGATCTATTAGTCACTTGGTTTAAAGGGGAATCTCTCCTCGCCCAGCCTGTATTAAGCTGTAGGGCAATAAATTGCTTCCAAGATGATGTTATGCCACTATCAAGCCGCCATGCTGCTTGTTCTATGTGCGGGCAAACCTCTCCCCTGGTGTCATTAACTGTCTTACACCATATGGTCCTATATCGTCAACAGTCTGCATGCCATCATTTTCGATGCATAGGGTGATTACATTGCCCAGGTAGGCCTGTGGCAAAAGACTCGCACAATTTACCAATATTGTTTAGCAGCGGCAGTTTTGACAGGCTGTGTATGGTGTGATGTCTGTCATTGGAACCTCATAGATTACTGTCGGTGATGTCAGTTACATTGCACAACAATAGAAAGAAGAATTAGATCTCGGACTTCTGTGTTTTACAACTGAATAGCAATAAATAGGCAGGGTTTATTTCCTATTTGCAAAAAGAACGAAACACTACCGTTGACTTCATGAGCAGGATTGCACCATTGTAAGGTCTGTTTGGTGGGATATTCAAGGAATAATTTATTTATTTATTTTAAATAATAATTTATTTATTGGGTGGCCCAGCTAGAGGAAAAACGTCAAACTGTGGTGAATAGACACAGTCGTCTTTCACCATGACAACCTCATGGCTCACACAGCTGTACTCACTCAAGTAAAATTGTCGAGTTAGGTTGGCAACAGTTGCCTGACCCCTCAACACTCTCAAGACCATGCACCTCGACTTTTATTTGTTCCTCTCCCTAAACAACCATTAAAAAGTAGGGAATTTTTGAACAAAAACGCTTTGAAAATTGGACGTATAAATTTCTTCCCATCTAATTCATCAGACTTTTACATAAAAGGGATATTTCTTCTAACAGAATGTTACAGAAAACTAAAGAAATTGTGTGAATGTATTCTTTGTGACCTGTTGTTTCGTAATTTGTTGAAGTTGTGAGGAGCGGTCAAGAGTGATCTTTCTTGACCACTCCCCACGACTTCAACAAATTATAAAGAAATTATGTTTTGGATTACAAGTAAAGTAAATTTATTTTTGAAAGTTTGAACATTTTTTCTGAAAACCGAAAACAACTTATGCACACACACTCAATACATCTTTTACACCCACTTTGCTGAACCTTTAGTCTTGACAGTGACGTTCATCGCAAAAGTGATTAACTAGATTAAATAAATTTTCTTGGTAAATGTACTTGATATGCATTAGAAAATTTGCATTTTTGTTACATCCTGATATAAATGTTATCTGTTTAAAAAAATTAATATTGTTTACCTCTGTTTGGAAACATGCAAATAGGTTGACCAAAAATGGGTGTCGCATGGTGTTTGCAACCTCAAATATTCTTTTTTCAGACAGTAATGACTCGACCTCATCTCTTGCGATAATATCGCCTTTCTTCAAAGCTTTAATAGCAAAATATTCTCCAGTATTTCTATACTGAGATAATATAACCTAAAATCATATTGCAAAATATTATTTTATTTGACACAAATGGCCAAGTGGAATAAATATTTATTATTTGTGATTTAATCTACCTTTCCAAAGTGACCCCTTCCTAGTACACTAAGAAGTTTGAAGTTGTCCATTGAGATTCCTGAAAATTGTGAATGCCTCCTGGACTCATATGCACTATCCCTGTATTCCAAATTTCGAGGTGGTGGCCTATCAAATTCAGGCTATAACAAAATAAAATAAAAAGTTGAAGGAAATGTTAATAGAAGTGCTCGGTAAATTATTCCGACCCCAGAATTCTACTTGTTATATGAAAACTACAGTTGCAGAAACATTTAAGCATTAATAGATTAGAATCTTTTCAAGTTTTTAATAATTGATTAAAAATGGTTAAGAAAATAATAAAATGTTATACAAAAGAATTTAGATAAAATTTATTACAATATAATTTCACAGATGATAAGGCAATTTATCATCGTAAAACGAAGCCTTGGAAAGAGAGTTTCTTACATTATAAACTTGAAGTCTGGAATATTGTGTTCTTACAGTGCTCATCTGGATTGCAAATAAAGTGTACTTGTGTTTGAAAAAGAAGCTTTTGCATCATAAAAAATACATCATACGAACAGTAAAGAATAGTAATGATTTTTTATCATTAAAAACAAATCAGTGCTTACAGGTGCTTAATACAGCTTAATTTTGTTTGGTGAATTCAATACTGCATTTCAAAATGTTGTGAGCAAACAATGAACAACTATTTATCATTTAATTACTATCATGCGCAAGAATTTAAATAGTAAAATAATAAAGAGATGCAAGTTTTTTTCTTACTACTGTCTTTTTGTATAATGATGTACTAATGTATGAAAACGGTTTTTGAAAAGTTTAGCATAAAAAAAGACTAAGGGTTGAATTTGTGAGTTTAGCGGTTTATTTCATCTTACTAGGATGGAAAGGTCGGGCCAGAATTTGAAGAAACAATTAAAGAGGCATTTTGTACAAATAAACATGAAGAAGAAAAGGCTGTAGTTTGATATTTTAAAATACCTGGCTATAAGTGTCATCCTCTAGGGACAGGATACCAAAGATTGAAAAATATATGTATTACTTTTAACTAATATTATAATGTTAAGAAAAAAGATTTTAGAAATGGTTCCATGCAAGAAGAAAAAAATTAGTTTAAAAGTTATCTGGGAATGTTATATTTATATAAATTTCACAACGTATTTGGCCGAAATACCGTACAAAAACAAAACCACGTCCACAAAATTAGTGAGAAAAACTTTGAAACATGTTTAAATCAATAAAAAATGTAATGTTAAAGAAAAATTCATTATATATTTTTTTAAAATAAATTTCATTAAAACTTTAAAAACTGATGTATCCATTGGATAGTATTAATAAAAAGTCAAATCAAAACCTTTGACAATGTAAAGGTTGTGAAAATGCATTATTTTGTAGACGTTTTGTTTTCAGAAGGCGATTTTAAACAAAAAACAAAAACATTCAAAAATAAATAATTTCTCGTCGTTTTAACTTTTTTATGTTTCAGAGCATACCTCGTCGTCAGGTGGGAACTCGATGAGGGGTGAAGGTTGTATCGACACAGGAGTGCTAATGATAGTCCTCGGCAACGGGACTGGCCTTTCTTCCTCCTGAAGGAAATCAAACTCCCTGAGAGCACTTGCCAGCTGGAACCACAACACGTCCCACCCTTCACCAAAACTAATCCCTCCCCTAGAAACTTCAAAAGGTTTCCAATACCCTCATTCCTTCCAGCCAAAAATGTTCGAAAAGTATTGCCGTTTTACCATATCCAGCGGAATATAACAATCTACAGGAGGTGTGCATGTGATACTAACGGTGAAAAAACTCTCAGTGATTTAAAATAATTTATACATAGCATGTGCTTTGGAGGTGCATCTTTATATCCAAAGGGTATTTATATTATTTTTTAAAAGGAGTGAGGATACCAGAAACCAAAAGAAGGGTGAATATAACATATTTACATAGTGTGTACAAACATGCTAAATTTTAATATATACAACAACATTTACCTCTATAAACAAATATGTTTATTTTACTCTTTTCTTTTTCACGATATTAAAATTTTATGTTAATGAATAAAGAAGTCATCATGAAATAAATACTTTGATAAAATGAGAATTAGTTTGTTCTTAAATAATATCTAGAATTTTTTTGCAAATAATAATCTTGTTATTTGTGTTTCAAAAATGAAATGCATATATTTTATTGGGAAGCAAGAACAAAAATGAACTTTAGTTGCAATTCTTATTGATAACACATAACAAAACAAACAAAAATAAGAAGACAAAAACAACAGCAGAAATATGTAACTAATGGTATATAAATCTAAATAATGAAACTCAAAACAGAAATCTCGGACAACATTAAATGCTCAAAACATAAAGTATGTTTAAAATAAAAGAATTTAAAAAAATTGTCAAAATCAATTGAATTTAAAACACGGTTCCCAGATAATTCTTTTACTTATATGAGACTTTATTATGCAAAATATATATTTAAAAAAAATCTACGTTAATCAACAACCAAAAAAATCCTCAAGGAATATGTCTTAAGATAACCTTGGTCAATTTGAGTATCTTTAATTTAAAAAATTTAATATACTACTGTATTATACTCACAGTTGTAGTTTAACGTTATAAAACCAAAATTTACAAGGGTTTTTAAAAGTGAAGCAAACTGAATATTTAAAATTTACCTCGATGTCGAGCCTTGGAGGTGGTGGGGGCGGAGCTGGCATCGTGGGTGGCCTCTTTTTAGAAGCGATACTAGAAGGAATAGGGACAGTATCAGGTGGCAAGGGAGGGAGAACGGCGATTCCTAAGGGTCTTGCGCCTCCTAGTCCTCCGATCGTTGGGTCAGGAGTTTCCCCAGGGGCTTCAGGTTTCTCTACCGGTTCAACTACCCTCACTGAAAAAAATACATGAAAGTTGTTTATAATTATTAAAAAATGATCGATTATGCTCTAAACCACAGAGTGGAAGGGGGGCTATTTAAAAAATTAAAATTAAAAAATATCAGCAACAACAAAACAATATTTTATGTTCATCGTAAGCTATACAATTTTAACTACTTAAACAAGTTTGGTAGTAATTCAATAATATAAATTATGTGTTGTGCTCTAATGAAACAAACTTTTTAATAATTAAGAATAAAGTAAAATGATAGATGGTTTAAGTCGATTGCATCACAAAAATGTGCAACTTATGTTCCTTACAGGAAATGGTGTTTATTCTCTACACAGAATTTTTTGTTTGTGCCTGTGAATTGGGAAAAAAGTGCCTTGACAACTTGCTTGTTCCTTACCATCGAATCTGTAGTGGTAATTATTATTAATATTTCGTACAGCTCTAGCACGGTTATATTTGAAATTATCACAACAAAATGCCATCCCTTTGGCAAGCATGAAGGAAAACGATTTACATTATTACAATCACACAATCCAACAAATAAACAGTTGTGAATATTTTAGTTTAAACGAGATCTTACCAGATGAAGGAGGGCTTTCAGATGGTGTCCTCCCGTGTTGAATTGACGGTGAAGATCTTTTAAGGAGTCTACCCCACGTTGCGACATTTATATTCATTTGGTTTGCTCTTGGGAAATTTTTTCCTTGTTGCTTGAAAATCTTTCTCTGCCTCTGAAGCTTCGGTTTCCTCGATATCATTGGATTTAAGAATTTTATCTGTAATAAATATGTGAATAAGTGTTTATGTATATTCCTAAGTCAATTTCTTACAATAGATTTACCTCAGCAAAAAGTAAACCTTGAGGCTCTAACTGCAAAGCCATACCATGTCTTATATCATCGATGAATTCCTCTAACCGTAAAAATTTAACAGCGCATAATGACCTCCAATCCCTCCAATAAACACCAATTTCTAATTCACGAGATTTAACCAACTCGATTGAAAACCTAAGGCAAAAAACAAAAATTTATTTGAAAATATAAATTAACAATTATTAAAAATCACCTTTGGTCCCAAGCCTGTTGTGAGCAAGGTTTCCAGCTAGTTTGAGCAACGGTTTGATTGTCTAATTTTATTACGGCCATAATTTCATCTAGAAAAGAACATATTCTAAACAGTTTCCAGTTAAACAAAGAGTTACTTATCTTGCATTGAAATATTATATAAACATAAATATGTTACAAATTTTAACAGAAATTTTAACTTACTACTGATTTCATCCTTGACACTGTATGATTTGCTTGAGCTTCTGCCAGTCACCCCTTTTACGAAAGAACGAAGGTCGCCTGGACTAGATGATGAGTCTTTTTCTCTCCTAGAACGTCCTGGAACTTCTTCCAAGAGATCTTGACATCCCATGAGCCTGACTTCAAGTTTTCCTGTTACCGCCGCTGTCCTGTTGAGCGATGAAGGGTGGTTCGACAAAGGCCGATTGGAACTATCGCGGAAAGGTTGCAGACTGGTATACATGACGGGTACTGGGCTTGCTGATTGAACACTTTCCAACTCTTGCTTCAGCAGCATGGCGGTAGAAGAATCCGGTGGTAACTCTTGTCTGCGGAGCTCTAACGATTTGCGAAGAAGGTCTAATTTCCTTGAAGACTCACACAGATTCACTTGCGCCTACGATAAAATCGTTTGAGAACAACATAAAAACATACAACTGGTTTATGTTAAATATATAACTGGCTTAATTGTCTTAACATCTAATCCTCAATGAGAACTTGATTAGAATTTTTCTTGAAAAGTAAAAAAAAGAATGAAGCCTAAATACTCTCTCTTCTTATTTATTTTATGAATTCTCCAGCAATGGTCCATGGTCGAGAATTTTATTTTGTCATAATCCTTTTTAAATTAAAAAAATTAACGTTCAAATTGACTATTTAAGACTAAGATCTCATCATTAAATTATTAAACTTTTATTGAACAAAAACTTTCTGAAAAATATTTATTTTAGCCTTAGAAGAACATGGCAAAATTTCATACAAAATAAATCTGCATCTGGTTTAAAATTATACGCAAACGAATAAAATGAATCTGGAAAATTGCCAATGAGCAACAAAAACAACTCAAAACACTTTATTTATTTTAATCTTTGTTTATAAAATGAAGTTATAAACAAAATATAAAGAAAATTAAATATTTGACAAAGATTTTACAGATTTTTTTAAAATGTTCCCTTTTATACATGAACTAAAAAATATTGATTTTTAGTGGGGCACAATATTAACTTAGTTTATATTAAAAAATAATAATAAAACAATAAAATGCTCTTTTGTGTTTATTTTAACAACAAAACAAACGTAAAATATCCAACCAACTTCTGCCTGTCATATAAAATGGGTGCATGAACATGAAATTTTTGGCAAAATTGGTGTTATTTAATAAAGAACATGAGTAAAAACCAACAAATGTTTTTAACAAAAGGAACTTTTAGATTAAAATATTGTTCTGAGAAAAAAAAACAGTCTTTTTTAAAAATAAATTTTTAACTTAATATTTATTAAATCTTAAGCATATTTTCAAATAAATCATTAGAAAGCATTATTAAGATGTTGCTTAATTAAGCACTAGTAGTAATAAACAATACATTTTACTTCCAAACATCCATCTCAAACTCATTTAAAAAAAAAATCAACTTTTTGCAAACTTAAATTGATAAAAATACCACTAATAAATAACAAAATATAAATTGAATGTTTAAATCCACACATCTCATTAAAATAAATTACAGTGATATATTATTAAAGGTTTAAGGCTCTTTAAAAGAAGGGGATGGGGGTCATTCTAAATGAGCACATGTTAAAAACCAATCAGTAGCTTAAAAAATTAAATAGACAAATATTTTATTTATATAATATTAATAAACCCATGAGAGGTATACACGGTTAAGATCCAAATTTTTAAGAAACTCAATTTTTCTTGGTCATTTAATAAATTTAGAAAACAAAATTATTTAATTACTTTAATATTTGTTCATTAAATTGTATCCTTAACTTGGATTATCTCCGAGTGATCTAGTACGATTTCTATAACAAATATGTTCAAAAAAATATCGACAAGTATCACACGAGCAATCAGGATTCTTCGAAGGGCCCACATGATGTCCCGGCTTTTTCAATGAACCAACTACCGGACCAAACTTTTGCGCCTTTGACCAATGTTCATATTTTATTGGTGGAGGTTTCCCAGAGTTTTTATATGATTTTTTTCCGGACGGTGAGATTTCTGAGTCGCTCAAGCTTCCAGATTTTCTGAGACACGTCGGCTGTTTGCCTACAACTGATACTTCACTCGACTGAGAGTTAGCCCTACGAACCGTGTCCTCCCTTTTTAAACCCTGCTTGGCTTCTAGGTCGGCATAACGTCCGAAACTCCATGCCAAACCGTCACTCTCATCGGAGGAAGTGGAACTACTTGAATCCTCGTCATCTCTTACAGTGATTGGCGGAGACCTGTTCTTGAAACCCGTTCCCTTTTTTAAACCTGTGTTTGCTTGCTCCCCCCAAATCTTCTCTTTTTGTTTTATCCTCAATTTATCGAGTGAGTTGTCATATTCAAAGCTGTCATTTTCCTTCAGGCTGGCCCTTGTAGATTCAATGTCGGTATCTTTCCAAGAAGTGGTTACAGAAGAACTATTTTCAACTGACATTCTAGATGAAATAGTGCTTTCACTGGGGATACTGAAATTATCAAACCCGGACACTAGCGAGCTTCGAGGTGAAGGGTAAGCTGTGCTAAAATTCGACTGGCTTCCAGTAGGTGAGAATATTGTATTCACATTACTATTACTTAATATTTGCCTTTTTTGGCGTTGCAGTGCATGTGGGACTTGATTTCCATTAGCACGGGTATGAAGTACTTTCATATTACTTGATTCAAAAACCGTCTGTGGTGTTGAAATTGTATCTTCTTCAGAAGATGATGAACTTTCGGAATCAGACCCAGTGCAATAAACATCGATGTGCACAGTTCTAGGGTTTTTCATTCCTTCGCTGCTACTTGCTGGTGATTTATTTGCTAAAGGGCTCCCTCTGACTCTAGCTGGCGATCGAGTCACTGGCTGAAAAGGGAAGCAAAAATACTTTGAACTCTTTTGAATTCTATGCAGAAAATCCACAGTTGTGACCATACATAAGTAAACCACCTAACCACCTTGCTTCTTCTTAACTTGTCCACAAACATAGAATTCAAACAAATTATTTATTTTATTTATATAAAATATATCACAATACGATAGACCACTGTCCATTGTCTAGTAATATATATAAATATATATTATTTTTACTGCACAGTGATGCTTAAAGAAAATATTATTATTAAAATATCACAGTTTTTTTTGTATCAACTATCATACGACAATTATACTGATATACGACTGACAACATGATGATTAGAATTATTGGACAAAGTAATCAAATTAGAACGTTAAAATATTTTTTTCATATTTCAAGTCGCAGAAATACTTATTATATTGATCAATGATTAATTGTGACATTGGCCAAATATATAAAATCCGATCGTCAAAAATTCAGCTTCCATATTAGTGTTCAAAACAATTTTACCTAATTAGGGTGTGAAAGTTATATGGCTTGAGATCTTTCTCTTTCTGTATATTCCTAAATTGGTTTTAATTCATAATATAAATTAACAGAAAATTCCATTTAGACTTTTTTATAGTTCATTTTTTGATATTTTGAAAAGAGTAATATTTCAAAATTCAACTGATAATAATCCCTTTGACTGAAATATTTTTTAATAATGTAATATGGGTAGAAATTATGAATGATGGAATGAGTGCGGTGTTCAATCCCTTTTTAAAAAAGATAGTTCCTACTCACAGTAAGTGAGCTAGTTACTACTTACTGTGAGTAGGAACTATTTAAAAAAAACCAGATTGTAATATGGGTTGTAAACTATACACTTGATTAGTTTATTGGGTTATTTGAAACTGCATGTTTACATCCACGGGCCTGGCTTTGGTTCCCAGTATCGTCATTGTAATTTTCTATGCTGATTTGAATTTAACAAGTACTGTATTGTGATCTGACCCCCTTCTGACACCTGAAAGGTAGTTGGACAAATAGTCTTCCTGTTTAGAAAGGACAGACATATTACACTTTATTATTAAATTATACTAAACCCGTTACACTCAAGTAATACAATGTATTGTGTAATCTGCCTGCTAAAATCACACAGAATGTTTTATGTCAAAAAGTCTATTTACAAAGTGAAAGACAATTTTTTTTCTAAGGGTACACACAATTAGTCAGATCAGATCTCAGATAAGATCATTATTAATGATCATATTGAAACAGCAGTTTATATGTGGACGTTTTACATATACACTTCATTTAATTAAACCATTTAGAGAAGAAACTGAATTAATCAATTCTTACTATTAGGAAACAAATAATAAATATAAACTTTGTCTGGTTATGAATTAAATATTTTCTGAGGTGGTTTACTAATGTAGAATTGTCAGAAAATATACTGATATAATGATTACCTTTGGTTTACGAGACTGCTCTTTTACAACCAAGGGGACTTGAGACGTTGATGTTTGTGAAGCTGCATCTTTGAAAAGAGGTGTGAAATGTTGTTTTTCTGGAGGAGGATGAGGAGGGTGAAAGCAAAAATGTTGGTTGTGCTGCTGCTGCTGCTGTTGTTGTTGTTGAGGCGCCTGAGAATGTTGATTAACAGGTGGCACCACATTTGTGGGAGGTTCAGGAATTTCGGAGCAAGTCAGTGTAACTGTGTGGTGACCTGCGACTGTAACACTGCAAGTCGCCCGGGCTCCTGTTAGACCAAGCCCTCCGCAACATCTAGGGCTTCCTACTCGTTCGCTACTATAACCCGAATCCCCTCTAGCAGCGTATCCACTTCCGCCATCACTCGTGGTCAAAACTATGTTACCCGCTTGGGGTGTGAAGGTCAATTGGGCATGGACTGACCATTCTTCCGGTGCTGTTGTATTGTTAAAATTGCTGTTTCCGCAGCAAGATGCCCACTCCTTCCCTGACATCTAAACTAGTAGTTTCACAGTGCATTCTTGAAAGTGATAAATTTAAACGTCTTACATAAAACGGGCTTCATGCTTTAACAACATTTTTATCCTGGTCCAAAATATATTGCAAACATGTCTAAAAATAAAATGGCTATCACTCAAAACACTTTCACTTGTTTTTATATTAGCTATTTGGGAGACGACAATAGAACTTTTAACACTTATTCTGATGCAATTAAACTGAGAGGTTCGGCTAAACTAAATATAAAATGTTATTAACAGTGTTTGCAATCTTATGGTTTAAAGTTGTGCAGGGAGTCAGCCCCCTCTGCTTACACTGCTCTATGGGCAAAAGTCCAGATCGAGAATCTATTTTTGAACAGATGGCAAATATTTCCTAGTCTTCTCCACCCCCAATAGGTGCCTATGAGCTCTCAGCTGGGCCATTCACCGTTTGTCAACCTCACCATTTTATCAAAACTTCCTTTTAAAACATATTTAAAACAATTTACAAAGATTTAGTGGTAAATGCCATCCATCTGTTTTAATCTACTACGAACACTTGTATATGGTAAAACCTACCTTTAATCCCTTGTTTAAATGTAAATATGCATGTTTTCAGTAGTTATGTAAAATGTAATAATGTGTATAAGTGTATAAATTATAAATGAATAGAGGATAATGAGATAAATATAAATTACATAACCTCATAACCTACATGTTGTTTTACACAACACAAGTTTCCAATGCCTCCACAGTTTTATTACAATTTTTTTTTTACAATTAGTTTACATAATTTGTGTTTGAAGCCATTAGTATTATACATTTTTCATTTCATTCATTAATATACAATTGTAGATGTTATAATAATACCGCTACATGAAGATTCAACACAATTTATAGAAAGAATTTGTGAACTGCTCAGATCTGCTTTAATTTTTATTTATTTATATATATAAGAAGAAAAAGAAGCAATTAAAAGATTAATGATAGGGGATGCAGTGGGTGAACAGTTAGGGCATTCGAATAGTATTTGAATCCCAGCACAGCCCATGGTTTTTTTTTTAAATTGCTTATAGTACGAAAAATGTATTGTAAATTGATATGACCCCTTGTCCACAGTAGACATTGGTTAGTTGGACATTAAGCCCTCCGATATGCAATTAAGATTAACGACGAACGGACAAAATAAGACACTTTCATAATCCATACATTGTAAAATATGCTGGGCTAATAAATTAAATTTTCAATTTAAAAGTTTCAAAAGAACAGAAAACAGTTAAAAAATTAAGCCAGTATTGATAATTTTGAAGTAATTAAATTACAATTAGTTGTATAATAAGAAACATACCTCTTGAAGAGCTTTTTTGTCCACAACTTTATTGCTTTGGAGAAGTCTGATCACATTTTTTGCTCCCTCCACAACTCGTGCTTCAATTCTCAGCCTGTGCCTAAGCTCATCAACACGATCTTCCAGGCCGGGAGGTTCAAGATTTCTTCCAATTTTGTCTTAAAAAAATAAATAAACAAAAATAAAATAAAATAAAAATAAGTTTATAAATAAATATATAAAAATATTAGAAGTATTTGGTTTTTTGCACTTCAAAACCATTTTATCAGTATTTTTTAAATTTATTAATCACATTTCAAATAATGTAGTAGTGTATAGTGTAAAAAGAAAACCCAACGCTTTCAGTATTAACTTCGAAATCAAACAACCAATATCTTTTATAACTAAATAATTCAGAAAACTACAATTGGTATAGTAAATATTATTTCATAGATTATGCTATAAAAACAACTGATTATTTTTTGTTTTTCAAGGGTATAAGGCCAATAAAAAAAAAAAAAGGTATTTCAACTCAGGTTATATTATGAACCCTCAGGGTGCCAGTGTTTGGAAAAGTATGTCGGGTTTGAATCCAGGATCTTTACCTTACAGTGATCAGGGTCAGCGCATATACAGTAAAAAAAGTGATTTTTTAATTTACTAACACCTGCATCAATTGTTGAGTTTAAGTAAATTTAATAGCATTTTACTGCGTAAAACAAAACAAAATGATCGCAAAAATATACATAAAACAGAAAAAAGAGGAACTACTAATTAGTAGTCACTCCTTTATATTAGCATTAATCACTTTCACTGTTATTCACTGTCACTTAGGAAGTCATGAGGCAATTGGCGAAGAAGAACCGTTTCTGACACGAAGGTTTGTGTGACTGGATAATTGTTTGTGAAACTTCTTGTTGTGGCTTTTCACTACTTGAAGAACATATTGGATATTAAGTCATTGTGAATGGTAAAATAAGGTACATAGAAAGGATTTTTTATTACAGGGATTGGACACATTGGAGGTCTTGTTTAGCACCAAAATTTGATGGTGATTTAAATTCAAAAATGAATATGCTCCTGGATTGCTATAAACATTCCCTTTGTTATCTCACTTATTATTACTGTAATGATTGTTGTTCTTACTTATTTTAAATTGTTTGTTGTTGTATAACTCAAATTTTTGAGAAGAAATAATGTACTATTGTAACTACCTTGATTATTGGCATCTCCATTATGAGGCGAGTCATGCCTGCCAGAACTCCTGATTTGCTTTGCCTTCATAATTCTCATTTTAAGATATTCAATCTTAGCTTTTGAATCAGCTAACATTTGCTGTGCTTCTCCTATAAGCTTTTTGTCTCTTGAATGTTCTCTACTAGCTAAAGATTGAAGCATATTCTCAGCACCTTGTTTCACCTTTAAATGGAATAAAAACATTTTTTTTAAGCAAAGTCAAACAAATTTTTGATTTGTAAAATAATTGATTTTTTATTGATTAAAAAACTGGAATAATGGATGAACAAAACATTAAATATTTACTCGCTTAATAAAAATTAATCTACCTTAAGTTCAATGTTGAGCTGTTTTTCCAATGAAACAAGCCGAAGGTCTGTTGAGAAGTTGTTGTTCCCTTGATTTTCAACTGACAGGCCAGACATAGGAGAGACGAGGCCTTCTGAAACAAAATTATTTCATTAGGAGCCTGGATATTGAAAAAAGTCAATGGTAGCATAAAGAATTGAGTGTGGCAAATTGCGATTTATCTGTATTTCCTTGGATGTAAAATACACACAAAAAACGGGATCCACAGTTTGGCTAACACGAGATTTTTTTAAAACTAAATTTCAAAAAACTGTATCTTTGGGTACACCTATTCTTCCACATAGCAATTATGCCCTGAAAAGAATGGGATGAGTCTCTTCAATGCAGCCATTCTATTTACATAAATTACTGGACATGTGCTAGCTTTGTTCCCACTTAAAATTATTGTTATTTTATTCATAGTGGTGATACTTCTAAAGCATGTCAATTGACAACCAAGAACACTAATATTTGAAATGTAATGAATTGAATAAAATAATATCTTCAGAATCTTGAAGCAATTTACTTTCAAAGTCTATATATAAGTGTTTTTTTTAAACCACCAATTGCTTCAGTCAAAATTTTACTTTGAATCATAACCTTGTGTATACAGAATCTTTAACATTCACACGAGTGATAGTGACATTCTGGAAAATCTAAATGAGACATATCCTTTAACCAAATGCTCAAAGATTTTTCCAACCCTTTAAGGGATTTATTTAAGAAATAATTTTGCTCAGACAGGAGCACTATCTCTGATAGATTTTCCAAAATATAATTATTTAAAAAAAAAGCACACTGTTGACTTGTAGAAAAGTCACCCAACTAATGACGCACTTCCCCTCACTTTTATTGCGCGAGTGGCATTATGGTTTTCTTTCAGTACAAATATGAATAATGTTAATTTATTTGTATAATTTGATCCTTACTAAACATCTTGTTCTGCGTATCCTTTTTCCCGCATTGGTCTGTCACATTTTGCCGTCTTCAGCATATAGTAAAAAAAACAACTTAATCTACAACTTAACAATAACAAACTTAATCCAAAAGGCACCGACAATCAAACACCTCACTACCTTATAAAAGAGACTTGACTTCACAGAAATTACATAGACACACTGAAGATGATGAAATACAAAATACTTGTCTGACAGACCACGATGATCGGAAAGGCTCAAATTACAAGTCCATTACCTTACAGACCACAGGAGGAATTCTCATGGATATGTTTAGTTTAGTTGCATATTTATTTTATTATTGTTATGTATAAAAATAGAGTGGAGGTACAACAGAAGCCAATTTTTCTATTGATATGCTTTTGGTAATTATATTTCCAGCGGAATGAAAATTAACATGAAACGCTTCCTTTTTCTGGTTGTTGTACACCAATTCATCATATGAACTTCACAACCTATATATATATTTTTTTTCTTTTTATAGGAGCATTTCCAAGCTCTAACAGCCTTGAAAGAGGATATTACTGCACTAGGCCTAACATAATCTAAAGAAAAATAGAGGTTGTGAAGTTAAATAATAACCCTAAATTACATGATGAATTAGAATATACATATATTTTTTAATTTGCAAAACCAATGTATATAAACATAAAACAGCAAAATCTCACTGGCACTCTCAGCACGACACGCAAGAATGGCACAATTACACAGAAGACAAACACTTTGAGTGAGTAGAAATACTTTGATTGAATATAAAAAAATATATTTTGCATTGCATAAATTCACTTTTCCACATCCTAAATGTATTTGTTAAATGTAAACTGTTCGTAAATCCCAGGCCCTGAAGATGGTCTCAATAAAGATCGAAACATTGGCACAATAAAGAAAATGTTTTTCTGAAACCTATATCACACCAGACCGCATCTCACGATTTCTGACTAATTTGCAAAACATTACAACTACTCTCAATTTGGGAGCAAGTAACAACGAGATAGGAAATATGTACAAAATTAAAGCCAAGAGTGGAGAAAATACCAGTTGGTAGTACTCCAATGATGCTAAAAAGTTATCTGTTTATTTGTCAATACCACTTTGCAGATCTCGTGGCCATCGTCCCTTTATGGTGAGGAGGTTCGAGGAATTTGTTCGGATGTGTTTTTGGACCTGCTGATTTACGGTGGTATGGAGAGTTTTGTGAACTTTTTGATAATGGGAGTGCATTTCATCTTGACGAAAATATTCAGTCGGAATATGTAGTTTTGTATGCCCCATTTCAAAAGTCAAATATTACATTTAATGGTATTTTGCTTAATTGGAGAACATCGCTTTTTATTTTTAAAATAAAACTTACACTGCACCAATATTCTTTACCTTTGGAATTAAAGTCTAGTGTGCTTTAAAAAAAATATAAATTTCCTTTACATTCACTCTTTACACATAGGTCTCAACTAATTTCATTGTACATAGCTATATTAGTTTCTACATCTTATTCAGATCATTGCATCACATAAGATACTTGTCACATTTATATCCCTATCAACCAACTCACTGTTTCATGGCTTCATATCAGAAAATTCATGAAGAAGCATGAATTGGGAGGGTTTGTGAGATTTTCAATTTCATCTTGGACAAATGGAATATTCAAGTCTGTATGTGTAATTTATTTATTTGCTTTTAGCACATTACAGGGAGATGACCCCCTCCCCAACAAGTACAGTCATATTACAACATCTAAAATTAAGAAGTGTAACAAAAATCAATAGATTTAATTATAATCATTTATTTATTTTTTTTTTTTTTTAGCGTTATGAACTATGCATATTAGCCATGTGACAAATTCGTATATGTGTGTTCAAATTTGGGGGGTTATTGGGAAAAAAGGGCCAGGGGCAACGGTGGGAATCGAACCCACGACCGCAGAGTCTCTCATGCTAACCACTCGGCTACCGCGGTCCCCAGATTTAATTATAATCATAAGGACAAATATTTATATTCATTTTTGAACACATTAAAATAGGATCCAAACTTATCCAAATCATGCACACTACAGATTCATTTTTTGTAGGTAAATCATTTAATAAAATTTCCTGTAATTAGTACAATGAAATTGTAAATTAGATATTTAATAAATTTTCTCTGAGCATCTTCAAATAAATCGATCTTATACTAAACGATCCGGGATACCAAACCAAACTATACTCAATTATACTCTGAACCAACCCAAAATATAGATGTTTTAACACAATAATATTCTGGAAACCTGAGAAACCCTAAGCTTCTATTACACTTTGATAGAACTAAATATGCGGAGAAAATGAACACAGAGTCAAAAGTAACTCTAAAGTTACTAATCTCAGGACCCCACTCGATTGATAACCCAGTAATAAGTAGGAGATACAAAACATACAATACATATATGACAACATAGAAGTCTGGTCACATTCACTCCCCCTTAGTTCTTGATACTCCTCGGGGCAAGGTCTAACAACTCCTTCCTTTCACGCTAATAAATTACATTCATTCCAATAAATCAACATAAACACAACACTCAATACAAATGTAGAAATCTGGTCATTTCTCTCCTCCAGAGTACTCAATAATCCTCAGGACAGGGATAAACAACCTCAATTCTTCCTATAAAAGAATATAAACTCACATTTGTCAGACACCAAGAGATAAATTCTGTTTGATACTTAATTTAAATTTATCATCTGAAATAGAAAACAATAATTTGGATGAATGGCCATTGATGATTACGACAATACACCCCCTCCAGGAGAAATCATTTCAAACTCTATACCAATTTAAATTAATTTAAATAATTAAATGCAAATATTGATCAAAGTAATTGATGACATACCATCCAAAAGTCTGTAAATAAAACAAATATTCCATTTAAATGATCTATTTATTTATTTTAGAAAATCGCAAACAATTGTGCGTTTTTATTGTTAAAAAAAGAAATTTTTTGAGCTCGAGTCCCGCCTCGGGCGAGAAAGGTCTTAAAAGGGAGAGGGTCAATAAACCAGAATAACTTCGACGCCTATGGTATGTCCGGCTGTTGCCGACTTTTATGCACGCTTTTCTCTTTAATGAGCCGTCTTTTTTGTTTTCCATCGGGCAAGACACGGAAGTATTGTAAATTGGCTTTATACATAAGTGACGAACGGTTTAACAAACGATTTTTTTTTTATTGTACGAAGTTTCATCGACCCGAGTAGGAAAGTAGTCAGTTCCCCTATTAACTTGTCCGATAATAAGGGCATATAACAATCAGCCCATTAACATTGAATTTATTAATAGCAATTGGTTTCGATTGTATGTCAACGTTCTGTTTACAAACGGCTTTGAATGAGAGAGGAATTAAAAAAAAAAGCAAAGAAACGCCGAGATTTAATGTTAATGAGCCAGGTTCATTTTGAAACAAAAGAGGAAATGTTCAAGAAAGAGAAATTGCAGATGACGTGAAGCACGAAATAAGACTCTGTTCCATTTTTGTTTGTAATCTTTCCTCAACTTAAAACAAAGATTCTATTTAAAAAAAAGAGAAAAAGTGTTGTGCTAAATTACCTGTTGAAATAATTTCAATCGGTATTCCCACTCATTAGTACTTTAGTATAGTACTTAAAACTTCTATTGGACTTTCACCCCGAAGGGGGCTGACCCTAGGGTCTATACCTCAGGGGGATGACTTCACCTACCCCGTTATGCGGCTGGGTCGCTAATATCCCCCTTAGCCAGATGCCCAGGAGATAGTCGATTCCCAACCAATGGGGATTTTCGGCGCTAAAACTAACTAACTACTATAATACAGTCGCACAAAAATAATACGTTCACACCTGTGTACACTGACTCATTCTGATTAGTCGGTGGAGCACTCGATATTCCTCCATCAACCTACACACAAAGTAATAAGCAAATCTTGCTTAGGGTCTATGGAATACTTCGAACCTAAACACACATACACTGTTGAAAGGACGATGGTGATGTCACATTTCACCATCAGTCCCTCAGCATTCACACTAATAGATATATGCTCCGATACAAACAAAACACATAAAACAGATCTGTATACAGCTAAAAAAAGGTCATCCTCTAAAAATCAGAGCAGGGGACCAGCAACTCGCTACTGTGCTCG